GGGCGTCGGCTGACTTCTACAATAAGCTTCAGATGGACCGTCTCCCCAAAAGTTCTAGTGTCGCGCAAGTTGATCCCGAGATACATATAAAGTATTCTCGTCTTCTTTAGAATTATACCATATCAGGGACAAAGTCCATACTTTTTGGCCCTTTTGGCATGCAAGTTGGGCAATTCTGAACCTAAGTTATGTATTATTTTGTTGGTGGTTTTCAGCCTCATAGATGTTTCAGAGGTAAGGCTAAAGGTGTCACTGGAAACAGCCCCAGCTCAGAGGCCTCATGGAATTCTTGGTGTTTGGAGCCCCATTTTGTCTGCTGTAGGAAATGCATTCAAAATTCAGGTGATTCGTTTTCCTTTGAAAGTTACTCCCATTTATGAAATGGAATAGCGATTACTTTCTTTCCTTGGCTTTACCTCCCGCACAACCTGGTAATAGAACTAATTGTTGGGATACCTTGTTCCATTTCATGGGAGTCTAGTTCATGTGATGTGAGAACTGAGAACCAGTTGTAAATTATGAATTGTTGAGCATGAGCTTGTGTTAGTAGCCCTGTTCTTTCTTGACTCCCAGTACGAGATAAGTAGCGCAGACGATTTTATCTTGGACTGTCATGGAAAAACTCTTGGCTAGAAAGCGTTTCAATATCTGATACCTCAAGCTAATTCATTGTTTTGCGATAGTTAGAATTTAGTTCAAAATATAGAGAGCGAGAATATTCCTAATGTTTCAAAATAATATCTACATTTAGGTCCATCTAAGGAGAGTAATGCACAGAGATAGGTTTATACGGAAAAGTTCAATCCTTCCAGCCATTGGGAATCGCATATGGAGAGATCTGATCCACAATCCCTTACATTTGATATTCTCAGTAGATGTTTTGGGTATGACTAGCTCAACACTGGCTTCTCTTAGCAAAGGGTTTGCTGAGCTCTCAACTGATGGTCAATTCTTGCAACTACGGGCAAAACAGGTACATCTTTCTTACTATAATGTTGAAATGGTCACTTTGTCAGTTTGCTTAAAAGAGGTCTGAAAATGAATCAGGTGTGGTCGAGGAGGATCACTGGTGTAGGTGATGCAATTGTTCAAGGAACAGAAGCCTTAGCACAAGGTGTTGCGTTTGGGGTATCAGGAGTTGTTACAAAGCCTGTAGAGAGCGCTCGACAAAATGGTATTCTAGGGTTTGCCCATGGGGTAGGACGGGCTTTTCTAGGATTTATCGTACAACCAGTGAGTGGTGCATTAGATTTTTTCTCATTGACTGTCGATGGAATTGGAGCAAGTTGTTCCAGATGTTTGGAGGTCTTGAGCAACAGGACCGCCTTGGAGAGAATTAGAAATCCCCGTGCTGTTCATGCTGACGGTATCCTCAGGGAATATGATGAGAAGGAAGCTATTGGCCAGGTACTGACTCAGTTTTTTCTTTCTTTGTCTACTAGTGCGGCTGCAATATTGAGAAAATTTGGATGCTTAAATCCACAAACAATTTTATTATTTAAATCTTATAGTTTTACACTTTCAGTCTCCTTACATGATATGTTGTAAATTATACCGAGAATTTTATAAGCAAGCTATGAACTTACATTCTTCTTGTCAAGCTTGCCACTCATGCTCAAAACTCCAAACTGGTTCTGAATTCTGTTAGTTATGTGGTTTTGCAGATGCTCCTTCACCTAGCAGAAGCAAGTCGGCATTTTGGCTGTACAGAAATATTCAGGGAACCCTCAAAATTCGCTTTGTCTGATTGCTATGAAGAGCATTTCCTTGTTCCATACAAACGTATTGTCATGGTGACCAACAAGAGAGTTGTGTTATTACAGGTTAAACAAACAAGATACGATTACACATACGGGTTTTCCATTAGAGTCTTAAAATTATATTATTAGATTATTAGCTGACCTTTTGCTTCCATTCAGTGCTCTGATCTGGATAAGATGGATAAGAAACCCAGCAAGATCATGTGGGATGTGCCTTGGGAGGATCTTATGGCGTTGGAATTGGCAAAGGCAGGTAGCCAAAGGCCCTCGCATCTCATACTGCATCTGAAGAGTTTTCGGAAGTCAGAGAGTTTTGCTCAGGTTATAAAGTGCAGCGTGCCAGAAGAATCAGATGGACTAGAACCCCAAGCTGTTCAAATCTGTTCAGTAGTGCGCAAAATGTGGAAAGCATATCAGTCTAACATGAAAAATCTTATTCTCAAGGTTATTGCTATCCCTACTCAATCTATAGTTATAGATTTATTATTTTAGTCAATTAAGTTGGCTATGATTGAAGGAAAATTTACATTTGGTCTTCTGTTTTACAATAGTAAAAACTATGACCATAAAACATGGCTTAACTTTTCTGATTTATATTACACATAACGTACTAGCCAGTGCAAATTATTCAAGTATGGAAACTCTTGCTGATGCAATACACACCTATTGAATATTCTTTCTTCCCATTGCAGGTACCTTCAAGCCAGAGACATGTGTATTTTGCTTGGAATGAGACTGATGGAAGAGACTCAAAAACATACAAAAACAAAGCTATTATTAAGTCGAGAGAACTTTCTTCTTCAACCTCCGTCTCAGATGATAGAAAGCTTGTCAAACATAGTATCAACTTCTCAAAAATCTGGAGTAGTGAGCGAGAGTCCAAAGGTCGATGTTCTTTGTGTAAAAAGCAGGTAATTTTCTTTCTATATCATAAAGTTTAAGAAGGGGCTGCTCTTTGTGCAAATCAACCAGTTAGGACAGAAAAATTCTGAATTTCTTGCCTTTTAAATTTATCTCTTTTGATGACACTCGAAAATTTTGGGTTTTAACTTAATCTAAGAGGTGGAGACTAGGATCAAAACCTCAAACCCTCTTCATCAATGGATGTCAATAAGGATCCTTGACATACTTTATGAGACTAAACATGTTTAGTTAACCACCAGGTCAATCGTTTTAAGGTTTGCTTTACAATTATTTTCTTTTTTGCTTTCAGGATACGGAAGATGGAGGAGTGTGCACTATCTGGAGACCCAGTTGTCCAGAGGGGTAAGTAAAGCCAAAAGAGATTGAAAATTTCAAAAGACAAATATTTTATTATTTCATAAATTGGTTATCTGGTACCCTAACGGTGATGCTGTAGCTGCATTCTGCATTGAACCGTGGAAACTTAAGCATTATTTTTTTTGCCAGATTCGTGTCAGTGGGTGATGTAGCTCATGTTGGTAGCCATCCCCCAAATGTTGCTGCTGTTTACAATAACGCCAATCGGGTGTTTGCACTTCCAGTGGGTTATGACCTCGTAAGTGTTGCTCATCAATTAATTTCACCCTGAATCCATTGTTTTTAACCACGCAATATTTTGAACCAAGAATCCATCGTATTAAGTTCACAACATCCAAATTGCAATAGAACTAAAAACTGAGTTTGTGTTTTGTTAGCATGACACATTTTTTATTCCCTTGTCAGGTGTGGAGAAATTGCTTAGATGATTACATAAGTCCTGTATCGATCTGGCATCCACGAGCTCCTGAGGGATTCATCTCTCCTGGATGTGTTGCAGTGGCTGGTTTCATAGAGCCAGAGCTCAACACAGTCTATTGCATGCCAACGTCTCTGGCCGAGCAGACGGAGTTTGAGGAGCAGAAGGTTTGGTCGGCACCTGACTCGTACCCATGGGCTTGTCACATTTACCAGGTTCGAAGTGATGCACTTCACTTCATGGCTCTGAGACAAACCAAAGAGGACTCTGACTGGAGAGCCGTTAGAGTTCGAGATGATTACAGATCCATAGAATCTGAATCGGCAAAGAATTTGCGTATAGAATGAAAACCTTTTTTTACTTTTGGGAAACTATTGCTTTATGTAAAGAAGTAGATATGCAAAAACAAAGAGAGCTTCTTTAGTTGGGTTATTATATTGCGTGAAAGAGATTTTATGGTGGTAAGTGTACATGTGTGGATAAAAAATACTTGTGCGTTCTAGGGAGGTTTCTTGGTTAGAAAACTTGAAGCAGAGTTATTACATGACGGGATATGCTTCTTAATTTCAAACAATAAGATTGTAAGAATATATTTTTGCATATTTAAAGGAAACAGAAGACCTTGTCCATAGTTTCTTGTTTTATTGATTGAACAATTTTATACTCACATATGTATTACTTTTTATGTGAAGAAAGTGAAAGCTCGAACGGAGATTTGGTAGTTTGAAGAGTGATTTTAGTCGATTATTGAACAGAAGTCATTATCGGGTGAAGCTCTTCAAAACTGCGTATAATAAGGAATTAGGATCCTAATTAATAATGATGTATGATTTTCAGAGACGTTGATTTAATTGTTGGTAAAGTCTTAAAACCTTTACGTAGTGGCGGGAACGTGCAGAGCTCTATACAGTCATAATTCATTATACACGATGCATCATGCACTACTATTACCAGATGCACGCGCTACTGTGGCTATTTTATCACTCAAATCCTCTTCTCCACATATACATACCCTTAAGAATAAACAACTCATGTGGGAGCAATTACAGGATCAAAATATACAAAGCTGCACCTTATGAAATGAGTCAAACTCTCTTGCATCGAAAATGACAAACAACAATTTCTTTTTTAAATTCCGGTAGCATATTGAGAATTGAACGTCTTGTTAAGCATCACAAAACAAAATATAAAATCTACAAAATCCTCCACACTAAAACTAACTGAAAATTTTGATATTTTGTCGTGTGTGGTTGCAGAGCTATTGTAAAAGTTAGCCATAAAGCCATTTAAGCTATAAATAAACGAATCAACTATTTGTCGGTAAGAGTGAACGACCGTTACTTATGAGTACACTAGTAATGTGATCTGACCTGTCTATAATTTTATTTATACGTCACGCACGCGCTTTGTCCATACAAATGGAGGGAATTATGGAAACGAGGCAGGCGCGTGTGGGTGAAAAATAGTATATAAAAGGAAGTAAATAAGCTACTGTCTTTATTCAACTACCAATTCTGGTTACTGGATCACAGCTCTCTCCTCTCTCACACGGACACCGCAACACTCTTTTAAATCAAAAAATTATAATATTGTATCTCCTCCTTTCGTGTGTGAGAGCTTTTTTTTTTTAGAGAGAGAGACAATGGACGGACTGATCAGAGGTTTAGTCGACGTGGCTATCGGAGGTAACGAGCGTCGCGGCGGAGACGGTGGTCGTCGTGATGATGAAGACAACTCCAGGGACGAGAGATCCAGATCTAGCTGGGCTGATGTTCGTACATCCAAATCCTCTTCTCTTATGATCATTTTTTTTTTATATTGTTTGATAGTTTGAATCTGATGAACGATTCTTCTTTTCTTCTTTTTCCCTGGATCTGGAAATGATCGCAGGTGGTTTCTGGTGAGGAGGAGGATCAGAATCGCGCGGGAGGAGGCTCGTCTCAGCCTTCCCACGGTCGACGCCAGAATGTAGAGGTAAGGAACCAAAATTCAAATCGTTTTGGAATTCAAACGGAACTCAGATTTAGAACTTGTGCTTCGATTTCACTCAAAAGTCTAGGAATTAGGAATCTCACAGTTTGTTGAATCTAGGAGACAGCATTGGCAATTGTAATGTATATTGCATATTTATTCTACTTTGCATTATTACTGTTAGATATAGTCTTAGATGAATCTCATTTGTTTCATGATCACCAGAGAGATCACGATTATGCATCTAATGTCTGTGTTTTTTGGTCGTTCCTCGCATAGGAGAATCAATGGGAGAAGAAGGGAGAAAGGATTCCCACAAGGCATTCACATCAGGTTTGGGATCATCAATGCATTTCAACATTTAAATTACCCATTTGAGTTTCAGTGACAATACTACTTGATGACCAGTGTCTTCTTTACCAACAATGGAAATACTCTATACGATTCTCTAATACTTGTTGATAAATAATCTTGTGAAATGATAGTCTTATCGATCACTAAAACTTGGGTGTTTCCATGTTACAACATTCACAAGAATTCAGGCTGTTTACCTGCAAAACAAAGCCTTTCATAATCCGTATTTTGTTCTTCTTACACAGGAGGAACATGAAGAGAATACGTATGCAGCTAAAGTAACCGAGCAACAAGACTTCTCGGTGAGATTTAACTTCATTTACTCTTACATTAGATCATCTTGAAAAAATTTATCAACTTAATTTCAGTTTAGCATGTTAAGGATCTAATGTTGGCATTTGATTCCGAGTACAGGAGAGCAAGCAAGAGGACAATGACGGTTGGGAAACTGTAGGGAAAAAGAAACCTGCAAGGCAATCACATAAGGTTTGAAACTGTGATACCAAGTCGGAGCCCTAACTGCTGATTTTACCCGTTCTTCCACTGATTTGATATGTATTATCTCTCTCTATCTGCAGGTCCAGAAGGAGCAATGGGGAGATTACAAACGCCCAGCAAGTGAACAACACTACTCAGACGATGTTGAAACTCATGGAAATCTAGAACCCTCTCAACTGGAGCTCTCAGGTCTCTCAGAAGCTTGCAACAAACTGTGGGACCTCGATTCAAACCGCCTTGTTCCCGGAAACGATTATCAAATTGACTGCGGAGATGGGAAAAGGGTTCATGAGAGAGCCGATATGGCTGAAGGATTACTGTTCTCTTGGGTGAGCGATGAAGTCTTTAGAAAACCGACTTTCGCCAGATTCTGTTCGTTGCTTGACAACTATAACCCAAATGAAGGCTACAAAGAAGTAGTCACAGAAGAAGAGAGGCAAGAGCAAGCGGCTTTCATTGAAGAAATTAGCAGAACCGCTATGATCAAGTACCTTCACAAGTACCTCGTGCTCAAGGACGTTGCTCCAGGAAGCTACCAAGAGTTCAAGAGAATGTTGACAAGTCTCTGGTTCGATCTCTATGGCCGTGGAGGTACCTCTGGCTCGTCTTCTGCGTTTGAGCATGTCTTTGTAGGGGAGATCAAACAATCTGGTGGGGAACAGGTCTCCGGATTCCATAACTGGCTTCAGGTAAAACGCTTTTTGTCCTCGTCGCCATGAATCTCCTAACGAAAACACGAAAACTTACAAAAAATTAAATTGGCGCTCTCTTTTGTTGTAGTTTTACTTGGAGGAAGCCAAAGGAACTGTAGACTATCAAGGGTATATATTTCCCCGACGTCGTGGTGAAATTGTAAGTACCATAGCTTCGTCCAATACTAGATAAGTCCTCCAAATATAAGTACTTCAGAACAGGTTACTAACCGAGAAACCACACCTTTGATTCATATGCAGCCTGATTCAGAGACTCAGCTGCTAACAATCCAATTCGAGTGGAACGGTGTTCTAAAATCAGTCTCAAGTACGCTAGTAGGAGTAAGTCCAGAGTTCGAGTTAGCTCTATACACAATGTGTTTCTTCATGGGCGGAGAAGAAAACCACATTCAGTTGGGTCCATACAATGTCAATGTCAAATGCTACCGACTTGGCAACAACCGTATCGGCTCAGCTTTCCCCATTGCAGAATGTTGAAACCTCTCTTGATGGCTTAGAACAAAATATCTGCCCAATACTGTATTGAATTATTATAATTGTTGTCAGGTCTTTCTGTCTGCATGTTGTAGACTTGAAATATCTTCCTGTGATATTTCCTTGGATATTTATGGGAAACCATGTGTTGTACTTTCTGAAAATGATACAAACAAAAGAAGAAATGTGAGAGAAAATATCTTCCAATAATTTCTATTTTGAATAGATATTTCTTTGGTTTTGCAAAAAGATAAACTCGTTAGCTTATCACATCACAAAGCAGAAAAAATATCTTAGCGACAATGACAAACCAAAGCTTAACTGTTACTCAACTTTAAGGTTCTAAAGTCTTTAGTTTTCCAAGTTTAGCTCAAGTCTAGACGATGATACTCTTTCACCATTGAGCTAACCATGAAACCAAATGAGTCTGCTTTATAATATAGCAACATCCCATTATCTTGCATGATGAACAGCACAGCAATATTTCTACAAACTACGCTAACAAACTACAAAGATTAGCTTGGCCTCTGCACCAATCCTAGAACTTGTTAATTCACACATCTCATCCATGAAGGCTCGATACCGAGTTTTACCATTATTGTAAATCTAACAAGACATCACGAGATCACACAATTTCTCACCGCAATTCTAGAAGATTCCTTACTATGGTAAAAATGAATGACAGAAGAAAAAGTTCAGAAGTTATGTCGACCAAAATAAGTGAGGAGGGTAAAAAAGAGAGAAAGAGGAGAAGGTGGGGAGGGTAAGCAAGTAGGTTACGTGGAAAGAAGATATCAACACATAAACAGAGAAACACTTAACGTTAAGGGACCAACCACAAATTTTGTAACTTAGCTGATGCGTGTGGGAAAACAGGTCCACAAGCTTTGTACTTTTTTGACACCATCGGTCCATAATAATAGCTCAAGTCTTTCCATGGACAGAGATAATCAAGGAAAAAGTATTAACTTGTTTACCTCAGAAAAATCTACGAAAATGACAATGAGATTCTTTCCTCAAAAGCCAAAATCTACATCGACCTATTCTTTCACTCGTCACAATCATGATTTTCTTACAATGCTTACCTTAAGAGTCTAGAGACATAAAATCACAATAAAGCCTGTGTCTATTTAAAATTCTTGACCGCAAATGTCACAACATGCATATATCATTGTTAACAAAGCAAAATCAGAGACCAAGCATATGTCATAGGTACTTAGCAAGACACTACAATAGTCTCTGAACCAACGTAAGGATTAATGGTGGAGAAGGTGGAAGTTCAAGAATCTAAACTCATTTTTATTACAAAACAAAACTTGTTTCTAAGTTCAAAAAATAAAATTAAAAGCAATTAGGATTAGTAGAACGTACCTGTCTGAGTCAATGTCCAACGTCGTCCCCGCCTTCTACATTTCTTAGCCTTCTGAATAAAAAGCACAAGCCAAAATGAGATGGTGCCAAAGGCGATAAGGATCAATTTCTACCATTCAAAATATTAATGGTGGGAATTAGAAACGAGAGAAAACTAAACTACTTGATGAGGAAATTGCCAAAACCTCAATCTTCGTCACCTGAATAAAGACCAAACTGTCACTTTCAATGAGTCAGCAAGAAAAAGAGAGAGAGAAAGATTCTCTAAAAACATTTGCAGTCGACAAGGATTCTAATGCATCAAAGGCATCTCCAATAAAAAAACAAACACTTGAAACACACATGGCTCATAAACAAGATCAAAGCCTTAAGTGTTAAGCATTACATACACTGCTGGTCAACTTTTGACAAATGAGCTAAATCAACATAGTGTCAATTCCAGTGGAGCACATTGAACGCAGATCAACAAGGGCTTGATACAAGAAAGTACTGTTGTTTCAGTATAACAACATCATTGCAGGTATAAACAGAATACAGCTAGGCACTCCAAGTGGAAAATTTGACAAGAAATTTAATTCATTAACTCCACATATAATTTGGCAAGATAAAATCAGAACATCAATGGGTATGATGGAATAATTAAAAAAAAAGTCACAAAGAATGTGCCACTGTGAACAAGAGGGTCATGAGAAGAAATTTCAAAAGAAAATATATATTAGCTTTTATTAGAAATGTATGAGTCAATGGATCTGTCTGCTGCTTAGTTGGAAAACATAAACCTTACAGGAAAGAAAGTCCAAGAAGAAGAAAAACAGAGCAGAGCTAATAGCCACCACAAGAAAATTTCAATACTAAAAAAAAAAAAAAAAAATCCTTGCAACTTATCTTCTTATTCAAATTTAAAATCAAGAGACCTTAAGAATTTTCAGCCACATGAACCATGTGTTCAAAGCCAAAGGGTGAGTAGGAAAAAATATAGCTTATCTTCATTACCAAGAGAAAAAATCAACATTATTCTCAACATTACCGACAAGAAAAAAAATATATATACTTATTACCATTACCTGGATACACAGATGAAATTTGGACAACTGCAGTAACTAAAAAATATCTGCGTTTGTAAACTACTGAAGTGACATATACACTTTTTAACTATGATAGGTGTAAGAACCGTGTGATAAGTGAAAAAATGGAATTAAGCAACCTTTTGTGATATTTTCTCTCCACTTTTTGACAATGTGTCCACAAATCACAGCCAAACAATATTCTTTATAAATACAAACACACAAATAGCATCTTCTATCAAACACATACAGCATCTTCTTTCAAACACAAACAACTCTTCTCTCTATCTTCATTTCTCAACAGAAGAAAAAAAGAGAGAAAGCAATGGAGTTGACACTAAATTCCTCAAGTTCTCTTATCAAACGTAAAGATGCCAAGAATTCCAGAAACCAAGAAAGTTCCTCTAACAACATGACCTTTGCGAAGATGAGGCCGCCAACATATCAGTTCCAAGCAAAGAGCTCGGTTAAGGAAATGAAGTTCACTCATGAGAAGACCTTCACGCCAGAAAATGAAACCACTGAGAGATGGGAGAAGCTCCATGTTCTCTCATACCCACACCCCAAGAGCGACTCTAGTGTTCCGGTGTTTGTCATGTTACCGCTTGACACGGTAACAATGTCAGGGCATTTGAACAAACCAAGAGCCATGAACGCCAGTTTGATGGCTCTTAAAGGAGCTGGTGTGGAAGGTGTAATGGTGGATGCTTGGTGGGGATTGGTGGAGAAAGATGGACCTATGAAGTATAATTGGGACGGCTATGCCGAGCTGATACAGATGGTTCAAAGGCACGGTCTCAAACTCCAGGTCGTTATGTCTTTCCATCAATGTGGAGGAAACGTTGGAGACTCTTGCAGGTAATGAATCAACTTTAGTTTCCCATCGATTTAGATCTCTGTCTATCATTTCTAGCTTAGCTAATCCTCTATATGGTTCTCTCTCTCTTAAAATCTAGTATCCCCTTGCCCCCATGGGTACTTGAAGAAATCAGCAAGAACCCTGATCTTGTCTACACAGACAAATCTGGGAGAAGGAACCCTGAGTATATCTCCTTGGGTTGTGATTATGTACCTGTCCTTAGAGGAAGAACACCTATCCAGGTCTACTCAGATTTCATGAGGAGCTTCCGTGAAAGATTCGATAATTACATAGGAGGAGTTATTGCGGTAAGCATAAATCTAGACTACTAAGGAAAACAAATTAACTTCAGATAAGACATGGCAACAGTAACCTAAACTAATTGTATCATCATTTTTCATATATTGCAGGAAATTCAAGTGGGAATGGGACCTTGTGGAGAATTGCGATACCCATCATACCCTGAGAGCAATGGGACATGGAGATTTCCCGGAATTGGAGAGTTCCAGTGCTATGATAAGGTATTTAAAACCAGCAGAAACAAAAAAAAGCCTTATTTTATAAAAACATTAGCAAATATTAGACAAATACCAGAGAAGTTAATGTATACTTATGCTTAGTTTAAAGTCTTATACTCCATACGCTTCTTCTAAATGATACTTCTTGATTGCAGTATATGAAATCGTCACTTCAAGCATATGCTGAATCAATCGGGAAAACTAATTGGGGAACAAGTGGACCTCATGATGCTGGCGAGTACAAGAATCTCCCAGAAGATACTGAATTTTTCAGGAGAGACGGAACATGGAATAGCGAGTATGGAAAGTTCTTCATGGAATGGTACTCCGGGAAGCTATTAGAACACGGAGACCAACTCCTATCTTCAGCAAAAGGAATCTTTCAAGGATCCGGAGCGAAGCTATCAGGAAAGGTAGCTGGAATTCACTGGCACTACAACACCAGGTCACACGCAGCTGAGCTAACCGCTGGATATTACAACACAAGGAACCATGACGGGTATCTGCCAATAGCTAAGATGTTCAACAAACATGGGGTTGTGCTCAACTTCACCTGCATGGAGATGAAAGACGGGGAACAACCCGAGCACGCAAATTGCTCACCAGAAGGTCTGGTAAAGCAAGTACAGAACGCGACAAGGCAGGCTGGAACAGAACTAGCAGGGGAGAATGCGCTAGAACGATATGACTCGAGCGCATTCGGACAAGTGGTTGCAACAAATAGGTCAGATTCCGGAAACGGGTTAACCGCATTTACTTACCTAAGAATGAACAAGCGGTTATTTGAGGGTCAAAATTGGCAGCAGTTAGTGGAGTTTGTTAAGAACATGAAGGAAGGAGGTCATGGCAGGAAACTCTCAGAGGAAGACACAACTGGAAGTGACCTTTATGTTGGATTTGTCAGAGGCAGGGTCGCTGAGAAGGTTGAGGAAGCTTCTCTAGTGTAATTTCTCATATAGGTACTACATATAGTGTGGTTTATTGTATTCCTGTCTAATAAATACATAGAGAGATGAGAGAGACCAAAAAAAAGAAAAGATCAAACCAGTAGAGTGTTAAAGCTATAGATTTGCACAATTCTGGGTCAGAGTCAGAGCAAAATCAAGATAATGTACACTTAGATTTGCAGTTAGAACTGTGTATCCTATTAAGTTTTCCTTGTACACATCTTCAAACTCTTATCTCAAATAATATGCATTTTTATTACTCTTAAAATCTTATCATCATCAATCAATATGCATCTCTCTTGCAAACAATGATCTTGTAATCTTTCACACTTGAATTAACTCATGAACACATCGTTTATACAACAATTGCTCCAAAATTCATCAACACTCTGGAAATTTTAAGTGGCATAAATGGAAATTTTCACAGGAAAAGTAATCGAAATCGGGAACTAACTTAGCAACAGATAACGAAAGCGCCTGGGGAAATCGGAATGCCTAACTCAGGAATGTGGAGCGGAATCAGAATTGGAACCTCCACGACGGAGCTCGTCGATCAAACCTCCGAGCTCTTTTCTCGCAGATTCTCTACCGAACATGAATCCATACCTGGAAAGCGAAAAAAAGGCTGTATAAACCCTAAATAGAAGATATAGAGAGAGAAGAAACGAGAAATTAAGAAAAGGAGCAAGAGAGATGAGAACTAATCACTCACCAGCAAGAGACGGCGGAGAATACGCCGGAGATTGCAACCGTTTGGATCAACGAGAACGATTTCTGCATCTTTTGGGGGAATTTACCGATCATCATTTCTCCCGAGGATTAAAAGACTTTAGAGCGGGAGAGAATCACTTTATGGGCCTAGGCCGATATTTTAGCCCAGCCCATTTAAACCTTTATGCACTAACCTAAAAGATTTATAGGGTTTCTCGAGCTCTGCATAACAGTATCTAGCTAACTCTTTCTGTCGTAAAATTCTCTTCTGTATCAAAAATGTCCGAAGGAGGTAGCCAAATCTGCGACAACACTTCAACTCTGCAATCGAAGGTCCGATCTAAGAAAACTAGGCGAAAGATCGATCCTAATGATTGCTCTTCAGAACTGATCATGCCGGGGGAGATAATCTCGACGACGAGCAGAGTGTATGAAAGAAGTGATGTGAAGAAGAAAGGGAAAAAGCGTAAAGTTGCCAAGGAGTCGACTCATGTTACTCTAAACGTGATGGGTGAGGATGAGGAAGGTGTAAGAGTGTTTAAGGTGAGAAGGGACACTAAGTTGCTTAAGTTGATGGAACAATACCACGATTTGAGAGGCTTCGAGTGGAATACATTTCGTTTTCTATTGGATGGTACGAGAATTCGAGAGTATAACACACCGGATGAGCTGGAGCTTAAGGATGGAGATGAAATTGACGCAATGTTGTATCAACCAAGGATTCTCGTGTAACAGTACACTTCTGTTCCATCTTCTATACTAATATTTAGAGTTTTTGAGGGTTTATGGTGTGGATGTAATAATACACAGATTCAGATTTCTAAATCCATATATAACCACTCCCCGAATTTATCTTTAACCTTCTCTTGTTGGGTTTTGGATTTTGTCAAGTTCATTTGTATCTGGAATTCTCATATCATCTTCTATCTAACGAAAATTAGTAAGAAAGGGGTGTTATTTTCACACGTTGTAAAAGTAAGACAATGTTTTGTTGCTTCTCTTACATGGGGTTACGGTTTGTTACAAAGATCTTTTGTTAACACACATTGCTTACTCTTCAACAACCTATGTACAGTTGTACTCTTGCTCCATAGCCAGAGCTCTTACTTATAAAACAAGTGGGAGAAAAGAAAAAGTAAACCTGTACTACTTGCTCCATAGCCAGATCTCTTACTTATTACTTGTGAGATCTCGACATTGGTTCCAAGTGGTTCACCTTCAAGAAAAAATCTCAACGGAGATCGCGAATTTTCACTGTGTTCTCTAGACGTCTCTCTTTCACTCTTGTGTCTTCGAAGTTTATGAACTGCAATTATGTCAAATCAAAATCTTTGCCACAGGAACTCACAAGGGATCTTCACCACTACTACAATGAAATGTTTGTGTTTGGACAGCCTTCGTCGCAGCAACTCTCGCAGCATTTGCTGCTCGGTTTGCAACCATCACTGCTCTGTTCACTCTCTCTTCAACTTTCACAACTTCACGCGCTTTCTCAGCTGCTTTCCTTGCTTGCTGTTGATCAAAGAGAGAGAGGGACAAGGATCAAATCTCATGAGGGTACAAATCAATCACTGGATACATGTTCAAATTTCTTACAATCTAATCTCTTCAGAAGATGAACAAAATTTATAGTACGTAACAATATATATATATATATATATATATGAGAAGGTGTAAGATAAATTATAAGATACCTGGACAGTGTCGAGAACCTTGGAATGACTGATGGAAAATGATGAATCAGGACGAGTGGTCTGCTCGGTGGGACAGCTGAGAACTCCGTCTTCCCAATGGCCTGCCTGTGTCTCACCATTCCTGAACGTGTACATACCAAGTCCTTGCCTTCTCCCCTCATGCCAGGCTCCTTCATACCGATGTCCGTTTCCAAATTGATACACTCCAAAACCATGCATCCTGTCTGCAAAATACTCCCCAGCATATGTATCACCATTTCTGCAAGAGAGATGTGGCTTCAAGTCAGATAAGTATCACTTAAGAATAGAAGACAGTGATGGATGCAATTGTTTTCAAATCCATGCTCAAGTCAGCAACACATAAGCTTGAACCTTGATTCCCCTAGACTTAATTGTCTGAAACGTAAGAATAACCGTGGCTAGAGAGGAAGACAGCCAACAACAACAAAATTTGGTTGAAATGTAATTTCAACTGTAAGCAAGAATCTTTCTAAGGGTAATCTCATGCAATTTGAACTGAAAGCCAGAATCTTTCATAGGGTAATCTCATGCAATTATCAATGCCAGTAGCAGTCGAGCTTAAAAAAAAGGGTGAGGGACGCTAACAGTACAGGGTATTAGGCAGTATAACAATCTATCAAGAACTCAAGATTGAAAGCTATAAACTCTAAGAACATCCCACGAGTAACATGGACCTAAACACAGCATCATAAAAGTCAAAGTAAAGCTTTAACAAGAAAGTCGAGACTCAAAGCCAGAAACTTTCAGAAACCACATTTACTTCAATTCCAAACTGGTCACACTAAACGTCAATAGCATTGGACTAAAAGTTCACCCTAAGCTCAACCATTTCCAAAAGTTAAAACTGATGATTTCTCACCTGAAATGGTAATGACCAAGTCCATGTTTGACTCCCCATTTAAACTCTCCAACAAAACGACTACCATCCTCAGAGGTATACACACCACAGCCATGGCTCTGTCCATTAGACCACTCACCAGCATATACATCCCCAGTATAAAATCTGTAGATTCCAGTTCCATGTCTCATCCCCTGCCTGTATTGACCTCGGTACCTACTTCCTTTAGCCCATGTTTCTACTCCATATCCATCATATTTCCCATCAATCCAGTCACCTTCGTATTTACCCTTCATAGAATAGTAATAAACTCCACTTCCTGAACACTTTCCCCTATGAAACTCTCCCTCGTAAACATCACCAGAGCTGTACTTTTGAACCCATGAGCCAGAGTTGGTCTTCTTCTCTGTGACAGGCTTCGACCCAATTGACCAAACAACATGTTTAGTGCTCTCTTGAGTCGAAGACGAGGATCTAGTAGGGGTAAGCTTGAGGGACAGCAATCGAGCGATAATCAAACGAATCGATGGTAAGTGAGGAAGAGCGAATTTGAGAGAGATCGAAAGGACGAAAGAAAAGGCGATAATCGAAAAGACAAAAAGAAGGAAGAATCTGAAACTAATCAACAAGAAAAAGATGTAGAGAGGAGGCACAGAGAGAAGAAGTAAGAAACGAAGGTGGAAACATATCAACCGGACTCTAAGAACATGACGGAGAAGCTTCTGATTAGTCGCTGATGGGATCGATGGAAGAGATGATGAGAACCACGACAAAATATACGACGGACAATAAGATGAAATCGAACCAAAGCTTGCGCGCTGTCTTCGGAAATCGTCAACGTTGAACGGATTAGAAGATTGAGCCACCACAGGTCTCTTAGATGTAAGATTCCGAGACGACGAATCTGGGATTTCAACCGTCAGATGACGACTCTGAGCTTGAGCTTGAACTTGATTGTTAAACACACTGAATCCAGCGCCAGCACCAATGTCCGGGGTGAGAATCTCAGGTACCTGAAGAGGACGATGGTGTTTAATCTTAGGTTTGGGATCCAAATCGGAGGAAGAAGAAAAACAACCGGCGGTTTCTTTTCCGATGTACCGCCGTTCTGCTACAGTAGAATTCTTCAGATGCATTTACATACAGAATCTGAACTTTGTTGGAAAAAAGGAAGGAGATTGAGATTAGGGTTCTTGACAAATTAGGGTTTCTGTGATCTCAAAAGACTGTTGCTTTTTTTTTCTTTTTTGTTTGGTTTTTGCTTTAAACTGTGTTTCTCTAGTTTTCAGGAAATGATGAAGAACGAGCTCAGTTTTGAAGCTAAGGTAAAGAGGGCTTAGTTAAATAAGACCCTCGTATTTGGTTTTATTTACAGATATTGCCATTTGTTTCCACCCACTTGATCCTCAAGTTTTAGTAGTTTTAAAATAATGTGAGATTAGTTAAATCTCTCTCGTCATTAATCAATAGAGTAGTATTATTCTCTAAGATACTACCAAAAGACTCACTTTTGGTTTAATTTAATTAATTAAAACTAATATACTTAGCGATTCAATGTTCAAACATTTAATGCCGTACATAAAAATTATAAAATAATTTCAAAGTCTTTTAAACTCTCCTATTAAAAGTACTATTTTAGGTAAATAATTGTGTCAATTGCTTGTAGAAATGGCAAGAAAAAATGAAACTTTAATTATGTTTATCCGGATGGTTTTGTTGAAATTGAGATTTTTTTGGCTTGTACGGTCCTAATTCTACGTGTCTGCCATTAGTGTGGCAAACATGATCCTTTTCATGATTTTAATTATTATTTATTGATTATTGATATTGTTTAAGCAAACATACATTACTAAGTTAGCCAATATTTAACATGCATATGTAGTTCCATTTCTTTTAGGTAATGGTCTCATATGGACGATCAATTATTTCAACTACTCGTTTTTATTCTCTTTGTATCCACATACAATTATTTGCTTCATAACCATTAATTGTATTTCTCCTATATTATACTATTATGGGTTACATAAGCACAATTATAACATCACTTTTGTATAATTAATTAAGCGTGATCTAAACAAAAATTAGTTTTGTTGACATAATTAGGTTTGGTTTGATTCTCGCCGTAGAGGAATTATATTAATCGAAATGAGGTCATACAAGAAACATCCAAGTATAGTTTAATTAGTGATATATTTAAATAATAATAATAAAAAGGTTATCAAACATAATTAACAATTAAACAACTAATTTGAAAAAAGAAAGAAAAAAAAAACCTCACTCGTAAACTCATACCTAAACTAGAAAAAGTCCAACTATGATTAAGATGTAGTTTCAACTCCCTATATATTAAAAAAAATCATTCAATATAATTATGTAATTAAATTATAGACCTTAATGACTACTTAACTTTATATAGTACTTATGAATTTTAATATAGAAAAAAAGTTTGAATTAGTAATTGAAAGAGTCATAATTCACAAGTAGATTTTTCAAAGACGAGAAAGAGTCATCAAACTTTCTTCTTTTTCTTCTTGTATTTAAATCTAAATTGATTTAATTATTTTGTTTGTGTTGATAATTCAATTTAGTTTTTTTTTCTTTTTCTTCCAGTGCACGTAAAGGAAGATGGGATTAGAAGCAGGGGTAGTGTCGTAATAACGAGGTGATAAGAAGGTAAGAATATGATGAGTCACCCTATGTCTTTGAGCTGCTCATCTAAGGCCACGTGTCAGCAACAAAGCGGCTAATATCACCAAATGCCTCGAGATGATAGAAACGACACCGTTCGGTACCGATCCAATCGCAATTGAGAGATGAGTTTTTGTGGCAACTTGACTTTCTAATATCTATTCTCTCTTTTTAGAATTTTTGATTAGATAAGAAAAAAAAAATCCAAAAGTGTGCACAAGTCTCTATCCTTTGTTTATGGGCTCCCAAACGCATCTTTCCAATGTAGATAATTGTTATCTATATCAAACAAAACAAAAAAGCCTTATATCAAAATATCCAATGATAAAAAAGGTTACAAAGCTTTGACCCTAATGAGTAAAATGTAATAATAGAAAATAGAAAGGTAATAAAGCAAAACTAATGAGATAAGATACATATAATGTGGTTTCAGGTTTGTATATAAAAATTCGGAGCCAAGAAAAAAAGCACACAACGCAACGTATAATGATAAGTGTTAAAGTATTTGAATGTTAAGTTATTTATAAATGATCAAAATAACTTTTTAACATAAAGCTTAACAGCTTCTTTAGTTAAATACTTTTTTTTTTCTTTAGTTAAATACTTAAATCTGTTGCTCATCGGTTTGCTTCAATAGTTTTCTTTTTCATATGTACTAGAGGATAGAGATTGAAGATTTCATAAATGATAAACATAAATGAACAAGTTGATTTTGTGTTCGAGTTGTGTTGTCAGAGACTTCTTGTGGATAAATGATAAACATATATAAATGTCGCAATACATTCTCTTTTTCTTGACAATTATATATAGGACCGTCTTAGCCAATCGTATTACAAACAGAACAAAAAAATCAATGTGATAACTATTTGGTGACTATGATTTGTGCGGTGTAATTATAATTTTATAATGATCATATCTTAAATGTAGTTTGGCAAAAAGAAAAAAAGGGATTACATTCGATAAAATGTTTTGACACTTTGATTAAATGAAATCAAAGAAAATGGATAGATTGTATCGGTTTTAAGATTCATTGGCTTTCAAAAACAAATTGAAAAAATAAAATAAAAAATCAATGCGTCGAGACGTTCGCATGCTCACATAATGTTCCTTTCATGCATGCATGTTTGCCGCTTGGTTTGAATCTCGAAAGATCCACGTGAATTTTGACATTCGCTAAATCACATTTTTTTCATCATTTAACTTCAACGTGTTTCATTAATCCAGCAGTGTAAACAAAATTCCGAAAAAATCTCATGTAATATTTATTTAGACGTTTGATATTCAGTATTTTTTAGTTGAAATACAAAGTATACGATATGTAAAATCAATGTCAAACAAAATCGTATCTTTTAAAATTTTGTTGAAACGAACATACGACTTAACAGAAATTAACATATGTGACAAAATCTTTAAATCAAATTTAAATTTGAGTTAGACATTTTTAACAAGATATATACAATATTTTTACATAGATTTACGAATATATAGCTGTAGTCTAGTGATAACGGGTTAGTAAATAGAAGAAAAAAAGAAAAAAAAAATGTCGATGGAAGGATTCGAAACCCGGATACTACTGGTTACAAAACCAACCTCTTACCACTAAAAACATCTATATATTCGTATAATTATCTAAATAGATTGTATATATCTATTAAAACACGTAAGACTGAAATTTAATTTTGGTTTATCCTCAAAAAAAACTTTTAAATTATTTAACACCAATTTAATACACTAAGTATTTTTATTCTAATCAAACACTATTAAATATGAAACATCTCGATAAAAATAACATGCATTTTTCAAAAAAAAAAATCACCTAGTTATATTGAGCAAATCGTATGCAATAGATGCATATTTCCCAACGTGGATTTTAGATTAAGATTCAAAGCTGCCAATAAAAATAGATTTCATTTGTAGCACTCGCAGTTAATCCAACCTGAGTTCTGTGGTCGTAACATGTGGATCGGTATAAATACCATCATGGTTAACACACTCCCCCATTCCTTTTTTTCAAAATTTTCTTTCAAATGCATATAAAATATAAACATGCTATGATTTATTGCAATAATTTTTTTTTCTTTTTATCATATAAAATTCATACAAGCACAAAAAGGTCTGAAACCAACCATATAAAATACAAATTATTAACTCTGTATACACTTAGTGGATTTATTGCGTTCATACGCGATTCATACCAATCAAAAGGGATATGTTTCCTTAAAACGACAGAGTTTCGATTACTTGAACATCTCAACGTTGGAAAAAAAAAAACAACTTCCAAAAGAGAGCACAAACATAACAAAACAAGAGATCACAATCATCTGCATCTGCCATGAAAGTTCAAACGTTCGAGAGAGGAAGCCGCAGCCACGATTTGACTCACCAACACTCTCTTTTCTTTCTCTCTCTTCATTAATACTGAAAAAAAGATTCCAAATTTTTTCAATTTTCACATGAAATCTCTCCCTTGTCTCTTCCTTTTGCTTTCGCATCTTCTACGTCACACGCCTCGTCGTTGTCAACGAATCCTCGTACTCTCCGGCGATGCCCCGTCGATTAAACGACGGCGAGCCTGGCCGTTTTACAGCCACCGCTCTTCTTTTGATCGGTTTGATCTCTTGTGTTATCGTCTACGCTGTCTTCTCCACTGTCCTCCGTCCTTCCCAAGATCGTACATTACTCGTCGATTCCGCGGTTCGATTCACGGAGGAGTCGCCAGATCACGCCGCGGCTGTACATGGTAGAGAAGGGTGTTGCCGTGGAATTGATCATTTGGAGCTCTGGGGTCCGGCGGTGAAGTGGGGAACGGATTTTAAGTTTAATTCGTCGCGTGAATGTTGTAAAGCGTGTAAAGTTATGTGTAACGGCAACGATGGACCTTGCTTGTGCGATTCATGGGTCTTCTGTGGAAACAAAGAGGCTTGTGGGTCTAAGTTTGGGGAGGTAAATGTCTGATCCTTGTTATCAAATCAAATGCTGCATGATTTACCTATATTGCCCGCTAAGTGTTCGTCAAAATGCTTAATTGAGCCTTTGTATCGTCAAATTTCTAGAGATTCAGTCGAAAGTTACTAAATTTAAAGACCCCTCGTGAGTTTTGACTCTGTGCGTGATTAGTGATTGAGAAATGCTGAATTTATGACACTCGCCACCGGTTCAAGTTCTAGAGACTGAGATCGTTTTATCTCTGCGCAGTGTTGGTTGAAGAAGCAAAAAGATGTCTTGGTGCCTGATCGACAAGGAGGTGGGGAGAATGTAATATGGACATCTGGGCTTATCTTTGGACAAGGCCAGGTAGTGTGACCTATCATGTCTAGAAAATTAACTCCATTGATCGACCTACTAATCTGCAAAATTACTGTGTCGAGTAGTGTTATTTTGGTAGTGTGAATCAGAATTTTATGTCTCTCTGATTTTATTGTGATGATAACTCCTACTTCTCATGAAAACAGATTGTGTTCTTGATGATTGTCGTGATAACTGATTAGCTACTTTGCTTCTGTTAGGGCATTGTTGGTTTTGAAACGGAACACGGCGTAATTCATGTCAAAGTAAGTCTTATTAATAATGTATTTTTTGTACTTCCAGGGAAAATTTCAGGTTTTGTTTAAAAGTGCTAAACTTGACACTGATGCTTCCCTTTATTGCAGCTTCACCCTGAGTGCGCTCCTCACTCAGTCTACTACATTCTTAGTTTGTTAACTCTGCGCCATTGCGCAGGCTGCCAGTTTCATCGAGCCGAGAACCGGGGATCATATTGGGATTCAGAAGGCGAGCATGTACATAATGTAAGAGACCACAAATTTTACCTTTAATTCTTAGATCACGCATAATTACTTTTCAGTGTAAATCTATGATCTCTAAGTATGACATTTGATCCATGTGCTTGGATATCTGACTATTTGATAGTCTTGTAGCCATTTGATTCATCTGTTATTCCTTTTCATTACTGAATATCTGTCTTTCATTTGTAGTATGTTGTAGTACAATCCCATTTATGGTTTCAGACTGTATCGAGTATGCTTGTCACCCTTTCTACCAATGAAATTTCTTTTGAGATGTTTGGTCATATCTCGCATATAATGTGAGGCACAGCTGATTGTACTCGAGGCATAAACCATGACTGGTCTTATCACATAGTAAAAATTGTGATTTATGTGTTATGCATATGATTTTTGTCAATTTGATAGACTCTTTAGCCTTTTGATTCATCTGATTGCCTATATTTCTTCTTAGAGAATACACATTGTTCTATAACGAAGTTCAAATGCATTTTATTTTGTGTAAATGCTTTACCGCTTTAGTTTTGGATTGCTTTTAACGACTACGCTTGCAATGATATTAACCTGTTCAATTTCCATTTTAGCTTGTTGATGCCTTATTACTTGCACACCTATCTTTCTATGTACAAACAGAGATTTCGGTTCTTGTTTTGTTGAACGTCTTATCCTTTCACTGTGTCAGGCTCCCTATGGCCCACCATACGCCATGATTCAAGGAATACTCCAGGCCGAGGGAAACATGTTCACGCCGATCCCAACAGAGCACTGCCCAACTATAAGCCGTGGCTCAGTGGCATGGGTTGGCTCGGGTCCAGAATTTTTCATCAGTTTAGCAAACCACCACGAATGGAAACAATCTTACACTGTATTCGGCTCTGTTCTGCCAGAAGACATGGATGTGGTGGAGACGATTGCTAGTTTACCAACAAGAGCTGATGTCTGGAATGGTGTTGATGTATCTGTGCTGGAGAAACCAGTGTCGTTAACCGTACGGAGAATGAAGACGGGCCAAGAACAAGAAGGAACCGGTTCATGAAGAAAAAGCTAGCAAATGAGCTCAAGATAGTCTTGCTTCTTCCTTTTTGAAATTTTATAATTTTCTTTGTTCATATAAATAGAAACTACAAAAAGAAGCCAGAAAATGTCTTGGTTCCGTTTAAATGAAAATTCATTGGTTATATATCGAACCGAAATTGAATAGTACAGTATATTGTTAGAAAAGTCCAAATAATTTGAACCGAAACCATTGGGTTACACTGAACCGGTAAATTGACTCATCTGATTGTGGCAGAGAGAGGTCTCTTAAAACGACCGCGCGTATTCGGCGGCGGTGGAGAAGGTTGCGTCGGGTGCGCACACGTCACCACTCCCACGGTGCACTTTAGCACAACTCTCAACCGGCCACCTCCTTCTCGGCCCAATCCTTCCTTAACCTAACTTTTTCTTTAACGTGCGCCTCTCCTCTCCTCCGCCTCTTTATTATCCCTTACCCACCGCTCTTTCTATTATCACTAATTTATTCTTCGCCGCCGCAATGTCAATCCCCGATGATGGATCTCCCGTCGCCATGGCCATCGATTCTTCCACCGCCGTAACCGTCGCCACCACCACCACTAGAAGAGTTCCTCCTCCGTGCTGGACCGACGAGGAAACCGCTGCGCTCGTCAATGCCTACAAGGATAAGTGGTTTGCCCTCCGCCGTGGGAACCTCCGTGCGGCTGATTGGGACGACGTCGCCGCAGCTGTTTCTTCCTCGTCCACCGTTGGAGGTCCGCCGAAATCAGCCATCCAATGCCGACACAAGATCGAGAAGCTTCGGAAACGTTATCGCGGCGAAAAACAACGGTCTCTTAATCGACCAGGCAAGTTCTCTTCCTCTTGGGAATTGTTCCCTATATTGGATGCTATGGGGTTCGCTCCTGTGACTCCGGCGGCCGTAGAAACTTACGATCCCGATGTGGATCATGACGATGAGAGTAATGGTTTGGATGGATTTAGGGTTAGATCGAAGAGGTCCGGTAAGTTCAGCGGTGGTTACTCTGATTCACCTCGTGATGTAGGAGATGGATATGGGGTTAGATCTAGGTCAAGGAGTAATATGAAATTATATGGTGGTTTCAAGTCTGAGTTTGATTCAGATCACGATTCAGGAAGTGGATTTGGATTAAAAAGGAAATACAATGGAAATCCAAAGGTTAGTGCTGATTTCGATGCTGATTCAGATGATGAGATTGTGTTAGTCCCGAAAGCAACCAGGCTTAGGACTCATGGCAAGCCTTCCTCTGGTGATTTTAGCCACAGCGGTGGTGGTGGTTTTCCGTTGAAGTCGTTTGGTGATCGGAATTTTGCTTCTCATGGGTTTAAACCGAAGAATTTCAGTAAGCCTGAACCCAATTTCTCTCAGGATCTGGATTATGATGATGAGTTCGATGACGATAGATCAGAGAGGGAAGGATTCAACCCGAGGATTCAAAGTTCTAGGAGCTCATCGCGGGTGAATGGCTACAGCAGGAAAGATGGGAGCTATCCTCGTAACACTGGTGTTTCCAATGGCTATGGATCGTCTTCCAGGTTCAAGCACGAGCAAATGAATGCAGCAGCAGAAGTTGAGTCTGACCCGATTGATGAAGTTGTTTCTTCCGTCAAGATGTTGACAGAAATGTTTGTGAGGGTGGAGAATTCGAAGATGGAGATGATGAGGGAGATGGAGAAGTCAAGAATGGAAATGGAGCTGAAGCATTGCCAGATGATGCTTGAGTCACAACAGCAGATCATAGGTGCGTTTGCTGAGGCATTGAGCGAGAAAAAGAGCTCAAATGCAAGGAGGCCGGTTTCGTAGTAGGGAACTCTTATTAACGAGATGCATGGTTCATTATATGGCTTCATATGGTATAATGATGAAATAGCTTTCGAGTGTAGTAAGAAGTGTCTTCTTGAGTTACTAGGAACAGAAACGGCAGTGAAATTTGATGCAAGTAATGTCAGTTGGGTTTCCAATTGTTGGCATTTTGATAATTTGGTAAGATAAAATTTGTGTTTGAACGTAGGATAGCCCTTTTGTGTTTGCACCAACTCTATTGTTTTTTTTTTGGAACAGATGAGTAACTTATTTTATTCTTTTCCCCCTTCCAACTTACAAAATTTGATACGTTCCCTCATGCTGGAAGCTCGCTGCAAGCTGTCTAGAGAATTTGCCTGATGTAATTTAGTATCATCGTATGTTGAGTATAAACTTCTATCACAGTCAATTTGGCAATATCGTAATGGTGAACATGCAAAAGTGGAAAACACAATTCACAGTTCAACTAAACAAAGGGACCGAAACTCAAATCTGACATAATGGAAAGCAAACCAGACCAGCTGAACTGTTTCACCGAAATAACTTGACTCCGAGAATCATGATCATATATAGAGATGAGAAAAAGGCAATTCCATTAAATACATAAAAAAAAAAAAAAAAAAAGAGGCACCGTCAATGGGCATAGTCATCTACCCAGCAAAGTGCGGATTGAAATCTCCAGGCTTTGAATCTTCCTGCCAAAATCCACCAGGAGGACTGAAACCAGCTTGGTATGTAGCTGTGACTATCAGTATAGCCACTACAATTATCACACTGCGATTGTCACTAGTATTTAGAGACGTGTGCCTAATCTTACTCAGATTGCTCAACAACCCCAAGAGAGTGTTTTGTTTCTCGATAAACGATGGCTTCTTGCTCAAATATTCCGATTGTGGAACCACAAATTAGTATTTCTTTAGCACGGTTTGAGAAGTCTGCTTATTTTGGGGAAAAGAGGAGATTTGTAAGTTTGGAGTATGTCCATTGCAGTCTTACCATCCAAGTTCTTTGCTTTTATGTTAACGATTCTACATAGCAACTTAATGACCAGCAAAGTGAAGCACACATCACCCAGAGTTTAGGAAAACCTAATAGGAATCCCAACACTAATGAAAAGATATGATGAGCAAAATATACACCGCGATCATGAGATAATTCCACTCATTGCCATAGCACCCACAAACTTTCGCAAGAAGGCAATTGTAAAAGAAAATGTCCCAGATGTTACGAAGCAGCTCTTAGCAAATGCTAGAGCAAGTAATTTTCAATAGCAATTGTGACGACACTAGAGCAAGATGCGAGCATATATATCCTTTCATGCACCAAGAGCCATATTTGAATAAAAATTTAAATGGCGGAAGGACAACTGAATGGAAAGACCAGAGAGACATCTACCTCAGTCTGATTAATTGATGCAGCAATATGGTAGACTGTGTTGCCATCTTCATCCTTCCAGGCAAATATATCCTCCTTTCCATAGCAAGATGAGTTCGACCATTTTCCGTGGCAATGTGTAGTGGCGTATCACAAAAATGAAATTCATCAAAATGTCTCAGAATATTTGCATCATCTGCAATCAACTCGTAGAGATTCTCAATATCTCCAGCTCGAGCCACCCTCTCAAGTCTCTCATAGATATCTACATTTTGAACTTCCACATGCTTTTACTAAACCACTTTAGATTATGTCGAAGCCGGTCAAATTATGTGTGCAAGGAAGTAATGAATGAGTCCACATGCTTTTACTAAACCACATTTTTTGGAGTCTTACTTTTATATTTATTTTCGGTAAAAACGGTAAAACAGGCATCCATGTTCAAGAAAGAACATGAATGTGTAATATATAGAACATTCTTGATGAGATACACTAGTTAGGATCTTTGATGACCAAGTCACCGGTGTATCTAAATTTACTACATTATGCTCATCTAGGTTAGTTCAATTGATATACTAATCGGCCACCCTCCCAAAAATGGAGTTTTAAAAGATCACGAGTTGGAAAAAATGCTAATTTAACTTGTTTTGGTCCCTAACCGGAGATATTACGGCGTATACGCCTCAAATTTCTTGGTGAAAAGAATCCACGCATACGTCAACGCCTCGATAATTTGTTCTTGAACAAACAAAAACAGTATACACATTTAAGGAACTACCATTTCGATATTGTCCAACATTTCCGGTTGCACCCTCGTGCTAGTGACATGACTTTCAACAAACTCTACTCTGTCTCTACCTATATCTTCGGCTTCATAAGTCCTGTGTACGCCATACAACACGTAGAACATCGTTACAAGACATGTCCATATCGCAAACCTCTGAAACGACAGTTTTTTCAGCGTTGTAGTTAGAAAAACGTTAAGAAACACCGATATTGCTGCTGGCCACGGCATGAACGGCACCGACCACGTGGAGGGTATAGGTGCAAGAAGATTTTTGTTAGCAGTCGACGAAAGCAATGATGTGTGGTATTGAAAAATTACTGTGACCCCTATAGTGATCGAGATAAATAGCATTAAGCCCCACCACGGTTTGTTAAGTTTCCACCATAGGGAGAACGCGAGAGCGGAAGAAGAGAGGAGTGCAAGGAATGAGAGAGTGTGAAGAGGTGAGTTTTGGCCCGTTAATGTATACTTGCGATAGATAAGAGCATTGGCCACTAGGTAGAAAACGCATAGCGTTCCGAGTGATATCAGCTCCATCACTATTTCTAGATCCGTGAACAAAGCAATCGAAGCTGTACATAGGCCTGAAAACGCACACATTTAGTATAGTTTTTAAATTCGATAATTAAATAAGTTTTTATGATTCCACTCACATGGTTTATATTAATCATTTCCTTGACATAGTATTTCCCAATATTGTTAATCAAATCCATCACATACTAAGTTACGAAATTGTATAAAATGTTATTAAGTACCGAGAAAAAGAGTGGCGTTCAAGGGAGTTCCAGTGGAAGGATGCACCTTGGCAAGCCATGAAGGGACCAGTCTGGCTCTTCCGATCACACAAAGGTATCTGGCTTGCCCTAACATCGCCACCAAAAGCGACGCCACTATCCCCAGGCTCGCACCCGCACCGACCACGTTCCCTGCCCAACCCCACCCTATCCTTCGAAATGCAACTGCGTACGACGCACTTTTTGATATCTACAACATTTTTTTTTACATTTAACCAAGTTTAAGTATATTAAACCTGCTATCAGTGAGTTATTTGATTATTATTTTTTGTACAAAATATGTATACATAAACAGAAAAATACTGATTTAAATTTTTGAATAGTGTGTTTAAGCGATATATGCTTCTTTTTCTCCGTCAACGATGCTTTTAGATATTCTCATAAACAATAGTAAAAGTTTGTGATGTATTTTAAATAAAATACAAATTCATTCAACAAGTTATACGAGCTACCTAAATTTTCTCTCTCTATAAATATTTTGCTTTTTCCACTATATTAATTTAGCTATAACTAGCGGATGCTAATAAGGATGCATGTGATCACATTGGATAGGGATTATTATAGATGAAGTTACAAAAATCTTCACAAAATATATACATTAGAACATTTAATTAATTATACATTACCTCATTGTAGGGAACCATGAGGCAGAGCACGAGAGACATGAGGCAATAGAGGACGGAGACGACTGAAACGGAGCCAATGATCCCGACGGGGAGACTAAAGGAAGGGTTTTGGATCTCTTCGGCCAGAGTGGAAACGGTGTCGTATCCGATGTAGCTGAAGTACACTACGGCAGCTCCGTTAACGACTCCGCGAACGCCGTACGGAGTCAGACCTCGCGGCTCCACCAGCGCCTTGGCTCCGTCGCCGTGACTAAATCCGGCGATTATTACAAACCCGAAGAATATTATGTGGAACACCGTCATCACTAGGTTCAGCATTGAGCTCTCCTTCGTGCTAAAATAGTAACGTTCAAGAACTAATACGAATAATAAAGAAATACTAATCATATAGGAAAATAATATTTTGGTTGGATAATATATATATATATATATATATATATATATAGCATTATAACTAGTACGTACCTATGACAAAGGCAGAGAGTGAGGAGAAGGACAAGAGCAACGGCAGGGAAATCGAGTTCGTTGTAACCAGTCTTGAGACCATTCACTTTAATTCTCCAAGCGTTTGGATCAGAAACGCCAAACGCCGTACACGCATACTCTGTGAAGCTTCTAGCAACTGCAGCGTTCGACAAAACGTACTCCAAAAGTATGTTGGCTCCTCCAAAATACCCGATAAATTCACCTGCATGCCCCCACGTACGCGTTTTTTATGGGTCAGATATACTTTTCTACTGACAAAGAAAGATCGCATATGGGGATGAACAGAGAGGAATCTCGTATACATGTACCATGTTCTTCAGATCTGTCTGACTGTGACAGCTGACAATTACTTTTTCTTTTTCTTTTTTTTACTTGTCTTCTTCTTTTTTTTAGATATTAATTTTGTGTATAGGTAAAAGAAAAACAAAAACAAAAACGTATTGGTTTGGATTATTTTAAATTTTTTAAAAATAAAGAGAAATATCTGTATTTAATTTTAAATTAATATCTGTATTATTTGTATGAAGTATGAGAGAAAACTTATTAAACAAGTAAAAAGTGAAAAAAAAATAAAAACTATACCGTTGAAAGAAATAATATATGAAATTATATTGAAGTACCGAATGTGACTCGGAGATAACTGAACGCTCCACCGGCGACAGGGACGTTAACTGAGAACTCAGTGTAACAAAGTGAGGACAAAAGTGCCGAAAAACCGGCGACCATGTAGGAAATGAATACGGCCGGGCCAGAGATGTCACGTGCGACGGGTCCGGTTGTCACGAAGACACCGACCCCGAGCATGCCACCGACGCCGAGAGAGACGAGGTCAAACCACCGGAGTTTACGCTTCATGTCCGCACCGGAACGAAGGCGGACTTGGTTGACTTCTTGATCAGGAGTCCACGTAGCGAGCATCCTGGACTTGAGCCTGTGTGGTGTCTGTGAGAGGCTGTGGAAGTACTTTGACATGTTTTGCTCTTTCGTTCATAAGATAGTAGATAATTAAATAAGGTCGTTTGTTTAGCTTGACGAGTGGGAGTGGCTCTATATATAATCAGTAGGCTTCTTGGATAACCTTTCGTTTCGTATGATTTCGAACGTTCGATTTAAAATCTTTTTATCATAACTTCTTTAACTTTTTTGTTCCTCCTTTACTTTGAATATATATATTTTTTATAACAGTCATAGTCCATAACTTTGTTAGATACTGTAGTTATAATCATAAACCGATCGCATATTTATTGTTAGTTATATTAATTCGTTATGACCCGTAGACTAATACATCTCTATTTCAACAAAATTTCGTATTTAAATGCTTTTACAACGATTAAATTTGCTGAAAAAGCTTCGTGCTCTACCTTTGGAATGTGAGTTTCCATTTAGTAATAAAAGGAATTAATAAAAAAGAAAAAAAAAAAGAAGAAGACATGTTCGTATCGTAGGACAAAACTGATCGTGATCATTGGGAGAATCTAAAAGTGGGTTGTACACTGCGGACCTTATTACAAAAGCTTTACTGAAAGTACTTGTATGTCCTTTTTCACGAGTTTTGTAGACTGCAATTATAGTCTTACCCTCATCTATAAACCACTGTTCTCACGACACGTCTACGCAGGTACATACAAAATCATCTTTTAGACCAACCAACAACACATGCATTTTTGCAGCCTTTCGCAGCCCGAATGATCAAGTTCTTTCTCGTTCTATATATATATATATATATTATATTTTGTGTATATATCATGCATGATGATGGATACATGTACGGGAAAGAAAGTATGGCTCTCTTTCTCTCAATTGGTATCCTTCTCTTATCTTTAAGAAGCATCTAATTATATAGAAATATTACCTTATATATGAGCAAAAGTACTTAGCTTAATTACAATAAAAACTCTGGTATAATCTTTTTTTAGCTTACAATAAAAACTCAGGTATAATATTTGTTTGTACGCATTGTTGATCAACTTGATTTTGCAGTACAAATTATGAATCCAAATATACGTTAAAATCTTTTTAATCGTTCATATTTTGACTTAACGACGTGAACTTTTAAAGAAAATTATTTTAATAGATTTTGTAACTTTTGTAGTTTTGATACGTATCCATCACATTCTTCTTTACTTCCGAGGAACACAATGTGAATGTGAATGATCTTTTATATATATATATATATATATATCACACTATGATAATTAATAAAGTGTAAATTTAGTGGGATGAATTAAATTATCAACCCATTATGGTTGATGGAGTAGGAAGAGAGCTCCATACCGCGCTAATTACTACTATTAGTGCGACATTAGTATTTGACAACAAAAATTGTAAGTCCACCTCCACCTTCATTATATTATTATAACCGTATAGTTTAAACCAATTATGTCTAGTCAAAGTTGAAATCAAATTCATTGCCTTTCGGATCTTAAAACTATATGTCAAAACATTATAAATTACTTATCCTTAACTTTTTTTGTTTGATAGGAATAACGATAATGAAATGGAAAGATACATTTTCATTACTGGAGCAGTTCATGAGCATACTCACAAAACTCTATATCATAAACAAATTAAAGTATTAGTAAAGTGAAATTCTTGTTATGCATTTCTCTATATAAAAAAAAATTGATATTCGTTTCTCTAATCTTTATAGTCTTTTGTCATTATTTTTGTGTCCCGGAGTTCAATTGTTCAGGTAAAACCAGTTGTATACACTCGAGATAAATTATGTTAACGTAAAGATTTTATTATTCAAAAAAAAAATCACCAAAGGGTAAACATGAACAATTAGTTTACTATATCTATATACACATACGCACATATAAAAGCTGAAATACCCTTACCTATTTATATAAGTCACAGCATGCACATACGCTATCAATACGAATCTTATATATACATATTGTGTATTTGTGTTTGTGTGTATAATGTAAAGCATGTAGTGAAGTGGACCATGTTCATATCTCTGTCGTCCATATAAATGCATAGTGTAGAGTATGAAGTGCACTATGGTCAAGTCTCCGCTAACCTAATTGATTGGATCATCACCCTTAAAGTATTCTTTAAAATACTTTGTCTTATATCCGAAAAAGAAACCATATTTTGATGTATGTTAACACACCTGGAGATGTTCTTCTTGAATATATTCTAAAGTTCGTGTCATCGACGTGTAAAGTGTTTTTGTTTCTAATATATTTATTGATCAAGAACAAAATGACGTTACTTGGTCTAGTGCGTATGAAATCATCAGTGATTTCTTGGTCAAATCACCAAATCAAACGTATGAAATGAGTGATTTCAAATCACCTAATGACCACGAAAAAAGGATTGAAATTGTATAAATATTATTTTGTATCTAGAAAAGTAGATCATGACACCATAGAAAACTATATTACAAACAACAATTTTTAAAAATTTCTAAGGATTTGTAAAAGTTTTCGAAATTGTATCAAAGAGTTACAAAAGATTGTTAATGTTTCACAAAACTGATGTAAATTTCCAAAAGAAGTTGTGGAAGTTTCAATTTTTTTTTGTTACGGTTCGAGAATGCATCATGAACAATTTCCATCGACATTTTAGCGTTCAACTAAAACATTAAGATTAACACATTACACATATAAATTTGTTTTCAATTCTAATAAGGGTTAAAAACTATCTAAATTATTATAGAGCATTAGTTATTACTTTGTCTAAATTTTTAGAAGTACTATAGTATGAACTGCTTTATGAAGAGTGAAGACACATGTAGACAGCTTAAGTTTTCAAAATAGACTATTCAGCTAGTTCTATTTACAAAAATAAAAAAAAAGACTATTCAGCTAATCATTAAAAATTAAATAAAAATCATCATGTTACCAAAAAGTAAAATTAAGATAGGAAATAGATGTGTGTGTATGTATATTCAATGAAGAGTAGCATTCTAGCATATTTCACAAGAAGTTTACCTTTTATTGATACACTAACTAAATACAGTAATAGTCTCTCTAATTACATAGAGTAGCTATTATCAAAGATTTGACATTTGAAATGAACATAACACCACAAAGCTAAAGCTTTATGCGTTTTTGATCCACTCCAAAATTATCATGGTCCAGTTAAGATTGCCTTATATTGCCCACTCACTAAAAATAAGCAAAAGTAATATTATAAGATCGTTTGGAAATTTAGAATAAATCTATAGAAAATTAATAACATTTTTAAGATATTCCGGTCCATGAACCGAAAGCATGAGTACTTCTGCATTATAATAAACACACACAGTCTTTAGATGATATTTGTTCCAAGTTTTTCACGAATGTTACAACGTGAATGTGAATATACTTATAATGGAGTTGAAAAATTAGTGTGATATAATAGAAAAGAAAACTGTGTATTGGCGTTCTACGTTATAGCTGGATATTCAATATCATATACTGTATGATATGGTTTCTACTATCTGATATACATATGGTGCGATAATATTAGAAACCATATCTTTTCTAACAAAGTAGGTCTAGGGTTTCTTAATACTATATAGATACTTAGTGTGAAGTCATCATTATAAGCTTATAACTTCATCATTACCCTATTAAATGTAATAATGATGAGGTCCATTTCAATGTTATATAGACTTCTAGGTTACAAGTTAGACCAAATGATTAATTAGGTTGCTAGATTGGACATGATATTAACGATCGGATATAGGAGTATTCGATCTCCTAACTCCATTACAGCGATAATGATATTGACAGTTTTTTGCACTTACCTTTCTTACCGCATCACATACTAATTCTGTATTATATATTACACAACTGCTAAGTGACTAATTAACAAAAATGTATGACCAATATCAGAGTATATATATACCAATCTTAAGTTGTAATAATTTATTTTTATGATTTATCAATTTGCTGACGATAATATTATGCTGATTGTGTGATATCGCTTGATTATTATGTTTTTTTCTATCTTCTTTTTGGTGTTTAAACTCTTGTTTAGTATGATATATTTTTGTAATCTATATTTCTCTATATTCAACTCATACATACAACCTTCTTACCCAAAAAAAAAAAAGCAAACTCATACATATAACCTTTTACATATCTAGGATTTTGTTTTTTCTTTACATCTAAGGAATTGTTTTAAATTTCTTTTCTTGACTGTAATTAAACTCATACATACAACCTTGTGGGATATGTCAAAGGACAATTAGTTAGTTTATTAATTTGTTGAGGCTTTTAGACAACATTAACGGACTTCTCACATTACTATATATATCTGTCATTTTGTGGTTTCCTAATTTGAATTAACGTTTGATTATGAAATTATCGTGGTGGAAACTCCTCATCCAAACAATACGATTGATTTATACCAAGCACTAAATTACTATTTATATAATATTTGTTTGTTTGATTTGAACCGTAGCTAGTGCCTTAATTAACGTCATAGAGTGCCTTAATTAGTTCATTTGTATTTGGTTTCTTTTGGTTTATCATAGGCTATGAAATGCCCACCATTCCACCACAAGAAGTGTGATGTAACAAATAAATAAATAAAGGAAAACAAACAAAAAAAAAATCTTTGATTGCAAAGTTCATATCAAATACAAAATATTTAAAAGAAAGTAATCGATCAAAGAAATAAGTAGCCAACAAGATTGTCAACAATGTTTCCGCATTTAAATATTTATCAAACGATGTACCTTTAATCTTTTGGGACATACAATACAAAATAATTTTGATGTAACATGTAAAGTTAAATATATATGTCATGGAACTTAAATTAAACCAAGGTGGTCTGCCATACATGAAAAGACGACATCCATGATTTTTTTTTTCTTTTTTTTTTTTTGTCGCCAAAGACATCCATGATTTGAAACCATAAAATCCTTTGAAAAACATATAATTTTAAGAGAATATTGAATGTAATAACAAAATTTTGCAACCGATGCTTTGGTTTTACAGTAGACCTTCGTATATATATGTACAGGTGATTAGGAAATTAAATTCAGTCAAAGGATATACATAGGCAGATATGAAATCGAATTATCTTAATTTTTGGAAGAATTGAGAAAATGATAGTATTAGAGACTTTAGTCACGAAACATATTCGTGTAAATAAAATTGATGCAATTGTCAAGGGTCTAATATATTGCACACGTATAACACAGTCATTCTCAACCCCAAGCACCCAAAACTACTCACCACTTAGGTTATAAATTTATGTAATGAATTATTGTTTTATCGAAAATATGTTTATAAACTAACTAATCAAGCAATCTTTGGGCCATTCCAAATTCTAGGTTATCTTTTTCATACTCTTTTTGTTTTTTTTTCTTCACTAATTAAGGTTTTTTAAAAAAATTCTTAAAGACTACATACATGATACATAAACGCATTCACAAAACACTTGTGTTAAAATATTGCATAAGTGGGAACCATGGACTTATAACGAGAGACAACTAGTTTATAGCTTTAGAGAAAGTGAGTGAGTGAGAGAGATAAAGATAGAGGAAAGAGCTTAATTAGGACGAGTAAAAGATAAGTGGACTCATCATAATATTCCTGTTTAGGAAAAGGTGACGTGGTGACCTCATCAAGAGTCACCGTCGGCGAGAATAAAAGGAACGGTGTTGAACGTCCTCCTTGTGGTGGAAGTGGCGGCTGTGTTCTGGTGGTGGACTACGTTTTATATTATTCTCCCATCAAAGTTATATCTATTGATCTAATCAAGACAGGTTTTATTGATATTTTCTATCAAGGAATCAAAGATATTGGAACTTAAGCTTGACTATGGATATAAAGTTATTTTTTTTTTTTTTTGGACAAACAAAGCTTTCATTAAATTAAATCCTCAAAAGAGGGGAGTTCATACAACTGAAAACTAAGAGCATACAAAGGAAATAAAGATAGAGGTTCCAAGAGGTTTCCAAGAAAATGCTTGACTTTGAGAGGTTTGCAATGCTTGAAGAATCGTTTGGGACCATAGCGGAATCGACCATGAAGACGGGCTTCTCGAATTCCTCGACCAACAAGTGATCATAGAAGGCTCTTGCAATACATGCATAGGAGCTTTTAAAAGGGTTCTCCATGGAGGAGGTTAAAGGTAGTTTTTCTGCTGACAAGAGAAAGCGCAAGAACAAAAGTTCAAGTGTCTTCAGCGTATTGGGCTCAAATCTCAAGACTTTAGGTGAACCTACAAACATGAATCGCAATGGATATGTGCAATACCGTAACAAAGCAGGTGGGTCCTCCCTCACATGAAGCCATCGGCCATGGAAGTTAAGGAATTCCACACAAAGCTTGTAGTCGGATTTGCAGTGAAACAATAAAGCAGACCCTAGGTTCAAACTTTTAGGCGATTGGTGGTGATGGAGATAGGCGAATTTGATAAGGGTTTGATACAAGCTTTCTATCTGATCTTGACAAGGATAAATATCTAACCAGCCTAGAGAGCCTTTTGTTTTGCTATTATGAAGTCTGCGGCCATCCAAAATAGAGACAAAAGGATCTAAAGTAGGTGCTTTCGATAGAGGTTTAAGGGACCTAATTAGCTTCAAAATCAGACAAGTACCATAGTCTAACCAACATAAGCTAAACTCCAGGGTTCGAGCAAACCTTGAGCTTTGAAGATATGGGCTGAAGTCAGCTAGCGTTTTTAAGGACTGAGCTCTCTTCATCAGGGTCTTCATCGGCTCCAACGTCAAAACAGAGCTCCCGTCCAACTGCACCCAAGTAAAACACTTGGTGAGGGGATCTAAATCCAAGGAACGAAGAGATGTTGAGGTTGACTTCGAGGGGAACCGGTAAGAGAGACGAAGAGCGGGGGTTTCAAGGATCTCAAAGCTGATCAGAAGGATGGTAAAAGGAATGGAGAGGAAACGGTAATCACAGCTCCTTAGAGACAGGATCATAATGCCGTTCTTCTTCAAGCTGGGCCAAAGTGAATAAATTGATGGGTCACTTATCACATAAAAGGCCTTCGATGAAATTGGGCCAGAGAGCAAACAAGTAGATAATGGGCCTAGCCCAAAAAGGGCGACCACTGGAGCAGCTAGGGTTTTGGTGCTGTTTGTCGTCGCCCTCAACAGCGGAGTGGCCGCCGTCGGTTGCAGCCTCCACAGTGACATAACTTCTTCTCGATAAAGGCACATGTGGAGTGGAAACCTTAAAGCCGGTGGAGTCCGGTTAGTAGATTCGTCGAAAGAGAATGTTAGGAGACCAGATCTAAAGGATCTGAGAGATGCCGAGAGGCTAGTCTCAGAGTTGCCAGTGGTAGCGCCGCTGGTTTCACAAGTGTTCTCTCTTCCCCACTTCATATAGGATGCTGCAAACGGAGGATGGGTCAGAAAAGGACTCGCCGGAAGTCTCATTTTTCTTTCCTCGCAGGTTTTGAAATTGTTAAGGAGAGAAGCCATAGAAGAAGAGGAACTTGGATTTGGTAGGGAGTTGCACAAAAGTAAAACAAGTAAGAGGATCCAAAAGCTTAAAGGAGGGGAAAGGAGATTCAGGGTCATTGATAGATCCCGACGCCGGTGAGCAGTTGCTACACCGGCGCCGAGAAGCAAAGGTAAAGAAAGTGATTCGATTTCTGTGTCTGAGAAAGAAAAACTTTTTTTCTTTTTATTTTTTTTTGGTATATATAAAGCTTTGATTAGTAACACTATACCACTGTGGTAACTATTCAGTGAGACGGTGAAATCATTGTCGACACTATTGCATTAGAGGCAAGGAAAATACAGGTCATGTAGAGGAAACCCAGTTGCTGAAACAAAGATATGGCATTTCAAATTAGTTTTTGTTATTTCATACAATTACGACTCGAGTAGCTAGTGCTTAAGAGTAGACATGAGGCTTGTAAGATAGATAACTAAATAACAAGGTTCTGGCTTTTTACTGCAAAAGAACCTTCTTGACCTCATCAAACTTCCCACCAAGTCATATAAGTATCTTTGATCACAACGGATTCCGATTCACATCTTTGTACAGCAGATACCGAGACCTAGTCTTTCCAAGTGCAGCATACCTGAAACAACGAACACTATCTGAGAACGTGTGGTCGAATGATCTTTCAGGTAGTTAAGACACAGTTCCAAGAGAGAATCTTGCAAAAGTTTGAAAATTGCTTGAAACAGAGTAGAAACTCAAGTTGTGGGCAATCTCATACCATTGAGGAACAAAAGGAGCCATCCATATGACATCACCAGCCTGAACTGGATACCTATTAAAAGAGAAGATCACATCAAAGTTATAACCACTTCTTGTATCGTGTGGAATGTGGCTGTGGTAGCTGTTTTATTTTTGGTCAAATGCGTCTGATCACATTACATAACCAATGCAGAAGACTAATTTTCTTGATTGTGCATGTGTGTGTTTGTGGAAGCTATATATCCACACTTATGATTTATTAGTACAGCGTCGCATACCAGTTATCTCCCAAGCGATAAATGCCTTGGCCCTCCAGAAGCAACAAACCATGTTGGTTATAATGAACTTCCTGTTAACATTGCAAAATAATATGAGAAGACTAGACTGAAATGGAAAACTAATAGTTAGAGAAAGGAAATCACGAGCAATAGATGGTATCACCATCCGTATAGTAGTAATGAAGCTAAACAGTTCTGTACCTTAACATTGAGAAACTCTCCAGGCTGAAAATCCATAATCTGCATATGACAGGCACAGTAAGTTTAGAGGTCACAAAAAGCGAAAGGATTCATTCGATCAAGTGAAGTGCTTACATGAATGTTGAAGTCATAAGCAAGGGACGTCGGAAGAAGTTTCCGCAGTTCAAAAACCTGTAATAATAACAAACCAAATCTTCAGAGATGACTAATGTAGAATCTAGAACTTGTATTACAATGTAAATTGAAAGAATTTAGATGCATTATGAGGAAAGTGGAGAACTTTTGCACACTTACCTCACCAGGAGTCTCTAGTAGTGGTTGATTGTCCGTGGAGCCAACGATAAGCTCTGTTGTGTGACTTCCTAGATGTTCATACCTAGAGATGTACCAGTATAGCAGGAGATTTTTAAGTTATAAACTGAAGCAAAACCTGAAATTTTCTTGTCATATTAATGGGCAGGAAAAGAACCTCCGCTCGAAGACCACAAGTGTTGCAGAATCAACACATTCCAAGGAATGATAAAAGTTTGGAGGTAGGTATGCATAGGAATCAACCTACAGAAAAAATAGGAATATCAGCAAAAATGAAGAAACAAGTGGAGAAATCTTGCAAGCATTCATCATCAAAGCTGGGTAGCAACAATGTAACCAGAACAATACTTCAGTAAATTATTCTTATACAGATCATACCGCCAACTTTTTTGTAGAACTGGATGTGTTAGTGAGTGTTACAGCACCCTCGACCACGAATACAAGACTTGAAGAAAATTCAAAATATTGAAAGGAGTTAATAAGTAGAATGTAGATAATAAGTGTAAGCATATGTCAAAGAGAGAGAGAGCTCATATATGTAACAATACCGCTCTATGTCTTGTGGAGGCAAACTTGAACTTGACATTTCTGCAAGAGACAAGAAAATCAGCAGATGATCACCAAATCCTACATGTAGACCATATAATACCGCAAATCCTTAATCCCTCACTTGTTCTACGTATAGCAAGAACAAGGGATTGTTCTGATACCAATAAGATTGGTGTAGCAGAGCACTCAAGGACACAAATCTAGTTCCTAAAAGATTACATTGACATCTAGATAGTAACTCTAATATCAAATAATAAAAGAAAATAATCCCAAGATGAAGTTCATCACTTCTGAGAATAAATTGGATCCAGACCTTTCATTTTCGCCAAGTACATGACAAAATGGGATCCCGTTGCCGGTGTGATCAAATATGCTCCTAATGTGTTTGTCCTGTAAATTTGAGCAACAAATAAGTGAAAAACTTGCAGACTTTAGCCACTTACAAGATGAAGAAAACTAGGGAAGTTAAAAGAGTGTTCTGTACCAGTCAGGTATAGGGCTGTATACATGACTTTCCGGTGTTATTAACGCATGATCTCGTTTGTATACACTTCTTGTGAAACCGGGCAAGTCTACAAAACAACAAAATCAAAACATTTCAGCTTAAATTACTTGACAAAGATCCAAAAATGAAGAATTCTCAATTACCAAAATTTATCAGAAATCCCCATATGAATATACAAAGTGACAACTATCAGAAAGAGACCAGTAAATCTGTCTATCTGACAGAACTGAAACTTGAATGCTTCCATGGCTTCTATGCCAGCATATACTTGAGCAAAATTTAAGACCTTTTTACAAGGCATGAGCCAAGAATTCAAGTAATCCTAACTAGTAATCAGTACTGCTAGTAATCAAAATCAACCCTATTTGCTATGACCTCGCACAATTGACCTAAAAGGGTAATCGAACTCAAACCAGCAAAAGGATCAAACTTTTAATGACACGAAGCTAGAAACGAGTAATCTAATAACATCACGATTGCTGTAAGGAAACATATGAACCTTGGAGGTGTGAAGGAGAGAGTGTTGGATGTGTTGCTTTCCAATAAATGGGTTTCGTCTTCTCATCCGATTCAACAATCGAAGGCGCTGAACAAAACCCATCGTCGCTTTTTGAAGCTTTAACAAGACCTTTTTGAAGATGATAAGCAAATTAGAAAGTCCTGATTAGTTTCACAGTATGCACACAAAAAAACTTATGAAGAATATACAAGATTCGTACTTACTGATGATGATGATGAAGACGATTAAGTGAAGTGAACGCATTTTTGCTGAGAATTAGTGGAACGATTCAGGTTTAGTGCTCTCTATTCATTCATGTTTATAAAAATCTGAGAACAAAAAGAAAAAACAGAACACGACAGATGATTCTCTGAAGTGGCCAGTAGATGTTTTGTTTGGTAGCCTCATAAAATTATACTAAACTTTTTCGAAAATTAAGAAAATCCCGGTTTGATTTGGTTTCTACTAATCGAATAACCGGAATATTTCCAGAGAAAAACTAAAACTATTGGGCTTATTATTGAGCCCAATAATAATGTTATAAAGCCCGATATGATATAGATCGTCGTTATCGTTTCGGGGTCTCGGCGACTCTCTCACTCTTCCTCTCTGCAACAAACAAAAAAATGGAGGTAGCAGCAGCGACTGCGACGAGCTTCACAACTCTCCGAGCTCGTTCGTCAGCGATAATCCCGTCTTCTACACGTAACCTGAGATCTAAAGCGAGATTTTCTTCATCTTCGTCTCTTAAAGCTTCTCTCTCTAATGGCTTTCTCTCGCCGTATACCGGAGGAAGCATCTCTAGTGAATTTTGCGGCGCTAAGCTTCGTGCGGAATCGCTGAATCCGTTAAATTTGTCCAGTTCCAAACCTAAGCGCGGAGTTGTCACCATGGTACTTTAATTTTGTACATTTCATATCGTTTCTCAATTAGCTGAGGTCTACACTATTAGGATTTTGAAATCGGGTTTTCCGTGGCTGTAGCTGATATTCTGCTTTATGCTCCCGTGGTAGTGTATTTCCAGAAATTGTATTGGTTGACACCAATTGTTGTTCCTTAGTTTTGAACAATGGATTAGAGTAACTCAAGATAATGGCAATTAGATTGCAATTGGAAGAATGCTCATTCATTCTATAGCTTATATTTATGCTTCTCTGGTAGTGAATTTACAGAAATTGTAGTCGAATCATACTTGACCAGCGGTTGTTACTTAGTTTTGAACCGGCGATATCAATGGATTAGAGTGACTCAGTCTAAATATGTCTAGTCAGGTCTCAAAGAATGCTCATTCGTTACTTTTTAAAAATTGATAGGAGATGCTACATGTTTGGTTAGAAGGTTGAGTATGAAGATTATATAGTGCAAATGGTTGAATATTGATTTAAGTTGACTATTTGTCACTTATTATGGGGCAGAAGTTTCAATTCATTGTGTGTGCTACATACAATATGCATCAATTCCTCTGATTATGAACAGGATCCCTGGCTGTCATAGGGAATTTGGAGGCTTTTATATTCTTCACATACAGTTTTTTGTCTGATCTATTTTAGCTGGGCTGAGATTAATGGTTGATCAATTCACTCTCAGTGAGCCTTTTTCTTTTTCTTTGATTCTTATCATCGCAGTTCCCTCTTATCAACAGGTTATACCTTTCTCAAAGGGAAGTGCACACGAACAACCTCCTCCTGATTTGGCATCATATTTGTTCAAAAACCGAATTGTATATTTGGGAATGTCTCTTGTACCATCAGTCACTGAGTTGATACTTGCGGAGTTTCTTTACCTTCAGTATGAAGACGAGGAAAAGCCTATTTACCTTTACATAAACTCGACAGGGACAACCAAGGTAGGCTTTCATATGGAAAGTCCAACATATTATCAACTCATGCTGAAAAGTAAATTGAAACTGTGGTTTGTTTCAAATGAATGATGAAAAGTCTATAATTCATTACCTATTCGTTCAAAATGTTATAAGAGAATTTATCTTCTCCCATTTCAGAATGGTGAAAAGTTGGGCTATGATACTGAGGCTTTTGCAATATATGATGTCATGGGGTAATTGATCTTCGTTCCTTTTCTCTACTTACTTCTTTCACTTACTTTTCTCTTAACAGTATTGATAACTAGACTTGAATCGTAAAACTGCTTTCCCAAATATTTGAAATTGCACTTGGAGACAGTTTTCAGATCAAGCCTATTTTGGGGAGACCAACCAGTTATCCATGCAGTAATCAATTCTTACCTTATCTTTGACTTCAGGTATGTCAAACCACCAATCTTTACTCTTTGCGTCGGGAATGCTTGGGGTGAAGCTGCTTTGCTTCTGACTGCTGGTGCAAAAGGAAATCGTTCTGCGTTGCCCTCATCAACTATTATGATAAAGCAGGTTCATTCTGATCATTTCTTTTAGATATTAGGTGACGTGTTTGGCTGTCTTATTCCAGTTAGAAGAAACTAAGGCTTATGATTCCTAATTTCTGTTCATGCATATTTTACTCATCCATATATCTTCGTTTGTATGTTAACTTTGTAGCCCATTGCTCGATTTCAAGGCCAAGCCACCGATGTGGAAATTGCAAGGAAAGAAATCAAGCACATAAAAACAGAAATGGTGAGAAGATAAACTTGATATGAATTCACATAGTAGCGAATTAAGTGTTGCTTGTGATGTTCGTAGAATATCTTAGTTTGATCTTCAATATGCAATAGTGTCTATGCGTGATATAAGTCTTTTGAAGGGGGGTTAGAATATATGTAATATGTACTATGTAGGCAATGGGCGTTATACTTGCAGACATCTTAATATGCATCAATTAGCCATTAATTGTATGCACTGGCTCTAAAATCATGCTACCATTCTCTTTTCGATATTTTTCACTTCTATTGATGAACTTATCTGAAAAGTTGTTTTTTTGTTCTATGTAATGTTGTGCTCAAGGTCAAGTTGTATTCAAAGCATATTGGTAAATCCCCGGAGCAGATTGAAGCTGACATGAAACGCCCAAAATATTTTAGTCCCAGTGAGGCTGTTGAATATGGGATCATTGATAAGGTACTATAAATGACAGAAAAATCCAAAAACGTATTTACTAAGATCAATGTAGTTGTATGTAAACCTAAAGCAATAGCATGATGAACCAAGAAATCTCCAGGACCTATTGTTAAGAATAATGAATTACTACTCTCATTAATAGCATTTAACCAGCCAGGCAACTGGTTCTGTTTTCCTTCAACATAGAGTTCTAATCCTCTGCATAATTGAATCATTCTCTTTCTGTAATCTGTTTGCAGGTTGTTTACAATGAAAAGGGCAACCAAGACAGAGGAGTTGTGTCCGACCTTAAAAAGGCACAACTCATCTGAATGTCAGAATTGTCTTTCGAAATCCAATGATTAACAGGTAAAAGCTAAAATCTGCTTGCTGTCATTCTATATATCGATTATAATGATGATGAAGCATAAATTTACATTTCATGGGGGGGGGGGGGGGCATATTCTGGAATCATGTACCACTTTCGTTCTGTAAACTTTGGACCAATTATCTAGCATTTACTAACAAAGAGGAACACCTGTAAAAGTTCTTATACTTTTTACTCCTCACAAATGGCTTGTGATTATTACTTTAGCATTCAAGCAATAGCCTTATAAAAACCAATCGAATACACGGGAGCATATATTTTGTAATGTAATTGTTAGAAGTGGCCTCGTGTCTTCTAGTTTTGCATCCCATTTAGTTCAAATAGTTACTTCCCATTTTCCCCTGTTGCGCTCTTAGGACCCATTTTATAGTGATATCATTTTCATAGCCCATTATTACAAATTTCACTATTGATGGCCGACACCTATCCAAGGATTATGCTCCTTCAGACACTAGAACTCGTATCATTGGTTGTCTTAAACAAATGATTAAATCTCAAACCCTTGCCTTCTCTGATTGTTTGCATATTAGCACGTACCATTGATAGGTCTTGGTGATTTAAAGTAATGTTAGTCTACTTCTAATTCTATTGGCTTCTCGCTTTATAAGTTTTTTACCTTGTTATGACTTTATCATTATATTATGACTTCTAATTCTATTGGCTTCCTTTTAAAAAAAAAAAACTTTGTTATCACATAATCATTTTGCTGTGTTTTGTAGGTTGGAGATTTGACCGCTGATCAAAGGGGGAATCGGTGAACCATTCACTGGCACAGAAGTGAGGTAAAATCTTGAAACATGTTGAAAAAGGGTACCAGTAATGCTGCAATTGTAGGGTTATTTGAACAGAAACAAACCCATATGTGTAGGCTTTGTGAATGCCTAGAAACAAGATTGGTGTATCTTTAATATATGCTTTAAAATGAATCAGTTTCATTTGCTCTCACCTCTAATATGCGTATGTGTATATCTGTTACAAACCAATATGTTGCTTTGTGTTCACACCAAGCAAGAACGTGTACCGTTTCTGGAATAAGATGGAGATAGGCATGAATGAGCGATGACATGATGATAAAATGCACCAACCCCATTATCTCTGTATCCCTTTTTCCTATAAAAAGCCCACATTTGTCACAAACAGGCAATGTTGATTTTATTGGATGTCAGTCAACTGTTTAAATGACGTCACCGGTTCCTTACGTGCCGGCGAATATGAATCCTTCCACTGGCGTAAGAAGAAGTAACCAATGATTTAAATTTTAGGGTTAGGGTGTGCGCACTTTATCATAACCAAACGTTGACAAACGAAAACGTTCATAAGTATAAAGATATACACACCTAAGAGTGCTATGTGTTACTTCTTGGTAAATCGTGAGATTAATCTGAATTTTGGTAAACAAACAAAGTCCATTGAAATAACATTTGTGTGGTAGATGATGATTGTGTATAAACTTCCCTTTGAAGTGAATCTCATTCAAATATAATTAATCTGTGACAAAGGGAATAATGTATAACTAGGAGGAGCCTATAGGGGACGAGAAATCAAATATTATTAAGTGGATTACAACCAAACCAACAACAAGTAGGGTTCAATGACTTCTCTATTCAAATTAGACTTATAGTATCCTTTTTGTCTTTCTCTTCTCCTAATAGAATTTAGTTATATTTTTATAACAATTATTTTATTCAAATATAAAGCTAGGCTGCTGCAAATAATATCCTACCACACTCAGTGTGTTGTTACATCCCTCTTATTGACAACACTAAAGTTGAGATATACACATAATAGGAGCAACTGCTATACTTACGTGGTGTGTTTATCTTATTTTACTTAGTTTCTGAGTTTTAGAAAGTAAAAGGGCTATTTTAGTTTACTATATTTTATCTATGCAGTACTGGTATGTTGGTACCAACTTGTGTATATTTTTCTTTCACGTTGGAAAAAAAAAAGACACATCTGGCTGATCAAACTCATAGATTATCCAAATGTAGTAGACTTGCTTAAGCATATCGGATCCAAACTCTCGAACAACATGCTATCGAAGAAAACCATTTCGGGGAAATGACCAAAACCATGTTTTCTGTCCTGCAAATATATACTGGTTACTACAACTTGCGAGGGCATGTCTTTATCTGATAATCATAAATAAATGTCATTTTACACAACCCTAATACTTAATACTAAAATGCTAGTTGTGTAAAACAATGAAGGTTTAGTGATTCCAAAATATAGCACGCTTGGTATATTGTATTAGATTCATTTCATCCAATACACCAAACAGCTAATCGCAAATCAATCTATTAAGTATTAGGTGTCATGAACTTCTCGTTTTGGAGGCTTGACCTATCAGTTTTTTAGATAATTAATCACTAGACCCAAAAGTTATAAACCCCACCACCATGTATATTGCATTACATATTTTGGATATTTCCCCACCCTCATTTTTATGCATATAGTTTATAGATAACTTTATAAAAATTCTACAATAATCCCCAATCTATATTTTCAATACACAAAATGTTCACCAAGCGAGAACGCATCAACAAAAACAAAATAGCGTAACTAAACAATATTAAGGACCAGAAAATTATTTTATTAATTTATTCATTTTAAATTATACTAAGAGATATATATAGTGTTCTAGTCCATTAACAGATGCTCATACTTGATATTTTAAAATGCGCATAATAAGAATCTATTGGGTTGATGCCAACTCTACTGGTAAGTACATTGGCAGATGAATGATATGTAAAGTGTAAACATAATTATTTTAACATTTGAGACGATCAAGTTAAACTAGAAAATTGGGTAATGCAAGTACGCGTTATAGCTAATATAAATTTGAGTTAGCTTTAAACTTTTTGCCAAGTGGAAAGAAACAAATAGTAACGATGCTTGATCAATGGTATGATATTTATAATAAGCACTTTAGCTTCAACTATAAATACCCTATCAACCCCCCGACTCTATCATCACATATTCACATATATTTTGTTATTACCAATTCCATTATTTTCCTATATCGCTTGTTAAGATAAAGGTTTACAACGAATAGTCCTACAATATTTATAGAGTTAAGATAGCACAATATGAAGCAGTCTCACGTTTTGCTTCTTCTACTCGTTCAAGTCATTGTCCTTTTGCCTCTCCATTGTCTATCCGACGGTTTTGTTAGCTCTCGAGCTACTTATTATGGCAGCCCGGAATGCAAAGCAAATCCTCGTATGTATTTTAATTAATTATATTGCTATAAATTATGTACCTCTTAATTAACTTTTTTTCATTAGTATAGTACGTAACACCTCATTATGAACCTAAACTAATTAGTTTATATATTTGTATGATTGTATATACGTGTAGGTTTATCCAAATTCTTAATATAGAATTGAAACGATTCCATTACGTGTCCATAATGAGACTTTTTCAAGAAACCGTTATTATTTGATAAAATGCCTAGTACTTTGATTTCTATCATGAATAATTAAACTTTGACTATTATGTATGCAGGAGGACATTGTGGATATGGAGAATTTGGAAGAGATATCAATAATGGTGAAGTGAGTGGTGTTTCGTGGCGACTATGGAACAATGGAACCGGCTGTGGTGCTTGTTACCAGGTTTATATAATTCAACCTCATTAAATATTTCATCAATATATAACATTGATCATATGCTAATTTCAATACTAAATGTCCATTACTAACCTTATATAATATTATAATTTATGAATTATACAAAGGTGAGGTGCAAAATACCACCACACTGCAGTGAGGAAGGAGTATACGTAGTGGCTACGGACTCCGGAGAAGGAGATGGTACGGACTTCATCTTAAGCCCTAAGGCGTACGGACGTATGGCTCGACCCGGCACAGAGAATCAGCTCTACTCCTTCGGTGTGGTCGACGTCGAGTACCAGAGGATCCCTTGCCGGTACGCTGGATATAACCTAGTGTACAAGATCCATGAGAAAAGCTATAACCCTCATTATCTTGCCATCCTTGTCTTGTACGTTGGTGGTATCAATGACATCCTCGCCGTTGAAGTATGGCAGGTAATTATCTTGATCAAATATTATTACAAAACAAAACAAAACAAAACATGACAAGCTAAGTATCATGTAACGATCACTAGCTAAGACAATATATTTGTTAATCAATATATGGTTGTGTATGTATGAATTATAGGAGGATTGCAAAGAGTGGATACGTATGAGAAGAGTGTTTGGTGCGGTTCACGATTTGCAAAACCCACCAAGAGGCACTCTCACATTGAGGTTCTTAGTCTACGGAAGCGCCGGTATCAATTGGGTCCAATCGCCAAACGCTATTCCCGCCGATTGGACCGCAGGAGCCACTTACGACTCCAACATTCTACTCACTTGAATTCCATTCCCAGTTTCATCAGTGTGTTTATAGATACTTATATATATGGTTTCTTCTCTATGTAATGGGCTAATATATTTAAATAATGCCCTCTAGAACAATGGTAATAAATAATCCTAGTAGATTCATATAGTTTATTATGTATTGTGTCTTATTAAAGAAGATTGTAATGATTTGTATGAGTTCGATTTCAATGGAATAAATCAGTAGTAGCAAATTTATCAGATTATCAAACGTTTCGTAATTCGTAAGCATTTCTCATGCTATGAACACAAATTGGCGCGAGTAATTTAATAATTTACAAAGGCCCATTAGTATGCTTAAGGCCCGTTACATTTTGATTAGAAACTAAAACGACGTCGTAATTGTGTATATAAAGAATAGAAGAAACACGCATGTTCTTCCATTTTCGACAATGCAATTGAACCAATCAGAGAAATCAGTAGCTTCTTAATTCATCTTCGAGTCCTGATCTTGGTCATCTTCTTCGTTCGATTTCGTCAGTTTTCTTCGATTCTTGGTGGTAATCGATTCTGAAGTTCTTAGAGGAAGCTAGAGAAGAGTGAAACCCTAAATTCGAGTTTGTTTTGTCTACAACTCTATCTAACCGAAGCTCACTAATTTGATAACCTTCATTGGAGTTCTTCTTCAGTCCTGTTTTTGGGATATTGGGTTGAATGTGGCAGAAACTCTAATTTCGTGGAAACTGTGGAATCGCACAGTTAGTACACTCTTCCAGAAGCTGTCCTGTGAGTAGAGAATCCCTATTGGTGAAAGGATGCCGCAAGTTAAGATCATCGCGAAGAATTTCATGGACATGGTGGCGTCTCTTCCAGCCATCAAGCTTGACAAGCTCTACAACAATGTCTTCATCTGCGAGGCTATTCTCAGGTTAGGTTATGTGTCTTTGTTTTGAATCATAGATACTGAAATGTGGGTTTCAGAGGATTTTTGTTTGCTGTTGTTGAGTTTGGAAACAAATTTGAGGATCTTACATTCTTGAGATGGTAATCAGGTCTTTGCCGCCTCTAGCCAAGAAGTATGTATTGCAGATGTTGTACATTGATGTTGCTGTACCTGCTACGGTGTTGGAGGAGTGGGTGCTCGCTGATGGTGCCTCTAAGCACAGAGTTGCTATTGATCGACTGATTCAATTAAGGATTTTTTCAGAAATTACAGATAGGTATGCATTCTTGGTTTTATTCTTGATAGTATCATTGTTATACTTGTTCAGATGTTAAATATTCTCTTGACATTGGATGTTAACTTGAGTATTGTTTTGTGAAAGATGATAGTTCCGATTCTTTTTCCTATAATATCTTAAGCTCCTCTTCCTACTTTTGCAGGAAAAGGGGAACCAGTTACAGCCTAAATCCTACATTTCAGAACAATCTTCAGAAACATATTATTTCCGGGTAAAGGCAACGTTACGTTGATGTCGCAGTCCTTTTTTTGTTTTTCTCTAGGCTTTTGGAGAATATGCTGATGAGCCAAACCTGAATTTTGTAGTGGAGTTTTACCTAGAGAGCCTATGAATTCCGACAATTCCATTAAGCTTCCAAGTCTACAAGAACTTGAGACCTATGCCCTTAAGCAATGGGAGGTGTGTGTATTTTCTAATTTTGTTTATTGATAATACCAGTAAGATGGAAGTAATTGTATAAGAAATATCTTGTAATGTGCATTTGGTTTGTATCTGATGATGTGCTCTAATGTTTGTCAGCGTTTCTTGCTACAACTCATAAATTCGGGTCAAGGGGACAAGCTAAATGGGATCAGTGAATCTATGATGAAAATCTTCCAGCGAGGTTTATTGAGTCAGAGGTAATTTTATCATACACGTCTATAGATGCATAATGGTGGCATATAGGCTCTCTATTCAGTACAGTTCATCTTTTATTGCAGAGACAAGGATGGCCCAAGATTAACTGAAAGTGGCTTTCAGTTTTTGGTATGCAAATATGAATCATTGATCTTTAATTACTTGTATATATAAGAGTAACCTTATTGACCCTAATTTGCAGCTGATGGATACAAATGCCCAGCTTTGGTACATTATCCGAGAATACATATCGAATGCCGAGGTTTGTAATTTAATACCATGCCTTAACAAGGTTTAGTTAAGTTGATATCTCTACACTGAATGAATAACCCAATGCCTTTGTTGTTCAGGAGCGAAAAGTAGATCCAGCAGACTTAATTTCGTTTTTGTTAGAGCTTAGTTTTCATGTAACTGGTGAGGTACAACTGAACTTCACAAACTAGTCATTTCAGGCGTTCTTGTTCTTTTTTTTGTTCACTCTTACTTTGATTTAGCTGGAAGCTTCTTAATTAATTCGCTGAGCTTAAACATCTTATACTAATTGCAGGCATATAACTCAAATACCTTGACAGAGCTTCAAAAAAATACACTCAAGGACCTTGAAGACTTGGGATTAGTCAAGCTTCAACAGGTTAGACTTAGACCATTTGTAATATTACCAATTTACCAAATACCAAAAGAAAAGAAACTTTTCAAAAGTTGAAATTAGAGAGATTATAGAACTATGTCATAAGCTGAAGAACTATGTCATAAGCTGAGCTATCTTTATAATTATTAAAGGGAATGAAAGGCAATTGGTTTATACCTACTAAACTGGCTACAAATTTGTCAGTCAGTCTGTCAGATTCATCAGCCCGAAAAGAGGTAACACCTTTTCTATTCCCATCTTGTTCCATTTTTAGGTACTACCAACAATTTCTTGATTTTGAGTATCGTTGTTGTTTGTTATTCCTCATCAGGGATTTGTCGTGATGGAAACGAACTTCAGGATGTATGCGTACTCCACATCTAAGTTACAGTGTGAAATTTTACGTCTGTTTGCGAGGTAGTTGCTCCTGAACATCGACCTGTAACTTCACTTTTCTGAGTTCTGTGTCTTGAAATCTTTAGGTCTAAGTAGTTGCTGCTTCATTTTTCCAGGATAGAGTACCAACTTCCAAACCTTATTGCTTGTGCAATTACAAAGGAGAGTTTGTACAATGCATTTGACAATGGCATCACATCAGACCAGGTACCTTTGTTTTCAGTTGAAAAGTATCCATCCAATACATGATTTCATGCTTACACTTGACCGGACCCATACTTTTTGTAAGATGATGATCATATTGCTGATGCTTTTCTTAAAAGTTGTTGAATGATCATTTTCTTTTTCCTTTTGTTTTGTTGTCACAGATTATAACCTTTCTCCAGCAAAATTCTCATCCACGATGTGCTGATCGAGTCCCAGCTATTCCAGAAAATGTCACCGATCAGGTTTATACACCCTCCTTCCATTTAGTGTCAGTTATATTAAAATGCGTATAGGATTGGTTTATAGCTTGAAAAGTGTATACTTGCCTCTGATCCCTGATTTTTTTGTGTGCTGTTGAATACAAATGCATTGTTTATGTCAGATACGGCTTTGGGAGTCAGATCTAAAGAGAATTGAGATGACCCAGGCCCACTTTTACGATGAATTTCCTTCAAAAGTAACAAACTTGAATCCTCTTAGTTTTTGTTTTCATTTATATCCCAAAACCATTATAGTAAACCTCAGTAACCAAAATCTTGTGACATTCTGTTGGCAGGATGTGTTTGAGGCAGCTTGTGACTTTGCTCGGGAATGGGGAGGCCTTCTTTGGGAAGACTCTAAGAGAATGCGACTTGTGGTGAAATCTGAAGTTCACAATCAAATGCGTGAGTTTCTTCATACCCAAAGCAAATAATAAGAGGAACCTCAACATTTTCTTCTCTTGGTTAAATCAAAACCTTCTGTTTTGCTACTAGAAAATATATATTGCGTAAGATTTAAGCAGAAAGAGAAAGATGTCTTGTTACTCATATTAGTTCTTATCCTGGGAACACATGTTGTGCCGTTTGGACTGCTACAAGCTTTAGGAATATACCTACCAATCTTGTCCAAATCACTGATGTATATAGTCTGAGGGATGCCCCATTTTTGCGGATTTTGAAAAACAGTAAACAGTTTTGCTGATTATACTTGACATCAGCCTGAAGCAAACTACACATCTTTCCAATACTATGTACAAACACTTGTCATACTTTTTCCACATTTAAACGCACACAGCAAAATAATCTTTCAGTTATGATGCTAAGTTTAGTTGAAAACAATATATCTGGTATAATCAAACCAGGGCCACCTCTATAAGTTCTTGCACGCTAGACAGTAGACAGACCAGAAACTCAGGTTTCGTTTCTCTCTATCCAGTCATCCAAATTCCAAATTATTAAAACTCAGCAAATGAGAGGCTGCGATCTCAGCTTAATCAACTAAGAGAACTTTAACCGTTGGATGTGTACAGAGACTCTGAATCTATAATGTGTCAACATAAAGACAAGATCAGTCTTTATTTTGCTTGAGCTTTTTCGTTGGCTGTGGATTCTGAATCCTGTATCTTCTCTCCCGTGTTTGCCTCTGCACTCATATTTGCATTTCCACGTGCACGAGCGAGTCTCTCTGCTTCTTCAATCTTTCTTATAGCTTCCTGTTGTGTTGCGTTCATCATTGTCCCCATTGTTTTCTTCTCTCCTTCGAGCTGAATCTCCATTATGGTATCAGCTTGCTTGTCTATCGGTTTAAAATAGTCTTCAATCTGAGCTTCCTGTATTGGAAAAGACCCGAAACAAACTTAAGACTTGAAATTCTCCTAACACTGGACAAAGTAAAACAAAAGAGATGGAAAGTTTATAATTTAAGAAACACAGGCTCTGCGACTGGTTTGGCGATTTCCTTCCAAAACTTTATGCTTTCAAAATAACAACGCCCAATAAACTAGAAGCTTTTTCCCATCTTTAAATGCTTATGGAACAAAAAGCACTTGACGGATACGATATCTCAAACAGTATTCACCATACTTGACGTACATATATATAGCTGATGGAATTGATAATCTCACTCAATGGGAGTAGAGAAAACCATTTGCAAAGTTTAGCCTGAGGATAAGGCAAGAAACTAACCGTATTCTCAATCTGCTTATTCAAATTCTGCATCTCCTCAACCATACGGCGGACTTCAGATAATACAATCTGCTCTGGGAGTCTGTTTATCTCTGCTTTCTTTTGTTGGGCCTACAAGATCAAAGGTTCGAATCAGATAAAAAATGGATCCATGAGACAACCCTTGCTAGAAGCTAGAAAAGTCAAAAAGTATTGTTGAACATATAAAACACATACATCTCTACGATTAGGACACTCTTATTTAAGGAAGACCTTATTTCATCACACGTCAAGTGTACAATAAATAACAGCCCATTTATACTCTTTACAAGATATTCTTCAATTAACATAAACATAGATGGACATATTGAAGTAAATATTCTGCATACAAGTTTATAGAATATAAGCTACTGCTTCAATGTCTCATCCTAGGCGATAAACTTAAGTCCAAAAAGAGACAGAAGCTAGGGTGTCATCAATCATCATGATATATACCAATCATTCTAAGGCAATAGATAAAAGCATGGTGAGAAAGGAATAAACCTGCTGGATACGCTTTTCGAGTTGCAACCTATAATTTCGGATTCTCCGTTCTTCATACCCAGAGAGGACTCTCACATAGAACATAGCTTTTCTCCCATATTCCACCAGTTTGTTCATCTTCCTGCAAACCACCTGCGAACGAGTTTTTGTTAAAAATCAATGAAGAGCAAAAAACCTATAAAATCATCAACTGTAATGGATTATGTGAAACAAGAAAAACCTAAAAAACCTGGAATTGATGGTTCACTAGCCACAAACATAATAAAAACTTAGCTGAGAAATTGAACTAGTATCCGAAGAACGAAGATGTCTACCATTGCGCATCAGTTATCATTATAAATCAAATGAACACTAGAGCTTATAACAATACATAGAATCAAACAAGCTATAGATCTAAATCATTCGCATCGAAGACTAGGAAATGACGGGAATCGCAGGTCCAAATCCAAACAAAGCAGAGGGAATTGCAAAGAGTATTACACAAACAGTGGAGTTATGCAAACGAACCTCAATTAGATGCTAAATAATCGATCGACAAAGACGGGATTGCTCAAAATGGGATAACCCAAAAGACTTGACTCTGCCACACAAGCGACGAAGAACCAAAAAGAAAAGAAAAACAGGATTCACTGAGATACTCCGATCGAAAATATCTGTTACTAGTACAACCGTAGACTGAGGAAGAGGAATTCCGGCTCCGGCGGCAAGAAAACTCCGTCACCGATCTCTCGCTTGACTTGAACGGGATAATACCAAAATGGCAAAATCTTTAGCAAACAATTGCTTCGCTCGTTCCCTTATTGGGCTCTCAAAGGGCCTTTTACTTTAAAGCAGACTATTAATGGGCTTGGCCCAGAACCGATATTTCCTGCCAATTAATATTCTCATGCGCTTAGCTTTACAGTCACATGTAGCCGTTGATTCTCGACAGTCTCACAAGTAGCCGTTGAAATAAATTCATTTGACCATATTCCTATTTGTTTCAATTTGAAAATTGATTACTAGCTAGGCTCCAAACTCTTTAATTAAACCAATGATTTTGATTATAATTACAATTTCTTATTTGAATGCTTACGTCTAAACAAAAAAAAAAAGAAGATAAATGTTGTGCATTACGGAATAATGTACTTTGTTCAGTTAAATTAAATACAGATTTTGAATCTGTCGAATAAAACAAAGCAAAAATGATTTGCAAAGAAACAAGAAATATTCGTGCGTCAATAATATGATATGATAAGGTTTAGTTTGGTTCTGTGGAAATGCCGGTTTAAAAGAACCGGTTTTGCTTCTTCTTTCTTTTTCCTCTTTCCTTCAGATTTACTTTACTCACGATGAAAAAGATGCGTCGAAGCTCAAAAACACGGTAGTGACGAAACTAGCCCTGGAAAGAGACCATTATTACAATCCTTTCCACGTAACGGCTAGTTTTGGTGATTGTTCCTTCATCTTGTCTGAGCTAGAAGACACAGGCACCAAATTAGACACTACTCTTTCTCTCTCACTCTCTCTATTCCTCTTTTTTCTCTCTTGTGAAACTCTAATTTTCTGATCATTTTAGTGTAAATGGAGGCATTCGAGCATATTACAATGGACGAGTTTACCGAAGAAGACTTCTATGAGACGATAGAAGCTCCCAAGTTTGTAGACCTCACCGCACCAGATCATCGCCCTGAAGGAGATGATCGTTACTGGTTCTGTTCTAGAGTTGGTCAGAAACTTTTACATTTTAACTTTTTTTCTTTTTTGAATGTTTGAATCAATCATTTGTAGTACTATTAATGTTCCAGTGATCTGGGAAATTTTGATTTTGAGAGTTTCTGGAAATTGCTAAATTAGGGTTTTAGTCAACATTTTGTTTTTGGGTTTTACTTTAATTAGATTGTGTTTTGATCCCTTTTGGTTATAATGTGTACTTAGGATGTGATCAAAAGCATGAAGAGTTTATGGATTCGGAAGCAATCTACAAAAAATTCGTTCTTCGGGTTAGATAAAAGATCCAAACTTTTTTCTTTTCTTTTCTTCCTTATTTTGATTTCGCTTAGAAAAAATTCACCAATTTTGAGATGTTAATCAACATTACTAGGTTATGGCAGCTAGGAGTCCAAGTGTTCGTCTTCGAAAAGCTCTTTACAGAAAGGATTTCAGGTAAAGAAACTGAAACGCTGAGTGTGTTTAACTCAGAGAGATCATCAGTGTAATGTGTGTTTAACGTTACATTGTTCTACATACTTTTGATATTACAGTGTTGATCCTAAATGTCCCAATACGGTTCCTGCAAAACCCTCGAGATCACGCGTTTCTAGATTGGCTATGATCTCATCAATTCCTCAGAAGGGTAATGGTAATATCAGGTCAAAAGAAGCAAAAGTAATTTCCACTAACAAGAATGTAACTCCAAAGGCAAAGGTGTCATCAGTTCCTCAAAAGGCATTAACAGAGAGAAAGAAACAAATGCAAAGTCCAGCAGCTTTTAGGAGTGTACAGAATCCGAGAAATGCAACAATCAAGGTGTCGGAAAACAGAGTTGTTGCAAAGGCTTTGGTGTTTCAATCTCCAAAGAAGTTGGTGAAACTGAAGAGATCTGTGGAGCTTAGTTCCTCCGTGAAGAAGTTGTGTAATGGGATGAGGAAGCTTGAGATTAGTAACAAAAGAAACGGTTTAGGGGTTAATCATAAGGTTGTGAGTTCAGTTCCACCTCGAAGGCCGCTAAAAACACGAGAGGTGAAGAGCCGAGTGTTTGATTCTGTGCGGTCACAGAAACAGAACGATGCGAAAACCAAAGATGTCAGTACTTTGAAGAAGAGGGTTAAGAAAAAGGAAGAGCCTGTGCTTTCCACTGATCATTCTAAAGCTCATGAAGCTAATGGAATAGAACTTGAGAATCAATCTTTGCCAAGGACTAGAAAAACTAACGGAGATGAAGAGCTCTTGGTTGAAAACAAATCTGAAGAATTGTCAGACACATTGAAGGCTAACATGAACAACCAACTCCAAGACAGAGAAGATCCTGCTGTAATAAAGGAGAGTGGACTGGCTACATCAAAGCAATATCAAATAGCAGAGATTGAAGAAAAAGAGTCGGCATTAGCTTTGGAGTGCGAAGACAAAGAGAATGCTACTATTGCAGTGGCCATCAATAGAGAAGATATTTCTGAAATAAAGGTGACTGGACTGGATAAAGCAAAACAATGTGAGACTGTGGAGATTGAAGACAAGGAAAATGCATTACCATTGGAGTGTGAGAACAAAGAAAATGTTCCTAATGTGACGGATGATGATAGAGAAGGCAACGATAAGGAAAATTCTTCAGCAGTGGACAATAACAGGTGAGGAAAATGTTGGTTGCTTGCTTTACTTTAGGTTCTCGTTCTTTGCGCATCACCTCACAGATATACTTGTTTTGTGTGAATCTTGCAGAAAAGTCGACCAAGCCACCTACCCTTTGTTGAAAAAGAAAGTCTTTGGCAAGAAAGAAATTTGGAAAACTACTCAAAAGGTATGTTACATAGCCTATGTACCTTCTGTGTACTTTTTAACTGTGTACTTTTTAATTGGGCTCTACTATCATCTTCTGTGTATTTATATGCATTTGTATGGACCAGGTTATGACACCAGCAGATAAATATTTCAATAGCAAGATTGTTTCGTCTGGTACTCGTGTGAAGTATACAAAACCTAAGCTCACCAACCCAAAGCCTTTTCGACTTCGAACTGATGTATGATGTGCAATAATCAAAGATGTATTTTCTCTAATATGCAACCTGGTTTTCTTTTCTGATGGTAGAATTACTTATAGGAAAGACGAATTCTCAAGGAAGCAAACACGGATAAGAAACCAGAGTGTACTCTAGCCAAAGAAGAAACTGCAAACATTATGGGGTTCCATGGTGAAAACTTGGGTCCAAAACATCAGCCAGTTCGAGTAAGTTCTTTCTGAAACATATCAATGTCTATTCATCGTATGAGTGACTCTTTTGTGATTTAATAATCTCAACTGCAGTTGGAGAAGAACACAACTTCCCGGTTGAAAGCTTCAAGAGGGGCCTCCACTACTCCTGTCTCTGAAAATATGATTAACTGCAAGAGGTAAAAACTGCTGATCAGAAACGAAAGTGTAGTCTCTCACTAGAGAGAACCGGGCAATCGAGTTTTTGACTTGTCATAACAGTTACCTTTCCTTAGGATGTAATCTGACAATTTGTTTTGCATTTCCTCAGGGTTGTATTAGGTAGAAAGAAGCAAGTGGCAAGTAAAGGAACTGAAACCGTGGCAGAAAATAAAACGATGAATGGAGAATCTAAGGAAGTTGCAACCATCAAACCTTCTGTTTGTGTTGCTTCAGGGGAGAAAAGACCTGCAACTGTTCCAAAGGGACCAAACTTCCATAGCATTCACCTCCCCAAGAGCTGTACAAAAAGAGTGGCATCACAAGTATAAGATCGATTGTCAATGATAACTTTGGTTTCAATACACACGAGAGTCATGTAACTTTGGTTCATATTTGAGAAGTGACACCAGTGAGATTGTTTTAGTGTGTATAAACACGTTCTTGTAGTCACTTTTTGAGATTTATCAACACGAAAAGTAGTATGTGGTGTGTGTAATTCGTAGAATCACTCGCCCCTGAATCCACTCAGCTGTATCAGTTGGAAGTATCACCAAATATTCTTGTTCCGTCTGCAGGAGAAACAACTGATTAGTTTGAAAAACCATGAAATCATCAAGTATATATATAGTCATGGTAAGAGCTAAGAAGCAAGATGTATTAATTTAATTGCCTCAAAAAGATGACAAGCTCAAGTTGGACTCAGTTTTCAGTGATCATACTATATATATTTGGATATGGATATACGTACTAGAGTCCTTTAATCGACTTGGCCGAACTTGAACAAATTACTCTGTGGGAATGAGGATTATACACGTTTCGGCCACAGGCCCACAAGACAGGTTATGATAGCAAAACTCAAATTTGACATCTTCATATCAGAGGGGATCATTGACTTCTTTTGTAGGGAACCCAAAGTACTACATATAGTGAAGATAAATATATCTTACATGTGTTAATGTCAAAGTGAAAACGTTGCATGCCGTTGTTGCCTCTAAAGTGCCATGGAAAGAACTTTTTATTGTCGTTGGTCACGACGCAAACCTCATTGGATACCAAAAGATCTAAGGAACTTGTTTACGATTTTGCCATACACTATTTGTACTGCAATATGCTCATGTAGTTTACAAATATAAATCACTAACATGGCTTAAGAAAAATGTTATATTCTAGCCTAGTGCTATATTGTATGAGATTCTCTACGATACTTTTTTCAACGTATGGTTTCAATTATTACTAATACATATACACACACAATGGAAAATGGTAGAGGAAATTGAAAAAGACAGACATGTGAATGTCACTTTCTTTTTAGCTGTCTCTAGGGTCGGGTATATCTATATTCCATACCATTTATTCACTATACCCACCACCCTCTTTCATATTCTTCCTATATTCTCTCAATTACAAAAATATTTGAAATTTTCTCATTTTTTTCATGAATTTTAAATCTTATTCATGTATTCTACACCTCCATGAAAGGAAAATATAAGTACTGTAATTTATAGAGAAATAATATTATTCTATAGAAAATTCCAATGACAGCTTGCAATTAGCTTTCTCCTTGGTTTGTCTCTTGTAATCTTTAGGAAGAACATTTGTTTTACTTTTAATGAATTTTTTTTTTTAATAACGTATTTTATTTATTAAAAAGGAATTACGGAGAATGTGTAACACTTTTTTTATTCTCTTGTGATTATAATTTATATTCATCGATATCATCGACTAACAACAAGAAGTATATATTAATGTGTTCTTGTCCTTATAATCATATATATGAATGTCCTATGAATATGAAATGTAATGGTCCGTGACAATATAGATAGAAGATATGAATTTACATCACATACTGATACAAAGTCTCTCTTCAACTAGAGTTGACGATAAACTTATTAAGCAAATAATGCAAAACAAATGTCTGAATCGTACATATCAAAATACAAACTCAAATATGATAGAATGTTGAACACTAGGGGGAAAAAAAATATTGAAAGTAAAGTACACGAAAACGAGGCTGACCAATTCAATAATGATCTCAAACGAGGAGAAGATGTGCTGCAACAACTCCAACAACGCAAGACACTGCTACGACGTTGTTTCTAACATTGAAAGCTCCAGAATCAGGGGAGGCCGCCATTGGCGGTGGCATGGGTCCCGGAGATGCTGCTGATTCCATTCCCGATGGCATCGGCGGGGAAGCCATACCAGGCACTGTTAATGGGCTTGGGCTTGGGCCCATTGACATCATTGGTGGTGAAGCCATAGGCATTGGTGGTGGAGTCATGGTCATGGGTGGTGGAGTCATCATAGGCATGGGTGGTGGAGTCATGGACATGGGTGGTGGAGTCATCATAGGCATGGGTGGTGGAGTCATCATAGGCATAGGTGGTGGAGTCATCATAGGCATAGGTGGTGGAGTCATCATAGGCATGGGTGGTGGAGTCATAGCCGGAGGGGGGATCATGCTTCCACCGCCGCCGCTAGGCATTGGGGGCATGGACATTGAGCCGGAAGGAGCCATCATGGGAGCTTGAGCTAAAGAGAAAGGAACTAAAACCATAGACAATGCAAGCAAGAGGAAGGCTTGTGGAGAGGAAGAAGAGGCCATGGTTAAGTGTGTTTCTGTGTTGAATAGTGGTTTATGTAAAGTGATATATAGAGAGAGAGAGAGAGTACTAGTAAATAAAGAGTGGAAGAGAAAAGTGAAGGTTCTTTTGTGCTATTAGGGTATATATTATAGAGATGATTTGTTTTAGATTTTTAGATCGTTGGATACATTGTGTGACACGTATCAGTCAATGGATAGGTATGGGATGCTGATTTAGTTTCCTCCACATATTGGAAAGAAAAAAAAAGAAGATGAAAATTCCAAAGCGAAATCTCTTTGTAAGAGGTACATATAGAATAGTCAATATATATGAAAAATGGGGATATATATTATGATCAATCCGATTCACGGGCTGGATTTTGAAGGGGTGCATATCATATTTATTAGAACAGGTCATTGATGAAGTTAGCCATTGATATGCTTGAACGATGTTGTTTTCATGAAGATTTAACAGAAAATTATAACCTTATCGATATATATTCTTCAATACTATCGGAAAAGAGACAAAATCTTGATAGGAAAAGATAAAAGAGCATAATGCTATATTACAAAGCAAAGAAACAAAAAACAAAAAGGGACCATTGTTTGTGTTGTATTTGGTCACACAGCCTAACTTAAGCTCCACGGCCAGTATTATGTCCGGACACACTAACCGACATTTTTGGTTAGTACGTAACCCCATCTGTTAAATTAGGGTTTGTTATGGGGTTCCAACTCAAAACCAATTGGTAATAAGTGTATTGGCCCTAACCCTTTATATATTACTTAAGTCTCCTCACATCTTCCGATTTGTGATCTTTTCTCCACACGCCCCCTCGAGATAATGGCTTTTTTAGCCATTAATCTCGACAGAATCCATCACGCCCCCTCGAGATAATGCTCTTCTAGCTATCTCGATGGAATTGGGCCTTCTTTTGGGCCTTCAATTAATGGGGTGATCGGGCCTCTATCTGGGCCGGATTAATTAATGGGTCAGCGTGTGTTCGGGCTCTGATACCATGTTAAATTAGGGTTTGTTATGGGCTTCCAACTCAAAACCAATTGGCAATGAGTGGATTGGCCCTAACCCTTTATATATTACTTAAATCCCCTCACATCTTCCGATTTGGGATCTTTTCTCCACACCATCCCATTTGCTTTGTCTCTCACGAGCACTCTTTGTCCCTCATCTACTATTTATCCATCTTTACATTATTATACCATCAGTCCATCACAGATGCACATGTTCCATCCATCCCACCCTACATTCATATACATATATATCATGTTCATTACATGCATCCATGTATTTCATAAGATTGATTTCATTTGAAATCGACGAGCATTGTTGTTTTCTATTACATACACAAACTCCAGCTTTCTCATTGTATGTTGCAAACTGAATTAGTTGGTTTGTTCGAATTGCAACAAGTTTGATTTTTCTTAAATAATTGCAATTCACAATAGTCTAGTGGTTGAATGATTGATTATGCTAGTTTAATAAGTAAGGTTTGAGCTCTTTTCTTTCTTCACTATAACGTCAATGGTTGCCCACTATAAAAGCATTAAAAAAACAAGACTACCAAGTTTTGAATCTTGTGATAAGTTTAGGTTTCAGTCCGAAATTTTCCGAATGTTAAATAACACACTTATATCATCAGTCATAAATCATGATCTATCAAATATGTTCAGGCCAAAAAGAAAATTCAATAATAACGTTGGTATACTTTGGTTTTACAGGTGCGCATATAAAATACAATACCCGTAGTTATATGGGCTCATTTAAAATAAGCCTATACGCACAAGGCCCATAAGAATGAGCGGGAACATTTATTCATGTACAAAAAAAACTCGAAACAATATAATCACACGTACCGCACGTGCTATTCTCCCGCTCCTTCTCCATTTGCCCCCAAATCTCAAATTCCTCAAATCCCTAGCATCTCCATCTCTCTCTCTCTCTGCCCTCAGATTCACAGCATTTGCAATGACGGAAGACTCGGAACCGCGTCAACTCGGTAATTCTACAGCCGTAAGAGAGCTCATGGCTACTCTTGGTCTCTCCGAATCAGACGTCTATGACTGGCTTTGCTATTATCGGCAAGCCTATGAGCTATGTCGTCTCCTGCTTTCTAGTGGCAATCCAGAATCTGTTATAGATCTTTCTTCAAAGTGTAGACACTTCCAAGGTTCTCCTAAGCTTGTCAAATTTCTTTGCTCGATCCCTAGTTCTCCTATTTCCCTTGCTGGAGATGGCTTCACCGTTACTCTCTCGTCTGAGTTACTCTCCGCTCCGGCTGGTTTCGCCCGTACTTTGGGTCTGCCGGAAAATGTTATGTTTGAACAATTAAGGCGTTTTATGGATCCGAGATCTCCCAATCACAAGCGGAATAGTCTTGCGCATATGAGAGGTACGAAGTTTCTGCATTTTTTTTTAATTCTAGTTGAGTCGTTTTGGTATCTGCTATTGTGGTTTAGTAGGCATAATTACATAGTGATTCTCTTCTCAATTTTGGGTTACTTATGAAAATATTTCAGAAAATGAGGAACAAGAGGAGCAGTTAATGCCTTTGTCCAAAAGAAGCCGCAAGGATGAGATCGATGTAAGTAATCTCTTTAATAAATATGAAGTTCTCATGGTATATAGTTTAGTTTCAAACATTCGGGGGTTGAGTTATTGTGTTATTGATTTATTTTTTCTTTAGGTGAATTACTCTGTAATGGATAGCAGACCTAACGACACCAGAACTGTTGCCGGTGGATCTATGCTTGGGACTATTTTGGCTTTAGAATCCCGAGCTTCGTTTTCTAAGTTAATTGCATATATCCTAGAAATCGTGGCTTCTGATCATAATCCTCAGCCCGGTCCGCAGATTCCAAATTTTGGTGGCGAGATTATTGCAAATGCTTCAGTGGATGTCAATCCTACTCATTGCGTGGAGGAAAGCAAGAACGGTTTGTCATCTCCTCAGGAGGATGGATATTGCAAGCAACTTGAAATTGAAGATTTTCAAATTGCTGACAACGAAGACAGTGATGATAAAAACAAGAAGGATCTCTTCCCTAAGGGGGAGATACAAACTTCCTGTGTGCAGATTGTGGAGGACACTGAAGACTTTCTTGTAGAAGATCACACTGTAGACATCTTTAGCAGCCCTGTCAGAGGTCTGCCGTTGAAGCCTTCTGCTACAGAAGCTAACCAAGATAATTATTTTGTACAAAATACTCAGGATCAGTGCAAATCGCCAGGAAACAGCAAAGCGCACAACTGTTCCCCTGAGAAAAAAAACACCAGAAAAAGTAAAGCTGTCCAGAAGTTGAAGCAGAATTTTAACTCCATTCAACCTAAAGATCAGAAGGTAGACATGTCTATTTCCTCTAGAATGAGCCCCTTGCATTTTTTTATATTGAGGCCTTTATATGAAGCTTCTACTTTAGCACTTTTGCACTAGCTTTTAGCATTAATGCAAACTATATTAATATTCTCGTATTTGTGGTTTAGGATCAGTCAAAACATAACACAATTCCAGATTTTGATTCTTACACTATTGTAGAGGAAGAAGGTTCAGGTATTTCTTTCCATACTATTTCATCTACATTCCGGTTCTGTCGAAACAACTTAAATGGTTATTGACTAATCATTGGTGAAATCCAAATGTAGGCGGCTACGGGATTGTTTATAAGGCGAAGAGGAAAACCGATGGAACAGAGTTTGCCATTAAATGTAGGGGGAAGAAAATGATATGTGGCTAGATTTTTTCATTGCCTCAGTGTTTTTAGTTGAAAGAACTGCCTCATGTGTTTTCCTTGCAGGCCCTCATGCTGGCGCTCAGAAGTACTATGTTAATAATGAAATCAGAATGCTGGAGCGTTTTGGGTAAGTAACGAAGTATGATTAGGCATGAAACTTCTACATTTTTTAACATAATGATTTGAAATTGCTGAAAATGTTGTTTCATTCAGGGGGAAAAACTGTATAATAAAGCATGAGGGATGTCTCAAGAATGGAGATTCTGATTGCATTATCCTTGAGCACCTTGAACATGACAGACCTGATTCATTAAAGAGAGAAATTGACGTGGATCAGCTACAGTGGTACGGCTACTGCATGTTCAAAGCTCTATCAAGTCTGCATAAGCAGGTAAAGCAGATTTTGGACTAAATTATTTTTAGCGTTCATATTTCAATCACATAACTAACTAGTTTGATTGTTTCTCTTCTGCAATCTTGAAGGGTGTTGTTCATAGGGATGTTAAGCCAGGAAACTTCCTCTTCTCTAGGAAGACCAACAAAGGCTATCTCATTGATTTTAACCTTGCCATGGTTAGCATTTTTTTGGCATCCTTTTCTTATCAAAATCTTACTAGCAACGGTTTTTGGTTAGTGTTTCTTAGAATAAAAGTTGAGGTAATTGAAAACACCTGCTTATTCAATTCTAAGTTCATTGTCTAACAAAGGCACTGAAAAACTTAAGGAAGCACAAATGTTTATGTTGATATTTACTGTTATGTTCCCTTCCCCACCGACTGATATTATCTTTTTTTTTTTTTTTTTTTTTTTTTTTTTTTTTTTTTTTTTTTTTTTTTAATTAGGACTTACACCAGAAGTATAGGAGAGCAGGTAAACTTCTCCCCTCGTGCATATGCACTGTACTCGGCTATTAAATATTAAAACTAAAGCTATCTCTTTTTATGTTCTGTTAAATCAAAAGCAGCTTCAGGTCTTCCAACCACCAGCAAGAAACATCATACATTGGTTAAATCACTTGATGTGGCAAACCGAGGGACCAACAAATCTTCTCAGAAAACTTTAGCGCCCAACAGTCTCAAGAAAGTAGCGGGAAAGATAAGAGCTCGGAATAACATAGGCAAATGGGAGATACTCAATAGCCAAGGGGCAGAAGGGTCAGGCTTAACTTCAGCTAAAGATGTGACCAGCACAAGGAACAACCTTTCAGGTGAAAAAAGGAGAGAGCCTTTGCCATGTCATGGAAGAAAAGCGCTTTTAGATTTTCTGCAGGAGACAATGTCTGTTCCAATTCCAAACTCTGAAGTATCATCCAAAGCTCCTATATCTATGAGAAAACGGGTAGCTGCTCTTCCAGGGAAAGCTGAGAAGGAACTTCTTTATCTGACCCCAATGCCACTGCGATCTAACGGTCGGCCTGAAGCAGGTGCAGTTCTGGTGTCATCATTGACTCTTGTTATTGTATTAAAGTTTAATTTAAACATTAAGAAATTATTTTTCCAACTTTACTAGGGGATGTATGTCAGAAGAAAGATGGTCCTTGCTCAGGAACCAAAGGCTTCCGAGCTCCAGAGGTACATCAACTGTAGCTATCTGTCACTTCCCTTAATACTAGTTAAATCCATATGTAAATCTTGTTCCTTGAGACTAAAGTTGTAGGACTGAGCTACTCATTAGCACACCTAGGATGAAAAGCTAATTCTCTGGGGCTGTTCTTGGCTGAATTGGTTTGTGCAGGTTTGCTTCAGATCTTTGCACCAAGGACCTAAGATAGATGTATGGTCTGCGGGAGTTACTTTGTTATACCTCATAATGGGAAGGACACCTTTCACTGGTGACACTGAACAGTTAAGATCTGACTTGACTGAATCACCATCACTCTGGTTCCACTCTTTTTTTCTTTCTTGCCTTCTTACGATGACCATGTGATTCCCAGGAACATAAAGGACATTGCACAACTACGAGGCAGTGAAGAATTATGGGAAGTAGCTAAGCTGCACAACCGTGAATCCTCTTTCCCTAAGGTAACATCTCATCTTACCAGTTACCACCCTTCTAAACTCTCCATTCATTGGTTGCTGCATTTATGTGATATATAAATATACATGCTCTGTTCTTCTTTACCGCTAGGATTTGGATTAAAATATCACATGAAAGGGTTTTCATTGCTAGCGTTCTGTTTCTTCTACTGCACTACTAGAACTTGATATATCTTTAAAATGTAGATTACTAACAAAGTGAATCTGATAGATGATCGTGAGAGATGAATTCAGTTAAGAGTTTTGTGTTGTTGTTTCAGGAGTTGTACGAGTCAACGTACTTGAAAGGGATGGAGTTGAGAAAATGGTGCAAACTCAGCACGAAACGCAGAGAGTTTCTAGACGCAATTCCACGGTCGCTCCTTGACCTTGTTGATAGATGTTTGACCGTTAACCCGAGGCGACGAATCAGCGCAGAGGATGCTATGAAGCACGACTTCTTCTATCCAGTCCATGAAACCCTTAGAAGCCAAAGACTCCTTAAACAGCAGCAAGCACAGTTGCAGCCTTCAGTGGTTGCTGACGCAGTAGGGCAAACACTAACGTAATTATACAAATGTAAAAGTAAATAATAAAATATTATATGAAAATCTCCACTCAAGTAGTGTCCACACCTCACAACCCTAGAATACTATAGTAGATTAGTAGTTAGCAAACTAGATAATAGGTTGTGTTAGTGTTTTTACCGTATTATAATTTGAATAAATATTTTTTGGGTCACCATAATTTGAATTAAAGTCCTCATAATCGATATATTTAGTCTCGTAATCTCTATCATGAATGTATGTAATAGGGAAAGGGAAACAAGACTTTGATGTTAGGCAATCATTACATTCTTACGATGTTTAAATGTCTTGTACAATGACAATCACAAAATTTTGTCTTCAATAATTTGTTTAAGATGAAACGAACGTCAAGCTTCTATCTATTTGCCTAGAAATTACGACAACTTGAAATCTCTATTATTGTAATTGATTGACAACCACAAAAATCAGTGTCTTCGAATATATCTTTGTATCTTTCCAGGAAAAGAAGGCGAAGTTTACGTATTATTTGTCCCATCTCCCAATTGTATTGTTAGGGGATTTGATTATAACCACGCAAAAAAAAAAAAAAAAAACTTGTATACGTAAGTCTTCTACCCAAGTCTTGGAGAAAAGGAAGACGAAGTTTCTTCTCTCTTTCTCACTTTCTCACACTATGCATTGCTGGTTTTCTTCTCTTTCTCAGAGTTCTTTCTACCGTCTCTCACATGGCAGCTTCTTCTTCTGGCAGCCGGAGATACGACGTTTTCCCAAGCTTCAGTGGAGAGGTTCGCAACTTCGCAAGACCTTCCTCAGCCATCTTCTCGCAGCGCTCAACCGCAAATCAATCAATACATTCGTCGATGATAAGATGGAGAGAAGCCGCCAAATCGGACCTGAGCTTATATTGGCGATTAGAGAGGCCAATTCTTTTTTTTTTGTATGAATGTAAAATTATATTCAACAAAAAAACATGGTTACAACAAGGAGTGTCAATGAGTTGAAGGTGCTGAAAGTTTAAAGACAATACAACTTGCTAATTTAGCTAAAGAGTATGAATTTGGAACCAGAAACGTAGACCACCTTCATAGGCCGGTGAGGTCGACATTGTACTTAGCCGGTTTCGAACATTCTTATCAATTTGCTTAGTGAGATGCGGGGCTGGTGTGTGAGACATGCCGTCGACGATTACGTTCTCTCCATAAGCTGTGAATAGATATCTGAAAAACATACCTCAACACAAATGATTGAAGTTGAGGGGCTGAGGCAACGAGTAGTGGCGTGATAGATGCCCAGCTCGTCGTGAAGCGCTGGCCTAACATAGGCTGGACTAGGGATGACCAGATTTGAGAGGAGTACGGACATGTAAAGAACAGGTGATTCCTGGTCTCAACGTCTGCTCCACAGAGTACGCAACTGCCATTTGCAGAACTGTTCCATTGCAGCAACCTATCCCCGGTGGCTAGGCGATTATGCATAGCAATCCAAGTTACGAAAGAATATTTAGGTGTCGAATTGGGAAACCAGACACCCTTGTACCACTCATAAGTTGGATTGGTTTGCCGTATCAAATGCCAAGTATCCTGCGACATAAACTTTGATTTAAATGTACCATTGGTACATTGCCAAAGGGGAGTGTCAAGACCTAACTTTATAGCTCGCTGACGGAGGCTATGGAGCTCATCTTCAATCTGATTTAAGACCCCTATCTGATGCCGACGACGGTGGTGAGTGGCCATAACAACAGTGAAGGAGCATTGAGCGGATATACCGAGGTTAATGCTACCCCGCGAGCCAACGCTATCAAACAGTCTGCCAAAGTGGGCACCATTGATCATACCAAAAGGAAGTATCCATACCTGACCGAATTTCCATCCTATGTAGATTCTTGGCATGGTCTCTGTATTTGAGAATTTTCCCCCACATCCACGAACCAGCACCTTTCCCATTGCGTATAGACCAGAAGGAACGATCCTTGATTAAATTTGTTCGAATCCAGGTAACACAGAGGGAATCCCGAGCTGAAACAAGACGCCATATCAGTTTCAACATACTCACTGTGTTGACTTCTGAGAGCAGTCTAACCCCCACACCCTCTTCTTTTTTCGGTTTGCAAACCTCAGACCAAGCAATCTTTGCCTTTCAAGTATTTAACTCAGGTCTAGACCATAAGAAAGCAGAGAAAAGGCTCTCTACCTCTTGGATGCACTTTTTTGGTAATCGGAAAGCCGAGAGCCAAAATGTAGAAATACTGGAAAGAACTGATTTTATTAATTGTAGAAGGCCCGCGAACGACAAGAGCCTGTTGGTCCAAGATGAAATATGTGACCTAATTTTCTCCAGCAGGGGAAGAAAATCGTCACGTGTTATGCTTTTTGTGAGAAGAGGTAGACCAAGGTACCGGACTAGTAGTGATCCCGATTCAAAAGGAAACTGATTTAAAATGGCTGTGCGAGATGCTGATGAGACCCCAGCCATGACGATCTTTGACTTCTCCAAACTGATTTTTAACCCTGAGACAGTTGCAAACTTGTCAAAAACTCTCAAAATTCCTGCAATAAAACAAGAGTTTCCGTCCGAGAAGACTAAGATGTCGTATGCAAAACACAAATGGGTTAAGTGTAGGTTCTCACAACGAGGATGGTAACCAATATGCTGCTCCACAGCTGATTTATCAAGCATTCGAGATAAGAAGTTCATACATATGACGAATAGATAAGGAGAAAGTGAGCAGCCTTGTCTTAGACCCCGTGCACTGCGAAAAAACCCTGCTAACTCACCATTATTTTGGACTGAGAAAGAGGCGGTTCCAATGCATAGCTCAATCCAGTGGATAAAATCGGTCGGAATATCCATGGCTTTGAGAATATTAAGTAGAAAAGACCATTGTATTGAGTCAAAAGCTTTGGTTATGTCAATCTTTATGGCACAACGACCCGAGACTGAATTTTTGTGATAATTTTTCACCAATTTCGAAGCGTGCATCTCCATCATTAGTCTGTCTTTAATAAAAGCGGACTGGTTTGGAGCGATAGAGGGAGGAAGAATAGTCTTGAGCCAATTAGCCATAAGCTTGGATATAACTTTGTACAAAACATTTCCACAGGATATATGTCGGTAATCTTTCATCTCCCTTGCATCAGTTCTCTTAGGGATGAGAGACAATATTGTAGTGTTGACTCCTTTAGGCAAGAATCCTTTCAGGAAAAAGGACTGAACTGCAGTAACAAAATCTTTTCCCAAAATCGGCCAAGTGTGTTTAAAGAATTCGATAGTGTATCTGTCGGGTCCATGGGCTTTGTTACACGGCATCTTGAAAACCACATCTCTAATCTCTTCCTCTGTAACAACTCGTACTAGATGAGCATGTTCTGCAATTGAACAGCAAAAATCAATGTATTCTTGAATCTGATCTGTAGTGGCTCCTATGTAATCCTCCGGTTGGTGAGACAGGAAGTCACTAAAAAACCTCACTGCTTCAATTTTAATGTCATCTTGAATGGTTGCGATAGAACCATCATGACATTTAATCTCCCTTATTGCATCATGAACTTGTCTTATTAAAACTAAGTTAATGGGGAATAGAGAGGCCAATTCATCAACTTAGTTTAATAAGACAAGTTGGAGTGCATGCACAAAACCTTTGACGGCAAAACTTGCTTGTACATGCCCAGCAGCTTTCCATGATGTGATACACGACATAGGAGTGACCACGGTTACGGTTAATGCGGTTATGGTTAATTAACCGCCGGTTAACGGTTATAATTTTCTTTAACCATAATTTTAACCATTATATATACATTTAAGACGGTTACGGTTATATACGGTTACGGTTAAATACGGTTACAGTTATTTGATGATTACTGTAATTTTAATACTGGAGATAAAATCTTAAGAAATATTATTTATTTTACAAGTAAAAAATATATGCAGTTTCAAATATTTATGGTGAATTAGTTAAATATGGGTATTGGATCGAAACTGAGAAACTCAACATCAAATACACACGGAAATAAGAATAAAAATAATTTAGTATGAAATGTTTTAATTACTTACGAGTTCAACTTGTTGTGTTGCTTTTAATAAAGTGAAAATTTTATCCAAACATTTGATGTGTCTTTTCATTGTATACAGTTATAATATAATTTATTTTAAGGATTTAAATATGCGGTTAACCAAGCGTTTATCCTTATGGTTACCCGGCGGTTTATTACGGTTACTGTTAATATTTCTTTTTAACCGTAGTTAATTTCTCGTACGGTAAACGGTTACGATTTTTAACCGTTTTATATGGTTACGGTCCGGTTACGGTTAATAAACGGTCCGGTTACGGTTAGAAATACGGTTAAGGTTAACTTTTGGTCATGCCTAACGCGACATGGTCATCTCGATACCCTGCCCCATGGATAATCAAGGATCTTGTCAACATCCCTCAAGAACTCCACAATTTCTTCTTGAACTTTCTTATTCAATGATCTAGTGCACAATACCCCATCGATTAAGACCAACAATGCATACTTCAACCGCATATCACTGTCCCTGATAACACCCGCTTTTAGCCGCCGAACAAGTATCTCCGAAGTTATCTCTTCATTTTTAGTGAATAACTGAAACCAATAGGGCGCACAGATTGTCCTCTTCGTTTTTCTAGAAGTCTTCTGATTTTGAATAGGATCTCACTTTAGACCAGTCACTGATGCGAATTCCCTGACCCTAAACCTAATCGGCTGCCAGGCAAAGATAATCCAAATCTCGTGCTTCTTCTCCACGACCAACTGCCTCGTGAGCAGAAATAGACATAATTTCTTCGAAAACGAAAACTTCTGCCCAATATCAAACAACTTCCCTAACTGCGACTCCGTATTTTTTTCCAATTCCTCAGACCCAAGATGCTCCACCAAGTTGTTCAAATAATGCAATTGGAAGTACTTGTGAACCCTTTCCCCGTCAGGTTCTTCGCCGCACCAAAAACCCCTTTCCGGCAGACCCTCCATCGGTACTCACAAATCACTCAAAGTTCTCTACATGCCATACTCTATCGCTTGCAAACAACCAAAGAAACCTAGAAGAAAAAAACATACGTTTCTCGACAATACCGATGAAATTACTTCGCTCCTCAAACACTACCATTTGACGCCATTACCAAGACGGTTTCAAATTCGTAATGATGACTCGTAACCAACACTGTACACGCTACCATGCTACACCGATAGGGTTAATATAGTCAATTCGCCCTTCTTCTGTATGTCGATTTATTTACGAAAATAGTCCCACTTTTTTTACTTAATTATTATCAAATCTTCTGTCATAGAGCATAAATACTCTTAATTATTTTTTGTTAATGTTATTATTTTCCAAATTTTAACACATGAAATATTTTTATTTTATACGTCAAAAAATATATTTTAACTGGCGTTTTTATGTGGACCCTTATCTAGTTTAAATAGAAAATATAGAAGAGCTGTGGCCACGTAATTCAGTGACAAGTTACATCCACTAATTTTTTTTGTCGAAATATCTTGTAAAGAAGTCTTCGTGGAAAGGAAGGCGAAGTTTCCCCTCTCTTTCTATCTTTCAATGTGAATTATTGAGAGTGTTTTCCTTGAGAAATTCTTACATCCTTGTTGTTGATTCGTTATAGAAAATTTCTCCAGCATCCCTAATGGCAGATGACCGCTTAGCGTCTAATCCAAGAGGACCAGTAAAGTCTTCAGGTGATTTTTTTTTTTTTCCTCTTTCTAGCTTCTCCTTTTGTTTTGGTCTTCGCCTTGTTTCTGTAAGTAGTAAAGTTTGCTTCCTGTGTAAGTATGATTAGGATAGAACAAATTTAGATACTTTATAGTTAGGGAGTACACATAATAAAGCCCGCGTTTTAAGTATTGGTACTAGTTACTACCACTACCAGTGCCACCGCACGGGATTATATTTTTTTATTAATTAATAAATTATATTATTTGGATATTGAGTAAAAACTGAATATGTAAACAGGTATATAATGCATGATTTGACTAATTTATTTTAATCGGGCAGTGATGTGTAATATTAAACTCATAATTTTTAGAAATGTGTATCATGATACTTTTTCATGAATAGAACTTAGATGCAGTTTTTTTTTCAAATTGAGTCCCAAAAATATATATCTCCTTCATATTCATCAAATTACACATTTATAATGTATATTTTGACAGACCAACCCGTAAAATACTACATTTGTGAAATATGCATTTTAAAAAAATACACACCCACAATAAATAATTTATTAGACCAATCCATAGATTATATTCATAAAAACATACACACTCACATTGTATATTTTGACAGACCAACATGTGAAAATTACCGTTCATAAAAATACCATTCATAAGACGTTCTACCATATGACTGTGAATTTTGCAAACCAACCCGTGCATTCTTAAAATATCAAATATATATTCTTAAAATATGAAAATCATATATATATATATATATACATTTATATTCTAAATCATATATATTAAGATTATATTTTTCTTTAAGATATTTTAAAAATATACATTTTTTCTTTATCAATTTACTAATATATGTTTGTTAAAAAAATATATTGCAACATATAAAAAGGAAAATTATTAAGCATATGTCTTATGTTTTATATAATAAAAATATAAATAAGATTAAATAAAAGTGAAAGAGAAATAATTGTTTGAAATATATTGGTTTAAATTAGGTAAAAATATATTAGAAATATCTAAAATATGTTTACATATATATAATTTCAAATTTAGTAGAGCGGATTTTATGGTAACAAATTTAATGTATTTATTGGTTAGTTATTATATATCGATTTATTTATTTTTCCAGGAAAATATATTAGCCAATGAAAAAGCACACATGTCACGAGAACCGATTTTTTTTTATCGTCTTTAGATTTATTAATTATTGCAAATTATAAGAATTGTTACAAAGATAATCTGCAATTGGCAATTCCTTCCGACAGTGAACGGCTCTAATTGCGTCACTAGAGGTTTCCGAACCCCAAATTTTCTGGTGTAAAAGCATTACTAATCCCTTTGTCAACACCATTGAACAAGAAGGCTTCTACCCGAATATCTTATTTACTATCCGAATATATTATACCCAGATTTAAGTAAAATCTGTTTTAAATATGTTTGGAAACACTTTTTATAAAAAAACATGTCTAAGTCACGTTGTAATAATGGATATTGATTGGGCTTTATCAATCGGTGACGTGAATTTAATTGTATCTCTGGATATGGCGATGTGTAGTTTGGAATGTTGCGGGACGAATAAGACGGCAGCGAGCTCTTACGGTGTCGGGAAAAAGAAGGGAATTACTAATCTGGGCAAAGCGGCTATGTAGGGTCCGTACTAACGGTAATGGTGATGACGAGGATGCTCGTGTTGAGGAGGAGGTGATGACTGATGAAGAGCAGCCGATATTAGAGGCTCATACCAATAATATAGCCGTGGAAGAGCTTCAATATCAGTAAGTGGATCTGTCAACTTGGAAAAACTAGAACGCCTATTCTTTCTCGTTCTTCATTGTTTCTTGTTCTTAACTCTTCTCATCTTCTATCATGGCGTCTGCTTCTTCTCGCAGCCATTTTCTCAAGGAGCTCGACCCCAAAACTAAAGACGATGAGATTAAAATGACTTCTGCCATGGCGTATTCTTCTGGCAGCCGGAGATACGACGTTTTCCCAAGCTTCAGTGGGGAAGAGGTTCGCAAAACGTTCCTTAGTCATCTTCTCAAGGCGCTTGAACTCAGATCAGTCAAGACATTCATCGATAACGGGATCGAGAGAAGCCGTCCAATCGCCCCTGAGCTTTTATCGGCCATTAGAGAATCGAGCATCTCAATTGTCGTCTTCTCTAATAAATATGCTTCTTCAACGTGGTGCTTGGATGAATTGGTGGAGATACACAACTGTTACGAGGACAGTAACTTGGATCAAATGGTGATTCCGGTTTTCTACAACGTTGATCCTTCTGATGTCAGAAAACAGACCGGTGAATTTGGCAAGTTCTTTAGCCAGTCGTGCAAGGGCAAAACAGAGGATCATATAAAAAGGTGGAAGCAAGCTCTTGTAGATGTAGCTAATATGGCCGGAGAGGACCTTCGGAACGGGTATGTTGTCTTTGACTCCATTATTTCCGTGTGTGTTTTTAATTATCTCATACTATAATTTTTTTATTTTTTTTTGCATTATTTCTATTGTTATTAGGGGTGCCTCTTTATTTACACAATTGACTATTGTTATTTAGGCCTAACGAAGCGCATATGGTTGAAAAGATAGCCAATGATGTTTCGAATAAACTTATTACTCCGTCAAAGTGTTCTGGCGAATTGGTCGGAATCGAAGCTCATTTAGAGGCAATGAATTTGATATTGTCCTTGGAATCCAAGGGAGCAAGAATGGTTGGGATTTGGGGGCCTTCAGGGATTGGTAAGAGTACCATAGGAAGAGCTCTTTTCAGTCAACTCTCTAGCCGATTCCCCCTTCGCAATTTCGTAACTTATAAAAGCACCAGTGGGGACGTCTCTAGCAAGAAGTTGAGTTGGGAAAAAGAATTTCTTTCGGAAATCTTAGGTCAAAAGGACATAAAGGTCGAGCATTCCGGTGTGGTGGAGCAAAGGTTAAAGGACAAGAAAGTTCTTATCCTTCTTGATGATGTGGATAATCTAGAGTTTCTTAAGACCTTGGTGGGAAAAACTGAATGGTTTGGACCTGAAAGCAGAATAATTGTGATCACTCAAGATAGGCATCTCCTCAAGGCTCATAACATTGACCTTGTATATGAGGTGAAGCTGCCATCTCAAGGTCTTGCTCTCAAAATGATATGTCAATCTGCTTTTGGGAAAGACTCTCCACCTGATGAATTTAAGGAACTAACCTTTGAAGTTGCGAAGCTTGCTGGTAATCTTCCTTTGGGTCTCAGTGTATTGGGTTCTTCTTTAAGAGGAAGGAGCAATAAAGAGTGGATGGAGATGCTGCCTGAGCTCCAAAATGGGTTGAACGGAAATATTGATAAATTATTAAGAGTCAGCTATCAAAGGTTAGATAGAAAATACCAAGATTTGTTCCTTTACGTTGCATGTTTATTCAGTGGTGAGAAAGTCAGTTACATCAAAGGCATGCGCAGCGGTTCTGTTAACATTGGGCTTAGAATATTGGCTGATAAGTCCCTCATACGTATAACACCGTCTGAAACCGTAGAGATGCACAATTTGGTACAGAAATTGGGTATAGAAATTGATCGTGCAGACTCCATGGATAATCCTGGAAAACGTCGATTCCTGACGGATTTTGAGGATATTCGAGAAGTATTGACCGATAAAACTGTAAGGTTTTTGTAGCAGGATTTTGAATGCCTTTGAATCTATATGAGTTTAAGATATATATTTGTTTTTTTCAGGGGACCGAAACTGTTGTTGGAATACATCTCGACACATATTTATTGAAAGAGTCATTTCCAATAGATGAAAATTCGTTGGAAGGCATGAGTAATCTTCAATATCTAATAGTGTGGTCAGATATTGAGGTAGATCTGCCTGAGAGCCTGGTTTATTTACCCCGTAAGCTCAGATTGCTACAATGGGATTATTGCCCGTTGAAGTCTTTACCTTATACTTTTAAGGCTGAGTGTCTGGTTGAACTCAATATGTATCATAGTAAGCTTGAAAAGCTTTGGGAAGGAACTCTGGTAATCATTCATACTCATTGATTTAGTTGTCGATTTTTATAACAGAACTGTGGTATTATATAAGATATATATATAGAAATCCTAAACATGAATCTTCTTAAAATGTATATGAATCTGTTTCAGCGACTTGGAAGTCTCAAGAAGATGATTATGGATGGTTCCCCATATTTGAAAGAAATTCCAGATCTTTCTTATGCCATAAACCTCGAGAAATTATATCTTTCTGAATGCACATCTTTGGTGACACTTACTTCTTCGATTCAGAATGCCATTAAACTGAGGAAGTTAGATATGCGGCATTGCACACGGCTAGAGATTTTTCCAACTCACCTCAACTTGGAATGTCTCGAGTACCTCAATCTCTCTGGATGCCATAATTTGAGAAATATCCCTGTAATTACAATGGAAAAATCAATCTATTTTTCGCCACATGGAATCAATATCCAAGTGATGGATTGTTTCTGGAACAAGAATCTCCTCTCTGGACTGGATTATCTGGACTGCCTTATGAGATGTATGCCGTATAAATTTCGGCCTGAAAATTTAGCTTATCTTGATGTGAGTGACAAAACGCTTGAGAAGCTATGGGGAGGCGTCCAGGTACATACACTGTTAATGTTGTAGCATTTGCTTATTGTTTATCCATGGGTTTATTTTTACATTTACCAATGAGTTTATTTATCTTCTTTTAAAATTTCAGCCGCTTGGAGGTCTTAGGAAGATGAATCTGTCAGAATGTGAAAACCTGACAGAAATTCCAGATCTTTCAAAGGCCACCAATCTGGAGAATTTGATACTCAACAATTGCAAAAGTCTGGTGATGTTGCCTTCTACAATTGGGAATCTTCAAACATTGATGGATTTGGAAATGAAAGGATGCACAGGGCTGGAGGTTCTTCCAACCGATGTCAACTTGTCATCTCTCGAATACCTCGATCTCAGTGGTTGCTCAAGTTTGAGAACTTTTCCTGTCATTTCATTGAATATCAAATGGCTCTATGTAGATAACACATCCATTGAAGAAGTTCCTTGCTGCATTAAGTATTTCTCCCGCCTCACTTTCTTAACGATGCATGGTTGCCAGAGGTTAAGAAACGTCTGCCCAAACATTTTCAGATTGAGACATCTTACACCTATCAACTTTACAGACTGTGGAGGTGTCGTCGGTGATGCCACTGTCATGGGAACAATGAAAGATCACTCTACTTGTCGACCAATTTATGAGGGATATGATGAGTTTCTGAATCGCAAACTTAACCTAGTTGAGCGTGAACTCATCGTTCGATCATACTTGAAGACTACGATCTTACTAGTTGGGGAAGTTCCTATGTATTTCCAACATCGAGCTTATGGAGATTCCGTAACTGCCACTTTAGCTCAGAGCTCTCTTTCTCAAGAATTCTTGCAATTCAAGGCTTGCGTCGTGGTTGACTTTCTAGCCGAGGGCACTGATCGGTATCCATTCTTGGAGGTAAACGTTAGCTTCAATGGCACACAGTATTGGCAATCATTTTTTGAAGATGCAAATTATGAATTGCTCCTTAAGGAGGATCATCTGTTGTTTTGCTCCTTCAAGTTTCAGTCTACAGATCGTCGTCCATCTAAATTGGCTTTCAACGATGTAAAGTTTAAGTTTTCTTCTTCCAAGAGGATAAAAGAATGCGGTGTACAACTCTTGAATGTGTTTCCATCTCGAGATGATAGTCATAGAAGCTCTGAAAAAGATTACAACCAACAGTCTGGAGAAAAATGTGATGTACTAGTTGAGACTAAGAGAAGCAAGAAGCGGATGCAGGTAATTAAACCTGAAAATTATAAAGATATCTCTTGATTTTTTTTCCCCAGGATCAATACCATATCAACAGACTATTTAACAGAATCGATTGTTTGATTTATAATGCAGATGGCATTCGGAACATCTGCAGAATATATTAACTTACCCGGTGGCCAAACTGTAGCGGACACAGGATTGGCCGCTCTAAATCCGGATGTTTCGTTGGGAGAAGCATCATTAGTTTCTTCTTTTCCATGTCTGGAGAGGGAAGCTTTGTGTGTTGGTTCCATGATAACTGAGCAAGAAGATGCAGATATTCCCATCTTGCATAACTTGTTTTATCATTCTGGTAACTGAAGCATCTTACTATTATGGTTTGTTACTTTGTTCTGTTTTGTTCATAGGTTTTAACACAAGCCATTTTTTTCTGCAGTTGCTATATGGAGAGATTTCAGAGCATCAAAATCTTAATTCTCCAACTCCGGAGGCATGAAAGTGTTTGTAGTTTCTTCTTTATCTGAATGTAGAAACACTCTGTGTTTGCTTTTAAATTTTCGTTTTTCCTAAAGTTCAAAAAGCCACACTCTTAAGCATATTTTGGAAAAAAATATCTTTGGCATGCTTTTTGTATTGTACCATACATGATGTATGATACATCTATCTATTTTAAACGAAAAAGACATTGAATTTGTGAACTTAGGGTTTACATACTTGAACTCAGGTACTACCCAAAATAGTCTCAACGTGTATGTTAGCAACGGTTTTTTTTTTCTTTAATAGCGATGAATAAAATAGAATTTGGGTGATACATTACAAGAGAAATGACAAAAATATATTAATGTGTTTAACTAATTTTAAATATCAAGATCCTCGTTATCAACAACATTTACATCGCTGATTCAATAGCCAATACTAAAGGAGATCCACAGGAGGAGGTTGATGTTACGGGAGGCGTGGTGCCGCTACCACATGATTCTCTAGTGTGTTTTATTGATGGTTCATGGCAGGAGAAAGATATGAGAAGTGTTCATGGTTTGGTTGCTTCTATTGGTGATAGAGCCATCCAGCTAGGGCTGAAATGCCCATTGAGGACTATCTTGCTTCTCCATGCGGAGTTAGATACTCTATTATGGACAATGAAGTGTTTGGTAGCTCTATATGTAGACAGAGTCATGTTTGTGACGGATTGTCTGGATCTGATTACAATACTTGCAAATGGTGAAGATTGGCCGGCTTTTGTTTCTAAAATTAGGGATTTCAGTATCGAATGGTGAAGATTGGCGAAATATGCAAGAGCACGAGGATTCTGTTTTTCCCATGTAGGTTCATCGATACTTATTTGGCTTTTTCACGAAGAGAATCAATTCCGATAGACTAATGTATAGGGAAAAAAAGATTCAATAGCCAAGGAGCAAAAAGGTCTGGTCTATGGACCTCAGATAAACGTGCGTTCAGATCTTTGCACTAAGGAGCTCAGATAGACGTGTGTTCTGCAGGAGTTAATGATGGGAAGAACACCTTTTACTGGCGACTCTGAACTGTTAAGATTTGTACTTGACTCAATCTGCAATCTCATGATTCCATATTTTCTTGCCTTCTTAGTTCTTACACATGCTCTGTTCATCTTTACCTAGTCACATTGTTAAGGTAACTGAAACATATTAAAACTATGTTTGTAAATAATGGGGGATCGACCATATGACTATTCTGATAATGTTTATAATTTCTATTACATATGGCAGTAGCACTCTGCTCTTACATCTCTGATAGCTTCTTTGAAAATTACGCTTTTCCTGAAAGATGTATATATAACAAATAGTCTTGTCTTTTCAAATACATATATCTCAACGTGTATTTTACCAAAGGTAATTTTTCTCTTTAAAGCAATGAAAAAATCATAATTTGGCTAACCAAAAATGTATATCACAAATTCACAAGAGTTATCAACAACGAAAAAAAGTGTTGGAACTAAAGTTTTAAATAGCAAGACCTGCGTCATCAGCAACATTTGCATCGCTGATACCATTGCGATTCCTACACTCACAGTAAAAAACAGTGATTACAACATAACTCAGCACCACCTCAGCCCCATACATACAAACCAGCTTCCAACCGTCCCACCCACCGGCCACAACCACCGACCTCCACCACGACCCTGAGCTGGAGTCCATATCTAGCTCCTTTGCCAACTTCTCCATCCCATGACCAATGAAACTTGATAAGAACACAAATACACCCGCCAAAGCCAACCCTGTTATCCTCCTCCCTTTCATCAGAGCGGTTCCTTCCTTAATCGCATCAAAACCGTATCTTTCTTCCAATACAGAGACGACAAGGCCGAGCCCTGTTATAGCCATTATGTATACCTCAACAACGAGACAGAAGATCGTGATGAGATAACGTAATGTGGGTGTGTAACCGAGGAGAGCTGATATAAACATGGGAATTGGAGAGTAGAGGAAGAGCAGACCATAGACGATGACGGAAGTTACTGTTACTCGCATCCACGAGGACTTCACTGAAGCCCATGACGACTTAAGAGATGGGTTTAGGCCTTGGTGTGAGAAGGAAGTAGATGTAATGACGGTTATGGAGGCAATACTAGAGAGGATAAAGGATGGGACAAAATACCGGGATTTGAGATGTAAAAGCGAGACAGCATCTTCTCTAGACTCTTGCCAAATCTGTCTAGCTTCAAACCGTGTGTGCACGACGTTAGCTAAGGCTTCTAGACGAAAGACATGGTTTTTAAGGCGAAAGGAGGTCAGAGTTAGGGATAGGTGTAGGGCAGCTAAAGGGATCGCTATGAGAGCAAAGACTGGGAACAAGATGTGTTTGTTTCTGAAGAGAATCATGAAAGAATCAAGGAGTGTTGTGGTGATCCGTGACGAAGAACCAGGTCGCTTAACCTCATTCATGATTTCAAAAGGCATATGGGAACCTCCTTAAGCATCAACAGCTGTTGGAGAAACTCAAAAGTGAGTCGATGGTAAGCTTCTACAGAAATTTCAGCTTTGTATGAGACCTGTAGTAATAGTGAAAGCACAAAACTTTTTAGCGACTCAGAGAATCCATACAAATCACAGACAAGACAATACGTATTGCAAAGATGAAAACTTTATCACGAAATCAAACAATTCGAGAATCAACTAGACGCATTGAATCCAGAACTAGGTTCCAATCACCAACTAACATCAATTCTCGTGCAAATAAAACGTAAATCCGATTCCCGATCTACCGTTAAATCCCAACTCTTACGAGAGAAGGAATAGGTTTATCAATTGTATAAATTACTTGACTCCGATCTGGATTGAAATCGAGACAAACCTGAAAGATTCGAAAACACCGATCAGTGGTGTAAGAGCAAAATCTAAGAAGCTTGCTTGTGAGGGATTCATTGAGAAAGAGAGAACAAGTCAAAATGGGGGTTTTAAGCTTAATCACTCTGTTACAAAACTCGCAACTCTTATCTTTGATTTTGTTTTAAATTTTTATTTGGATCCCAATATATGTTTATTTTGCGCCAATATATATACTTTAATGATTTTTACTTATTGGAACCTTTTCTCAATTCAACAACAATAGTAAAAAAGTTATGGAACATTTCATATTTTCCAATCAGAATCCATTTTTTCAAACTAAAAAATGTAAAAATCAGTTGAGTACATCTTTGTTTGCTCCTAAACATTTTTTGAATAAAAGAAGGAATAAGTTATACGATCCCATCAATAGTAATCCTCTAAACCGGAGATCTTCCTATTTTAAGTTACTTGTCTCTGCAGTTATGGTCGTCGTTGTCAATGTTGATGTTGTTCATGTCATTGGGATGATCTGCGATGTTATTGTTGTTGGTGTCTGAGCTATTACGGCAATTCTCGAGTATGGTACTGCAGTTGTTGATGGTAGCTGCGTCCACAAGTCCATGGTTCCATAGTTTGATCAAAAATAATCTCCAGCACCTGCAAATTTTTATTTTCTCAGAAACGTAGCCAAATTGATAGTGTAATAATGTGACGTGTGTAAATGAGTATGTAGTGTAGTCAGTGTATTTACCAGAAAAGTGATGAGTAACTGTGCAATTCCTTCTCGTAAAATCTTGAAAATGCTTCACATGCCCATGAGATATGACCATCTGCTATAACTCTGCAACATTAATCATTATTTGAATTTTAGCATATTGTTCCATAACCAAAATCAGTACAAAGGATTGTAATGTAACACATAAGGTCTTTCCGTTCAGAAACAGAAGAAAATAAGCTTTGAGCCTTTTGAGTGTGTGTTTCTTTAAAGTTTAAGAAATGTAGTTACCTTTGTTTTCTTACAAATGAGTTCCAAAGATGCATGAATTGCTTTTCATCTTTATTCACATCCACAAAATCATCAAGCATCTGCAGCTTTTTTAAGTTTCAAAAGCCATTAGCAAGTTATATCGAATATACCATTTCCTGTAGTTAGCAGAAAGAAATCATGGAATACCTGGCGATCTTCGAAATCTGCAACATCGTCATCAACTTCATCCTCGCTATCCCGATCAGACATTACTTGCTCAAGACCCATTGGCTTTGTCAGAAAAAAATGCAGTTTTTGGTTAGTTAAAATGAAATAGAGACTACATGGACTTAGTATCTTCTTCGTGGATAGACAAAATAAAATATACAGATTTGGATGAGAACAATCAAACCAGTACCGTGAATCGGGACCAAGTATGCTTTAATAAGATATCATAGCGGGCAATATAAAGAAAATGCTTAAGAAGTAGGTGAAAGAACTCAAATCACCTGCACTCTGTGAGAATGATAGAATTGGCGTTTCTGAAGAAGTAGGTGGCTGGAAGAAATTTTCTCGGTTATTAGGGAAGTATGGTAAACACTTATCCATCATAGAAAGATGAATTTGTAACAACGGGAATGGTAAATTATGATGACAAGATGCATGATGAACAAACCTTCTAGCCTCTGATCGCTCAGCAGATAACTTTTTTGTCCTAGTAGCAGTGACCACAGCTTCGCTTGTCAATACAACTTTAGCATCAGCGCCAGAAGAATGAGCTATGGCAGGCGGAGTGTTGCTAGTCATCTCAAATTGTCCAGCAAGCTCTGTTGCCTCGGGATATCCTAGACCACGGTTTCCTGTAGCATGTCATTCATTTTGTACATCAGTTATGGTAAAATTACCCTCTCATGAAGAATGCGAGGAGAAGGAAAAAAACTAAACAATCAAGCCATTGTATCTTCTCCTGTAATATGAAGTTCAAAACCACAAGGAATGCCACAGAAGAAGATGTGATTTTACCATCAGTCAGTAGGGAAGTTCCATTTTCTGTGCCATTAGCTAAACTGGGTGAATCCAGCGGTAAAAAGCTAACTTTAAGTCGCCTTGTGTTATTTCTGCCACCTCTTTGTCTACGCTTTCGAGGTTTTGAGCTGCAAAACATTATGGTTGGATTTATAAAGAAGTACTGACAAGAAAAGTAAGGAGTTACTGCTATTAAGGAATTCTATCTAGGGGTGTTGAGATTTACCAGAGAGAGAAGGGCTCAAATTTATCGTCATCACTTCCTTCTTCCTAGTACAAAGAAGGATGGAATATAAACTACATTTTCACCAGCTATAGGATTTCCCAGTTAAAGGTAACTAACCTCAAATATGAAGGAATTAACAGTTAAAGGTAACTAACCTCAAATATGAAGGAATTAAGTTTCACAGAAACATTAACTGTCTGGTATTCTTCCGAAAGCTACAACAGGAAAGACCCTTTTAACTATAATCTCATTAAAAAAAGGCAGAGTAAAACATGAAATTCCATAAAACCACATACCTTGAACTCAAATTCAAACAAATCATGAGATGAATTCAAATGAAACTGAAGCCCCTGCATAGACACAAGACAATGGATTGTAAGCTCCATCTGGAACATGTTTTCTCACTCAGCAGTTCAAGAGTGAGAAGACAACCAACAAACACAAAAGTATGCAACCGCACACTGCAAGTATACAGCATGAAAGGGTAGTAGCGTTTCACAGTGTTAGATATGAAAGGCCTCGGAAGAAACCTCAGTTGTAATATATGCCCACCTTGAAGCTACCACATAGCATAAAGCAAAATGGACAAGAACAATCCTCCCTAACTGCATAACAATACAGAAAAATAGTTAGTAAAAATTCATCTAGAGAAACATAGAAACTGGCGTCGAATATGTCTAAGAACCGAAAAATACTCACCTTCAGTTTTCTGTAACGTGTTATTACAATCCTTATAGTTGAAAACTACCATCCCAGTAGATCTTGACCTAATCAAAACACAATTTTGAAAAAAGTGTATAGCATGAAAAGGTGAAAAACATCATCATGTCCATATCTCTCAACAAAGATAAATAATCAGCTTCCTTATAATATAATAACATATCACTGTAGCAACTACATACGAGAAGAAACTCATACTTTCTTTTGCGCTTTGCTCCAATTTTGTAGTTCAAGCATCTTGGAAGAAACGATGGCTGTAACAACAAGCAACAAGTTCAAATAACATTATGAGACAAAACAAGCACACACTCGCCATGAATCAGGCCATTATCAGCTTAACAAACCCAAATTATTAGTGGGAAATCTACACAGGAGATGAAAGAAAAAACTGAAAACAGTCATTACTGAGCTAAAATGATGAGAGAGGAAGGTAAATCATACGTTGCATAGAGAGCGAAGGTGAAAGATGTTGTAGAGTCGAACAGGTTTACAATATATCAAGAGATTCTCATCAGTTGAAATCACTTCCTCCGGCGAGGATTTCGCGCGACAATTTTGTCTACACATTCTTGTTCATTCACAATCAACGATGTCCACAGCCGATTTATGAGGTTAGTGCAAACTCTGAGGCCTTTCTGGAATTAGAATTTCTATTTCATAGCAATCAACTTGATGCAGCAATTAGATCCGGCTTCTTCAGGGTAAATTCTGCAATAGAACCTTCTAGAGAATGTCCTGTTTGAGACCTGTGTAGCAAAGAAAGCACAAGACTTTTTTTAGCAATTCAGAGAGTCCTTTCAAGACACATACAAGAGTAGGCGTACAAAAAACGAAAACTTTATCCAATTCCACTCAGCAGAAGAATCATAGCTTATTAGAAAAATCACAGCTTTCTCAGGACGAGATGAAAGAATGACACTTTAAGCAATAATTCTAAAAACAGAAACTTTGTTAAAAACACAAGTTCGGAGATCAAATTGTACGAATTTTATGGAAAAAATGTGCATTGAAGAAATCTAAAAATCCAGAACTAGGCTCCGTATCCTAAAACTATATTAGTCTATATGAAAGTTGAGGTAAAATTCGAATTCCGGATCTACTGCAAAAATTTAATACTCTTACAATATAACGAAAGCAATTAGGTTTTATCAATTGTTATGACGTGACTCCGATCTAATTTGAGATTTGAGACAAACCTGAAAGCTGCGAAAACACCGATTGGTCGTGTAAAAGAAGAGCAAGCAAAAATCGAAGTAGCTTGATTGGGAGAGAAAGTTCACTGTAAGAAAAGAAAAAAAAGCACATAAAATAAAACTTTGGGTTTCAAGTTTTTTTCTAAGTCTGGGCCTGTGGCCCATTTAAAACCAATAGCAGCTTTCTAAAGGTAAAATTTATATTCTGTTTTGAAATAAGCTATGATTCTTCTGCTGAGTGGCATTGGCTAGCTGACGAAACTCACAAGAACATACAAACCAACAAGGTAGTAGCATTCCGTTGAAATTGATCTTTGTTTTCAACCAAAAAGATGTTGTATTGGTTACCATCGCCAAGTAGTGTTTTTAATAACAAAATTTGAGTTGTGTGATGTTGAAAACTTGAAATTGTGGATACATACCAAACTTTTTACATTTAAATCAAAACAAACAAAAATAGGCTATTTGGTGAGATAGCCTATTCTCTCTATGAATGTGTAATGTGTGTGTAAACAACATCAACCAAAAAATGCAAGAGTTACGTATGGCTTTGCGTTGCGGCACAAAATCACCGGCAGTAAAAAAACAGTTGTTTCCTTCCCTCAAAACTGAAATGAGTTCCCATGGAGACAAGACAACATTTTTGCTTCTTGAACTCAACTCCTTAAGGCTGCTGACAAATTACCAAATCCATCATATGAACAAAATGAAACAATGAAATGAATCAACACAAGATTCTAACATTACAGAGATATCCCAATCCTTATATCCAAATGGGTCTTTGTGAAGTTCCTAATTAAGTTTCACAGATCAATTATAGCTTCCATAGAGACTGAATCAATTTCTCGGTTTACCTGAATGAGAGAAGAGCCAGAGGATTATGACACACAGAAGAAGAATGAGAGGAATGAGATGGATGACGTTTTCTGCAGATCTGAATCTTGATTTTTCTCTCTTCCCCGCTTGAGAATTCGGGTCGTACCGAGGCAAAAGCAGCTCTACATCATCATCTTCCATAGCTGTAACACTCTGAGATCGTGGCGGAGGCGGGGTCTTCGCCGGAGACTGATCCGAAACTCTAGAACCACTCGTCGATCTACGCATCTCTATCCTTAACGCAAGTTGTCAAGTCAAAGGTCGATACTTTTTTCACCCAATAACGCATATAAATACAGTCGTTACGTCAGGTTTGACCAATGGAAGAGTCAAAGCTCTTCTCTTTTCACCAGTAATCGCCACAAGAACAAGACCCATTTTTGAAATGGTGAAACCTTGTGGTGTCTCTCACCATGATCTCTCGTTTCTCTATCTCCGAGATAAATTTGATTGCTTTATGACAATCACCACAGATTCTCAAGTTCTTGAACACTTGTATCTGTGAACCTTGAGGGAGTTTTATGCAACCAAATGCAACAGCTAACTTCTCGCTATGCCATAACAATAGCTTCTCCTTTTGCTCTTCTTCTACATTGTGTAAATCAAACTCTAGCTCCGGATTGTATCCAGCTAATTTCATCTTCTTCTCCAACTCATTCAGTTTCTTGTGTATGGAGTCTAGTTCCGGGTGAATCCGATCACTTGATCTGAAATGGTGAACCTTGTTTCGAATCTCGATCCAACTGTATCCAGGTACCTGAAACAATCAAATTGTATACATTAGAGTCTAGTAACTCGAATAAATAATCGAACTTTGACTCGCTCTACCTTCACAACACTGCTCTCTTTCATTCTCTTGCGAACCCTTGCAACGTCTTCCCAACGCTTCTTCGATGCGTATATATTTGCGAGCTGCACATACCCGGCTGCATTTCGCGGGTCTAGCTCAAGTAGTTTCTCAGCGGCAAATTCAGCCAATTCCGAGTTCTTGTGCACTCTACAAGCCCCTAAGAATGTCCCAAAGACTGCAGCATGCGGTCTAAACGGCATTGATCTTATCAATTTCAGTGCCTCCTCCAGCTTCCCAGCCCGACCCAAGAGATCAACCATACATGTGTAGTGATCAGGCCGCGGTTCTACCCGGTAATCTCTCACCATCGAATCAAAATATTTCATCCCAATATCCACTAGTCCTGCATGGTTACAGGCCAGTAAAACCGCAACAAACGTTATCCAATCCGGCCTGATCTTGTTATCTCTCATCTCAAGGAACAAAGACAGAGCCTTTTCCGCATTACCGTGCTGAGCGTACCCGGATATCATCGCATTCCACGCCACAACATCTTTCTTCTTCATCGCCTTAAAGAGCTTCCAAGCATCACCAAGTTCTCCACATTTGCAGTACATACTGATCACAGACGTCAATGCGGTTACATCAGTACACAATGTAGATTTACACACTATCTGATGGATTTGCCTCCCTAACTGTAAAGCTGATAATTCGCTGCATCCGAGCAATGCGCTGCTTAGTCCAGACGAGTTAGGTCTAATTCCTTCCTCAAGCATATCTCTGAAAAGCTTCAACCCATCTTCTGGCTGAGAATTTTCAACATAACCAGAGATCATAGCATTCCAAGTTACAAGATTTTTCTTCACTGTCATGTCTTTGAACACTGCCTCAGCTAATTCAACCTTATTGGCTTTCATGTACCCTGTGATCATCGCCGTCCATGCCACAACGCCTCTAAATGGAGCCGCTCTGAACAAATGTGATGCCTTTTCCAAATCCCCGCATTCGATATATCCAGAGATCATGGCATTCCAAGAAACCTCATTTTTCTCCGTCATAGAGTAGAACAATTCCCGCGCTTTCTCCAATTCACCTCTCCGTGCGTACCCTGTGATCATCGTGTTCCATGACGCTGCATCCTTGAATGGCATCAGATCGAAGAAGCTCTGGGCCTTTTCGAAGTTTCCGTTACGAACGTAACAAGACAACATGATGTTATAAGAGAAAGTATCAGGTTCAGGGATTTCGTCGAACAGTTGGTGTGCTTCCATCATTCTGCTTGGATCTTTAGAAATCCCCACGAGCAGAGAGTTCCAGGTAACGGTGTTCTTAGCTCTCATCCCGTGAAACACTTTGAGAGCTCCATCTATATCTCCTGAACGTACACATCTTGCTATAATCTTGTTCAACTGAAAAATGTGGTCTCTATGAGAAGGTTCAGTCGTCGTTTGAAGCGTCAAGTTATCGGAGCGAACCAGAGATGGCTCTGGCGATGAACAAGAGGAAGACAAACATGATGATCCCACCAAAAAGGCATCTGGGTTTACAACGGAACGCGAAAAGAATCGAAATTTACAGCGCTTAAATGGCTGATAAATGTTGAAACGAGGAAGCATTGTTCATGGTTTATGACAGAACACAAGAAAATGTTCAAATCCTACAAAACCTTTGGTATATATGTAGTAACAAATAGCAACCATTGCGAGAATCTGAGTTTGAAATATATAACAATAGTCTTCTGTAAAACAGTTTCAAATATTACTGATTTTATGACACTAAGAACACGATCAGATATGATAGAATGTGCCAGAGTTCAGACTCAAAACCCATAACATTTAGATATGTCTGTCTCAAAACATGTTTCATAAGTAAGAAAACAAGTAAACAACAAAGACAAAACACCTAAAAAGACTTCTTGTTTTTTTCCCTATAATGGTAAATAAAAAGAGTGTAGTTTCAAAAGTAAAGACGTCAGGCGTAAGTTTGCATAAAATCTACACCTAAACATTTACACCTGACAACGAGAGACCGGTAAACAGTAAACCCTGGCACAATATCGTTAAGGATGCTGGACGAGTTTCGACGTGGATGGATCTTACTTTCCGCCAAGAGATGGGAAGTGAGTGGTATCTCCAATGGCTGGTGCAGGTTCATTACGGTAACCACCATGCTCTTCACTAGAAACACCTCCACGGCCGCGACCACCACGTCCACGGCCACCGCGACCTCCTCGGTAGAAGTTCTGACCCTCAGCTGGCTTCAGAAACTCATTGATGCTCACAGCCTGCAAATCAGAAAACACATCAGTAAGCAAACTTATTGACTTCTACAAAATGTTAGATTCAGACAATGGTTCAAACCTTTTTAGCCTTCTCTTCTTTGTCATCTTTGCGTTTGTCCTTATCAGAACCCTGGGAAATAGATCAAAGAAAGGTTCAGAATCGTTTAAGCAAGTTTACAGGCGACCAAAAAAAGAAATGATACATGATCTTACCAACTTGATGAAGATTTCATCATTAGACTTCTTGTTTGACAGTTGTTGCATTGATTCAAACACTTTAGTATCAACTTTCCTCTCAGTGGTGGTCAATGATTGAAGTGCCTTTTTCTTCTCCTCAAGTATCTTTTCATACTCATCAAGAGTCATTTCCTGTAGAAACACAAGTCAATAAGCAATCATTGATGATGAAAAACTGATGCTAGTGCAATTCTATTCCATTCTCTGTTTACCTTATCCTCAGGCTCTTTCTCCTCAACTTCAGCAGTGTTCTCCTTGTTAGCATCAGCATCAACAGCTGGTTTCTCCCCAACATCCTTCTCAGTGTCAACACCAGCTACTGCTTCAGTCTCACTTAAAGATGCAGAGAAGCTTCTTTGAGTCCAAATTTCCAATCATAAATACATACAATTATAACAGATGCAATAAACCATAAACATATACTTACGAAGCTAACTCTTCCCCTGGAGTTCCCCAATTCCCACGGCCAGATCCATCACGTTTGAAGTCACTCCTATCCAAAAGATAAACACCAACAGATGAGAATGATACAGTCAATTCAATTGTAGATTATGCAACAACAGACTAAGACTGACCCTCTGCCAGTTCCACTACGACGCTCAAATGTCCTTCGAGGACGTTCACCTTCACCACCCTCATTGCTGAATCCACCACGACGACCACCACCACCACCTTCACCACGGAAAGAACCACGAGGAGCACCACCACCACCAGCACGCCTCTCGTAAGAAGACTTAGAAACATCTCCTTCCTCAGATGGTTTAGAGTATCCTCCTGAATATCCATTGTTACCATCATCACGATTGTAACCACCACGACCACGGCTAAATCCTCCACGGCCTCCTCCACCACCACCACGCGGAGCATCACTCCTTGCCTCTCTCACTAATCAACAACACCAAAACTAATCAGATACCAATCCAAATCACTCAAACAACAATACCCAACTCCATGAAATAATCAACATAATCCAAACAACGATATTAACAGCTTACTCCAGTGATAAAGATCGAATTTTTATAATTAAAGTATTGACTCTTTTTTTATGAGAAGAAAGAAACTTCACCGGCTTGAGCAGGAGGAAGTGGCTTAGAGGGAAGCTTAGGAGTTGACTTAGCAGACAAGCCCGAAACTTGTCCAGATTTCTTGGACTTATCAGTTTTCTCGATGGAAACAGCAAGCTGGCTCGGATCCTCAGCATCATCACCCAACAAATCAAAAGGGTTCAAAGTTGCCATAACTACAAATGATCAAAACCCCCTAATTTTATTCCACACACAGCGACTAACACCACCTAGTGAATAAACGAAGCCATGGATTAATAATAGATCTAAGAGCAAAAGTTGAAGAAGACGAAATGGGTTACAGAGGAACAGGAACTAGTGATGGGTTGGTGAGATAAAGATAAATGAAAAAATAAAGTGTGGGGAAATATTTGTGTCTTCTTGGTTGAAGGGGTTTAATGTGGGTAAACTTGGAGTGCCAACAACATAAGCGGTAGTGGATAAGTGTAGACTACAAGTACGATCAAGAAAACAATAATTTATTTCGTTATTGGACGTTTGCACGAAAATATATATGAAAAAATATCTCATTATTGGCCAAACATGCTATTTTTCCGTGGACCATTTTAGTAAAATATGGTCATTTAGCCCCCACTTAATTTGATACTTATAATTTAATTTTGTGATTCGCAGGTTAAAGCATGTTTTTATGAAAATACTTATTACAATTTACAATCTCTACTTACCACAAATTTACAAAAAAAAAAAAAAAAAAAAAATGCATTATGAACTGATCTTTACACTACAAGACCATTTTAGGTTTGTAACATAAAATTGTATGCTGCCCAAATATATATATATATATATATATATATATACTCCATCCATTTTGGTATAAGTGTCTTTTAAATTTTTGGTATTATATAGATTTTATCTATTTGTTTGTTTTGTATGAAAATTCAATTATGATTTTATTATAACAATTTTAAGTTTGAGAAAGTAATTTTATTGTTTCATTTTGCAACAACATATAATACAACTTCTTTTATTTCATCTTCGGTTTATTTGGTTTCCACACAACTTTTGTGGAAAAAAAATATATCATTTGTTAAAACAAACGGCAAAAGACTAATTACACAACTTTAATTATCACCAATGGCGACAAAGAAATCACAACAAACAAATAAATAAATAATTCCCACCGCCAATAAATGAATATCTTAGGCTAAAGAAAAATATATATAGCAAAGAAAAACTAATAATAACATAGAGAATAAATCAGAGCTCATGACGACGACGGACTAGGCAAAACATCACCATTATCATGAACAGTACGGTTAAGTCTCAAAGACTTCCCTGTGTACAAAACTTTGACGTTTGACCGTTGCTCATCCAACAGTTTCCTCAAACTCCGTTTCGCGTTTGCCCGAAACGGACAGTTAGTTGCTATAAACCCGTCGACCAAGTGCAAGTAAGCTTCCAGGTCATGGCAACACGCCACGTCAGCGTTCGGTTTCAGGTACGGAGACATCTTCATGTCTACACGCAGCTCCGCTCCGACATGCGAGTAAGCCCAGGGATTGTTCCTCTCCACCATTTCCATTATACCCCCTTGACGACTTTTCCCGTTATTACTACGGTTCTGTCCTTGCTTATCGTTGTCGGAGAATATCCCGGGGACTTTAGTCACCACGTCTTGGCTGTTCACGACTCGTAACACTTTCACTCCTTTCGAATCCAAACGATCGGCAAACTCGCGGTTCCCGACTCGTGGCCCGCCGAAGGAAAACACCGCGACCGGAGGCGCGTGTGGGACACGCTCGGCGATGTCGTCGGCGGCGAGAAGTGCGATTGCGGCGCCGAGGCTGTGTCCGGTTACGCTTATGCTCAGCTCCTCTCCTGCGTAGAGTTCGACCAGCCGGCTGATCTCTCCGATTAAGGACTCCGCGAGGCTTGGCCCGTGTTGGCTACTCGTCGTGTAGAGGCTGTTAAATCCGCATTCCACTTTGGGTCGAGTCGGGTCGGATGAATCGGGTTTGGGCTCGGGCATGGAAACTAGATTTGGTCTGAAGTTCTCAGACCATTCGAGCAACGTGGCGGTTCCACGGAGCGCGATGACGATCTCCCTCCTCCCCATCCGTCGGATCTCTCTCGGATCATCACAGACCGCCACGTAACCAACCCAGCTCGTCTGTTTAGTCATCCACCGTAGATCCGGTGCGACGTCATCGATCCATTTAGGCAAACGAACGGATGACGTGGCGTAAAGATTCTTTGTAACTTTAAATGACCCATCTTGTAACGCCACGTGTTTCGGCGACCCTTCCGGGTCAGAGTGAAACGCGTGATAAGCCGCTTGTACAAACTCTCCGTAACGTACAAGCTCTCGCCGGAGATCTTCGTCTAAAGGATCCAACAACCCGGCCCAGTTGTTTAACCCGTGTAGCTCCCGCCATTTAGACCCGAGTTTACCCTTCGGCGAACGTTCCTCGTATGACTTCGAGAGAAGCCTTTGCAGCCGCTTCAGATTCTTAGGAGACATTTCGTCGACGGCTGCTTTCATCTGAGGCCAGATTCTTGCCAAATTCAAACCTCCGAGTAGCGACGACGTCGATGTATTCGTCTTCTCTTGACGAGAAGTAACATTTTCAAGATGATCTATAGAACTACTCGACGAAGTTTTGAGAACGTTCTCTAGGTTTTTAAGATGTTCTTTGTTTGTTTTTCTTGCCGGAGAAATAGAGAGCGGCTTCGTCGGGATCAACGTGGAGGTTTGGTTACTAAAACTGAAACGACGGCGTTTTACTTGGAATATGTCGGCGTTGGGCGTAAGTGTCTGCATGTGAACTATATGTTCCCGAGAGAGAGGAGATGATGGCTCAAGTTTTGATGAGACAAGAACATAAGATAAAATGAAACTACGAATTGGTATTTAAAGAGAAACTGGAGTTTGAATGTTATTACTATGCTGACGCTCGATTGTTTGACTTGACTTTGTTTTTATTTGATTTATACCCTCTTCAGGTTTTCAAGGAATATAGAAATCTTGGGACGGTATTGGCTGGCCAGATATATATTTTATAGGATGTTTTTGGACCGTTTCCATGAAAGTCTCCAAAAGTTCCGTTTGTTTTCAAGAAAAGTCACTCATAGTTTCCTTTGCACATGCAATGCAAATGACATCATTACACATCTACAATGGAAGGAGCATATAATTCATTTGTATATTTTTCAATACATTTATTACTCTTTTGAAAAAAACTCAAATCTAATTTGAGGACTGCATTGTCCTTCGATAATGGATTTTTGATGAACGAGTTTGATTTTTAGTCGTTTATTCTTGGTCATAATGGACGAGTTTGATTTGATAATCTTTTACGTTAGCTAGATAGAGTACCTATTATGTTTTTGGTCTATTAAGCCGTCTTCCTATATACTAGGATGATCGCACTCGCATAGTCGCATTGTCTTATAGTAGCTATATATAGTATGAAAAAATACAACGAACCCTCTTTATGTTACTACTCCAACATATAGGAGACAAAAGGTTTGCAAAAGTCAATTGATATTTTGCTGTATAGAGTTTAAATAGCGTATACATGTATATATGTACCCTAGTTAAAATATCGAAGGATTTAGTTAAGTTTAGAGAAAGTTTATATCAATGAATTCTTTTATTTTTTAAATCCATCAATTTAAATGAAACTTAACTAGATCCTTGGATTTTTTAATGTTGAAATATATATTTTCTTTTCTTTTCTTTTTATTCTCAAATATTTGTACTTTCATTATACTTCTTTTTATCAAAAAAAATCGTTTGAATTGATGTAAACAATCAATTACATCAATCCAGGGGTTATTTTGTAAAATTAAAAAGATGATTTAACACAATATGTATGTAAACGGCCAAGTTATATACTACTACACATACCAAAAAAAAATATGTACTTGTACGGTACAATTTGTACCTGAAGATAAAACAGCATAATTACTAGCTGTTAACTATGGAGCTAATCCTATTTATTTGTTATATTATAGTGAGGAATGAAAATAATATTATTTTGCCATTCAAGAAAATATAATCCGAGAGCTACACGGATTCAGGGCATTGTCGCGTAAATCAAATAGCGTCATATGATTTCTATTAATATATTTGACGAGCTAAAGACTTTATTTCTCTTTAACAAAACAATAATTTATAAGGACTTTGTTTCGATTATGATATATATAAAATGAAGTTGGTCAATCAATTCAATTTAATTATTTTGTATTTTTATAGCACCAAACCAGTTGTCGTTACGTACGAACATAAGGTGTGAAAGAGATAAAAGCTAGCGACTGCATGCAGTACGGTAGACAACCTATTACCAACTCCTACTCCTACCATGCGGTCCAAATTAGGGATTCAAATATATTGCATTTTCACACAACTGTGTCAACCATAGTTAATAATTGGATTTTTTTTCTATATTTGTTTTACAACAATTTTCCAACAATTAATGTTTCTCTATATTTGTTTCTCCTCTGTATTTAGATTTATACATTTACAACACACAAATATCTATCGTTGAAAAATCGTATAGTGTAGTAGGGTTTCCATTGTCGTTCGTAACGTTCGACCATGTAAAACCTAATATTAACATATACTTTTGCTTAACCAGTTCAAACGTTTGACAGAAACAACAACTTTTCATGAATCTTTTTTGAAACAACAACTTTTCATGAATCTTTCTTACATTATATTGTAGAATTGTATAAACGATCACCTTTCATCCAAACTTGACAACCGTTCAACATACAAGAACAAGACCATCCAAGCGTTTTATGATTTCCGGTACTTAAATTTGTGTATATATTTCTAAAGTCTAAATCTCAAACACGAACGTCGAAAGTCTTTAAACGTATATTGGTCAACTATTATTAACAATAGTCATCCGATATATTGTTTTATCTACAAATGCAAAACATCAACTCAAACTGATCAACTCCGAGTAATAATTTCATTGATTATATATTTTTAGAAAAAAACAAATAGCTAAATATGGATTCAAATAAAAAATAGTTATAGGTGCAGAACAATTAAGATCTCGTACGGAGAAAAAGAACGAGTCTTCATCTATCAAACGTCACAACTGCGACAGCATGACACCAGTAGTTTAATTTAGACTAATATACTTGCTAACATAATAATAGGTCAAATTAAATGTTTATATGTTGCATCCAAATGCACAAGACAGTAATCCCATATTTGTTTATGCATGGTCTAGTGGTAACAGGTCAAATATGCATGTTGTAGATCGTAAGCATTTTCCACCAAACCGAGAAAACTGGAATCATCATATTTGGAAATTTTCAAATCACATGTTAGACAAATTTATACATACACACGATCACCTTTTCAAATAATACTATATCTACGATTTTTTTTTTTTTTTTGTATATATAAAAGAGTTGTTACACGTATCAATCTTCAGCATAAATTAGAAAATGAATTGTAATTATCTGTTTTGTTTTGTTTTGTTGGCCATCGCTGAAGATGGCTTTTGAAGAACTCTCTCAAGTCTCTCTCCCAAGTCTCAACCAAGTCTCAACCAAGCGTGTTGAATTGAACCGTTACGGTTACAGACCAGCTCTGCTGTCTTAATGACACGTGGAAAAGTCAGACCTGTATTTATTCAGAATTTTGACTTCTATATAGCAGCCATTTAGTGGGCCTAAATGACTTACTAAGCCCATTATTGATCTCTAATAAAGCCTAAAACATTATAATGTATTCTTATTTTGTACTAATCTCTTTTCTTTTTTTCAAGGAAATTTTTTTAAATGGTTATGGGATGATAAGTAAAATATTTAAAAGGGAAAAATTAAAGAAAAAACCTTATTCTTACCACAAAATCCAGCTCAATAAAAAAAAATCTGGTGATAATAAGGTTATACACCATATATCTTTTGGTTGGTCAATTATTTACAAATAGAAAAAATATCTTAGGGGAATTAATATTTACAGAAATATTGAATTCCCATTTTGTTAATTTTAAACAAATGGAATGAAGTATTCAAATCCCATTTTGCCTAAAAAGACAATAAATGTTAAGTCAACAAAAAAAAAACCCCTTGAAAATGACCCCTCATTTTTTATAATAAAATAGGGTTTTCTATATTGCAAATGGGTTTTTACTTTTTAGTACTGTGATAAAATATAAGAAATGCTAGAATGACAACTAACAAAATTATATGTTCAATGACAACATATATCTTTGGGGTTTTTTCAGCTAAAAGTCCATTAAATCCGTTAATTTAGTTTAATAGATTTTGGCGGAAAAAACTAACAATATTAGATAGGTACAGTTAAGGCCATAAAAGGTATTGTGATAGATAACCGAATTTCAAATTTATATTCCCTCCATTTATAATTAACCGTTATTTTATAACCTAAATTTTGTTTTATTATGTCGTTTTACATTTTTCTAATATAGATATTTGATTAAAAAACAGTTTTATCTCCACTAATTTAATCTATTTATTAACTAATAAAAAAGTTTTGTAAAATAGATTAATTAAAGGTAAGTTAATAAATTTCTTGTTTAATTGTATATGTTAAAATCTTAAACGATGCTTAATTTAACATGGAAAAAGAAGATATTATCAGTGTCCGTACTGCATGCCTATCATTGTTTATGTCCCTTTCACCTTCTCCAATCCATTCGAAATCATTAAATGTATGTAGACATTAAACTAGGAAATTTTGATTTAAAACAAAGTTTCAATGTTAAGCATAATTTACTTCTAGTTGTAATCTTATCATTGAAACAACTTATTATTGGAACAACAATAAGAATGCATTCTTTATCATTGAAAGCAGTTGTTAATTAACACATGTATATGCTTTACGTGGAACAGACCAAACAAGCAAACAGTAAACACAGTGGTACAATAAGATGTTATTCGTACGTAGGTCACAAATGCTAACTGCACTATATCTCGATACATATGACGTTTTACATAAGCTGGCTAGCAAAGCTAGAGTTACAAGTCATGTCTCATTCTCCAAAAACATTATGTACTCAATTGCTCATGATCCAATAACTAGGACAAATTGATATATCCGACTATCCAACAGTTCTCTAGACTCTCTATACGCATACAAACTCCGGTCACATATTTACTTGTAAATATACCTTTGATGCATCTTGAAAAGAGAGGACGATACTTTTCTTATGTTTCAAACATGTGTCTTCCCCGAAACGGCCACACATGACCTACGATGTTTTAACTAGATTCAAACCTTACATTGAGATACTCTCATTGTTCCGTTCATCCATATGACCATTATTTGTATGTAGCATGCCTCATGTCTATCCGGCCATACATACTTTTCAAAAACATTCAAAATCTACTTCAAGTTTACTTAAACATTGGATTCAATAGTTAGCAAAAAAACATTGGATTCAATCTCCATGTCTACTTGACTTCCTCTTTCTCGAGCATTTGACTCTTAATTTTGACCAATCCCTTGGTCTTGTTTTCTTTATGACTTGAGTAACAATAATGTTCAAGAAAACAAATTAAGTCTTTTATCTTTCTAAAAACTTTCATGACCAAGTTATTGTATTAGGACCTCATTTTCCTCCCCATCAATGAGGAGCTTCCCTATCAAATGAGTGTATTTTTGTATGCCTTTTTCTCTCGCTGGTAACATATATACGAATTATAAAGTCACAATCTTCTACTTAACAGATTACAAAGTTTTGTTCGCTCGTTAGCAGTTGAATGGCTCTCTTTTGGTTCATCAAGATCCAACACATATGACTCATCATTCAACGAATCTATATTATATCTTACCAAAAAATAATTTACTCATAAAAACAAAATAATTGTTAGCTTATATAGATATCTTTTTTATGAATATTTGACTATCTTCTAGCATTAATATATTATGTATTTATTTCTGTTTTCAGCGAGATATAAGTCAAATAAATTTGTATATATAAGGTGACATATGTCTTGATGTAGAGAACAAAAGTTAGTGAGAAACAACAATAACAACAACAACAAAAAAAAAAAGAGAGAAAGAGAGAGATCTAGAGTTTTGAACTCTTCCTCCTCATCCTTGTTCTCTTCCTCGATTAGTTTCCGGCTATTATCTATCTGTTCTCCGGTGCAGCTACTCTTACGTACCTATCAGGTCTCAACATATAATAGTTTCGCACGTCCATATATCCGAAGTTACATGTTACGTTAGCTAATATAGCTTTCACATTATCGTAGCATCATGAGTATTCGTTTCATTCGTTTGATCATATGATATTATATTCAAATTTTATTTTCCCTCTTAGATATTGATTTCTCACTTGAAGATACAATAATATTATTTTGTAGATTCAATGTCGTCCTTTGTTGTATCAACAAAGGCTCCCCGTAAGGTACCCATAAATCAAGTTAGGGTCCGTGATCAAGCTGAGGTCCCTAAAGCTAAGGTCCCTAAAGCTAAGGTCCCTGCTAAGGGATCAAAGGTCCCTAAACCAAGGTTTGTTTGTTGATATTGCTTTGAAAAGCCACACGTCCTCTGAAACTCAATTTCATATGTCTCTATTGGTCAAAACTTTGTATATCATGGGTCTCTAATTAATTTTTATTTTGACACCAAGAATGATTTTTTAAAAAGTTTGTTTTGGCTAGCTTAGCCTAATCTGATATGTTGCTTTTCCTTCGTTTTAACCTTGTTTCTTGTTGAAAATGTTCTTCTCTTATTATTATTTTAATATTTTTTGAACTTCTTTTAAAAATCTCTTTTTTATTTTAATTAATACACAATTTATTAGATTTATACTTTTAAAACTTTAGAGTTATTAGATTCGATGTATTTTAAATAAAATAAAATCTTTTATATATAGATAACACGATCTTAAATATCTATTATGTTATTGTATATTTCTTTCTTTGAATAAAATATTCAAAAGCAAAATAAATTTTAGGGTTCCCATTTCTTGGGTCCATGCACCCACGGCCCTAGGTTTTGTTCTAATCATGAAAGGTTGTTATTTGAATTATTACCATTTCTATGTTTATTAACCGGGTTATTAAAATGTTTTTTGTAGGCGCCTGCCTCTTGATCAACGCCAGTTCTATCACTCCAAAACCGGTCAGGTGATTCAAGTTCTTTCTTTTGCATATTCTTTGACTCGCAAGTTATGATACAGTTCTCATCAAAGTTTACTCTTGTATTCGTATTCTTCTCGCTCATTCCAAATTTGAATAGTGATTCATTGTGTCCATGGTTGTCTCCGTTTCTTGTCACTAACCAACAATGTGGTTGTCTTTTTGTTACAAAGCCAATGACACTTGAGGAAGTGCTTTCTGACCGAGATAGCGACAATGAATCTGACAGTGAGACTGAGGCTCCAGATCTGGTATATATATATATATATATATTTCAAGATTTATTAAACAACTAACACAACAACCAAAATTGATGTGCTAAGATTGATACTTTGCTTATGACCGTTTGAAATCTGCAGACGATTGCTGATTCTATGGACGATAAGGAAGTTATGGAGAAATTTATTCAAGCTTGGAACTGGTTTGCCAAAAAGAATAGGTAACCCTTTTTTTCCTTCTTACACACATTAGCTCGTTTATGTTGAACTTAACATACATATATATACCTAAAAACAAAAAACGACCTTTATGTCTTAATTAATTAATGGTTTTGCTTAAGAATCCTTTGATCAAATCAAAATTATGAATTATATATATGTTGCAGGGTTCTCGCTGACTCTCATATTCCATGGGCATTTGAAAAATTTACAAGATTGTACAAGAAGGAGTTGCACAACAACTTACGAATCGACATGTAATTATTATCTCTCGAAAAAATTCTATAAATACATGCACACCATCTTAATTATAGTTACGTACATACACTATAAGTATTTTTGTTTTGTTTCTTGGAAAAAAAATTAACTATGATAATTTCAGGTGCTGGAGATTATTCATGATTAAACATTGGGACTTTGGAATTTTTGACGCAGTCACCATGAACAAATGCAATACCATGATCAAGAACTACTCTCCTAACGCAGACATTGATGTTGACGAGAATGATCACATGAACACAAACAAGTAATTGAATGATCTCTGGTCTAAAAGACGCCATTTATCAGATTGCAACTTTTGTTTATATATATATATATATATATTTGTTATTGTTTAGTTATGAGCAAAAGTATATGTTTATTTATTTTTTACTAATTAGATATTGTTTTTTTTTTTGCTAGCGAGGAAAACAAAGGAACTATGTGTGCTGTGTGTAGAAATAGTGAAAACGATGAAATGAATGTGGAAGTCGAAGCTGTCGAAAAAGAACCTTCCCAAGCTGTGGACAAGACCACACCTTTTGACAGGAGTGCTGGGAAGAGGCCAATCAAACAAACTTTCAAAATGCAAGAGATTATCAAGATGACACAGGCTAAAAAACTTAAACGTGGAAGTAGTAGTAGCAAAAGAGGCCGAGGTGGCCGTCTTTGTCGTTGCCCACGCCCGGGCGGTCGTGGAACCTCATCTCGTAATATCTAGTGGGGGGTAGTTCCTTCAATTCAATCTGTCTTCTTCTTCTTCTTTACTTTTAAGCTTAATCACTCTTCTCTCTAAAATGCTCTTTCAAGTTTTATGACCCAAACAGTCATATATAGCCATGTAGCATTTACTCAACATTTTAATTTGAATTGGTTTTTTAAATATTAGTTTTTATCCTCCTTGCTACTTCACCGCTTTTTCTATTTATCAATGAGTCTACTTTGGCAAAATAAATTTAATTTGTGTTAGCCTAAAGTCTTGGAACTTCATCAGTGGATCTCATTCTAATGTCTTAGACACCTGTTATTGTCTTTCATCTTTGTTCTTGTTGTTGTCAATGTTGTTGAATACCCACTGGTTCAGACATTAAAAACATAAAAATTGACGATATGGGATGCTGACAACAATGAAGATATATATATAATTTTAGAATACAATTGAGTGGATTTTTAGTTGAAAAAAGAAGAAGATTATACATAAATTTTGGTAAACCTAAAAAAATGGGGAGGGGGAAATAAAATGGGAAAATATCATTTTTTCTTTTTTGGTAAACAAAGGGGAAAATATCTTAATAAAAGGAATAAAAAAAATCCTTTGAAAATATTAAATAGAAAAAAATCTCCTGATAAAAGGAAGAAATAAAATGGGAGACAAAATCCCATGATAAAAGGAAAAAATAAAATGTAAAGAGAAATGCAAATAAAAGAAAGAAATAAAATGAGGAAAGATATGAATATCGACTACCATAAACGCGAAAACAAATAGTTGAAAAATCTCCGATTTAAATGACACCATTTATGAGATTGCTCAACTTTATATACTTGATTTTGTTTAGGAGAAAAAGGAGATATTTAACTTTATACTATTTTTTTTGACAACACTACAAAGCAATATGATAAATGACGTCGTATAAGTCGGAGTATAAAAAAGAAAGAAAGATAGAATGAAGTTTCCACGACCGCCCCAACCTCCGCAACCACAACCACCTCGGCCTTAACGACCATGGCCTCTTCGGCTACTACTACCACGAGTAACAAAAGTAGCCTATTTCATCTTTTATCACCTCTTGCATCTTTGGAGCTTGTTTTGATCGGCCTTTTTCCAAAGCTCCTCTTGAAAGGTGTGGTCATGTCCATAAAATTGCGAAGATTATGTGTAAGAGTTTCTACTCTCATTACCATTTCATCTTTTCACCTATTTCTACACATAGTAGATTAATCTACTTAATGCATGTGTAGTAATTTTTGTTGTTGGCCTCGCTAGCAAACAAAAAAAAAGAAGGTATAATGATATGATTGTGGATGATGGCATTGCAAGCTCTCGACAAAATAATATTATCAAGTTGTGGACATGATGACCGGATATTTTCAGTGGAGCTTTGGAGAAAACAGGATCATATTCCAAAGATGAATGAGATGATAAATATGAAATGGACTACTTTTGTTAGTCGTGTAAACAGTAGTCGTAGATGACATGCTCATGAAGGCCATTGGGATATGGATGCCCATGGCCTAGGTGACCAAATTATTATTTTTTAAACCTCTTCCCATAATAGGGTATCACATTAAGACACCAACAATAATAATAGTGTGTATCAGCAAATCGGTAAATGACACAAAAGAGATATTTCACTTACTTTTTCTAATATTATTGTCATCAACATTAACATATATATAACACATATATATTGTCTATGTCCTTGTTGTCGTCAATGTTCTACAACAATAACAACAACATGAAGATCGACGATAGGAAGGTTGCCACCGATGAAACTTTATTAATGGATGTAATCCTAATGTCTAAGACACCAACAATAATTCTAGTATGGATCAGCAAGTCGGTGAACAGCATAAGAGAGCCATATACTTATTTCTAATGTTATTGTCATCAACATCAACATAGATATTTTCTATGCTTTTGTTGTTGTCAATATTCTAGCCAGTGGTTAGAACATTAACAAAAACATGAAGATTGAAGATAGGAAAAAATCCTCAGTCAAAATCTTGTGATAATAATATAATAGAAGTTAAACTATTCCCATAAATCTTTTTGCCAGTCAATTATTTACATGTAGAAAATAAATCTAAAGGAAATAAATATTTACAGAAATATTGAATTCCCATTTTGTTCAATGTTCAATGGAATAAAATATTCAAATCTAATTTGCCTAAATAACACAGTAAATGTTAAGTCAACAAAATAAAATAAAAAAATTTAGATGGCCTTTATATTTTTCAAAAAATATAAGAAATGTAAGAGTGGCAACTAAACAAGAAGATTTACATAATAAATTTTTTTTAAAAAATATCTCTTTATTTTAAAACCTAAATTTTGTTTTGTAATATCGTTTTATATTTTAAATATATATTTAATAAGAAATTAAAGTTATATCTCCACTGATTAATGTATTGACCAATAAAATTACATTTTATATCAAGTGAGTGTATTTTGGTATGCCTTTTTCTAGTAACATACTATGTACTTGGAGTCATAGTCTTTAACTTAAACAGAATACAAAGTTCCGTTAGCTCCTTAGCAGTTGTATGGCTCTCTTTTGGTCCATCTTGATCTAGCACATATGACTCATCATTTGATGAATCTAACTTAATTATATCTTTACCCAAAATAAGAAAAAAAAACTAGTCAATGAAAGAAAACATTGTTAACTTATATAGATTTATTTTTATGTTTGAATGTTGAATAACTAATATAGCATTAATATTATTTCTATTTTATTTCTGTTCATTGCGCGTAAATTACAAATAAATTTGTATATATAAGGTGAGCTATGTTTTGATGTAGATAACAAAAGTTAGTGAGAGCAAAAAAAAAAAGAAAGAGAGTTTTCAACCCCTCCTCATCCTTCTTCTCCTTGGTTCTGGCGATTATCTCACTGTTCTCCGGTGCAGCTACTCTTACAAATCAGGTCTCAATATATATAGTTTCGCACATCTATAAAGTTTTCCATGTTACGTTAACAAATAGCTTCAACATTACCGTAGCATGAGTTCGTTACATTAGTTTCGTTCTCTTTTTAAAAAATTTCATATAATATTATATTGTTAATTTCGCTTCTAGATCTTGATTTTGCATTCGAAGAAATAAGAATGTAATCATAATTAATACTTGTCTTGTAGATTTAACGTCTTTGTGGGTATAATGGATCCCCGTAAGGTAACCACTGAAGCTACCCGTAAGGCAACCACTGAAGCTAAGGTCCCTGCTAAGCGATCAAAGGCTACAAGGTTTGTTGATATATAGAGCCTCAGTTTCGTATGTCTCTTTTGCTAAAACAATTTGTACATTATGGGTCTCTATTTCTTGGTTTGACTCAAGAATGTTTTTTTAAAAACTTGTTTTGGCTTAGCCTAATCGAATATATGTTGCTCTTCCTTCGTTTTGATTTCACTATGATGCTCTTAATTTTTTTTGTTTAATCTTCAAATAAGAAAATGAATGTTCTTCTTCTTTTAAGAATCTCAAATTTTATTTTATTTAATATACAATTTACTTGATTCATTTGATTTTTTTATTAGATTCAATGTATTCAAATAAACCAATGTCTTATAGATAACAAAATTAAGAATTTGGATATATCTTTCTTTGATTATATATTTTCAAAAGCTAATAAATTTGAGGTTCCCATTTCCGGATCTCGCCTTAGGTACATGCACCCACGGCCCTGGGATTGTTCTAGTCATGTCACAGATTGCTGTTTACTATGTAATTAATATATTAACCGGGTAAAAATGTTTTTGCAGCCACTTACCTGTTCATAGACGCCAGTTCTATCACTCTCGAACCGGTCAGGTGATTCAAACGTTCCTTCACTTAGTACTTTTACATATTCGTTGACTTGCAAGTTATGATACTTTTGTTTCATTCTTTTCATTCAAATTTGAATACTGGTTAATTAATTGTCACTAACCAAAAACTGCATATGTCTTTGTTAAAAAAAAGCCAATGACACTTGAGGAAGTAATTTCTGACCAAGATAGCGGTAACGAAGCCGACCATGAGGTTGAGACTGAGGCTCCACGTCTGGTATATATATTCCCATGATTTATAAAACCAACCAACAAAACATAAAAATGACATATATATATGAAGGTATATACTTTGCTGATAATGATTTTTGAAACTTGTAAAAACTACAGGGCATTGATTATTCTTCTATGAAGAATAATGAAATTGTGGAGCTATTCATACAAATGTGGAACTCTTTTGCAAAAAAGAATATGTACGTAACATTTTCACGTACATATATAGCTAATTAATTAATTGTTTTGCCTTAAGAACATTTTGTGGTCAAATCAAAATTATGAATGAATGTTGCATGCAGGGTTCTCGTTGATGGTCATATTCCTTGGGCATGTGAAGCATTTTCAAGACTGTACAAGAAGGAGTTGCACGACAACTTACCACTCGACATGTAATTATCATCTTACCAAAAATATGACATCTTATAAAGTATTTACATACACTATAAATTTTGTTTAAATAATTTCCAGGTGCTGGAGATTATTCATGATTCGACATTGGGATTTTGGAATTCTTGACGCAGCCACCATAAACAAGTGCAATACCATCATTAAGAATTACTCTCCTAGCTCAGACATGGACGTTGACAAAAATGATCACACAAGCAAAACCAAGTAATTGATAGATCTCTTTAAACTACCCTCATTAATCAGATTGCAGCTTTATATATATATATATATATATATATATATATATATATATATATATATAGTTTAGTTTAGTTAGGTTA